AGGAAGATGCATGGTTCCAGATTGACCCCACCCCCACCCCAGAGCACCAAGCACGGGGCACTAGATCTCTCCTCAGGCCTAGGAGGTCTGGTTCCAGTGGCTGATGTCTAGGGATTTGCAAGTAAGCTTTGGATCTTAGAAAGGAGAACCAAAAAAAAAAAACTGCCCAACTCAAAACTTCTGGGAGAGTCATAAAATTGGCCCATTCAGAGGGCAGAATTGGGTCCAGAAAGCTATTACAAGAGGTTACATATCTGAGAGTACCTATAATTGTGTTGTCATAAGTGTTGCTTTCCATAATCTATTTTATCATACATGTAACAGATTTACCATCATATTGTACTGATTTGTGAATAAAGATAATGAGAAAATGGTATGTCAGTGACTCGTTTTTCCCCATTGGTGGTACTAGGGTTTGGCCATAGTCACGTTACTTCTGCCTACCACATATCAGAGATTACAGGTATGAACCACCATACTCAATTAGTTTTGTTTTTTGTTTTTGTTGGTCATGGGACCTGAACTCTGGGCTGGGGCACTGTCCCTCAGCTCCTCAGCTCAAGGCAAGCACTCTACCACTTGAGCCATAGTACCACTTCCAGCTTTTTCTGCTTATGTGGTGCTGAGGAATGGAACCCAGGGCCTCATGCATTGCAAGGCAAGCGCTCTACCACTGAGCCACCTTCCCAGCCCTCAATTAGTTTTTTGATACAGGGTCTCTTACTATTTTTGGTGGGGGGTGCAGGGGAGACTGGTCTCAAAACCTGACCCTCCCATCTCCACTTCCCACATAGCTGAGATTGAGCTTACGGTACCCAGCCCTGGAACATAAGTTATTTCTGATGAGATCCTTCAGTGATCTTCACTAAATAGCATGTCCTTTTATAATAACATTTAAATATCTATTTTCTATCTTGTTCCAGAGAGGATTTAGGGTTATAAAAGGAAAAGTAATTTTTAAAATTAGAAAATCTGGACCAAAAAGATGACAGAAATAGAACAGGAGAACACATTAAGGATAAGTTGCTAGAAGACTAAACACAGCATGGAGCGTGCCAGTGACTGACATGAAAAAAAAACAACACTGGTTTCTGAATATAGATAGTTAAAAAGTAGATATCGAGGCTGGGAATATGGCTTAGTGGTAGAGTGCTTGCCTACCATGCATGAAGCCCTAGGTTCAATTCCTCAGTACCACATATAGAAAAAGCCAGAAGTGGTACAGTAACTCAAGTGGTAGAGCTAGCCTTGAGCAAAAGAAGCTCAGGGACAGTGGCCAGGCCCCAAGTTCAAGCCCCAAACAGGCAAAATGATAACAACAAAAAAAGTGGATACTGAGCTGGGCACTGATGATTCATACCTGTAACCCTAGCTACTCAGGAGGCTGAGATCTGAGAATTGCTGTTCAAAACTAGCCCAGGCAGGAAAGTCCATGAGATTCATCTCCAATTAACCATCAGAAAACCAGAAGTTGTTCTGTGGCTCAAAGTGGTAGAGTGCTACCCTTGAGCAAAAAGCTCAGGGATAGCAAGAAGGCTCTGAATTCAAGCCCCATAACTGAAAAAAAAAATAATAAATACTGTATCCTTTCCTTCTGAGGGCAAAGGCTTAGTAGACATGTATTAATACAGTCAGAAGAAAGGACTAGATGCCTCATAATGTGTGTGAACTGTAGGACACAGGAAGAATTTGGTGTTTAGTTGGAACCCGAGTTAGAATGGTCAGACACTTCGGGTGCCCCTGCAGTAGGACACTGGGTTAATGGCGTGAATGTGCTGACCATAGTCATGGTTTAGGGGAGCTTTCCCTGTGTGCAACATTGCTTAAATGGTTGGTTTGGTCTCGGACGGCCCTGCAGGTTTCCCAGGATGGTTTTCTGGTACTTGGCAAGAATGTCTAGATCTAACAAGAAACAGACTACATAGACTATTCAGCCTAAAGTCCTGCCACTTGAGACAATATCCGTTAGCCCTCAGACAGGCTCCTTAAGATGACTTGGGACTCGCCAAATTTTTCTCATCTATTATGTGTTTGATAGTCACATTCAACTGCAACTTGGGAACAGTTGCTGTATGCAGAGCTAAAAGAACTAGAGTCAAGAGAATTGACCCCATCATGAGGGAAGTCCCCCAAAGTGAATAATACAGGAAGACCTACTGTGTGACAGGCTCTGTTTTAGCTTAGCGTTTTCATAATGTTCTTACAGAGCAGACAGCATTACCAATTACGGAAGTGACTATTCAGGAGCCTCATTTCTGATTGAACTGCTGCCCTCTCCCCTCCCTCTTGTCTACCTACCTCTAACCGTCTCAGATCCATTTACACCAGTTACCCGGGCTCTTGACATTTCGGTTCTGGAGCCGGGCACCGAGCTATGTTGTCTCCAAAACAGTAATGGAATTCCAGCGGTGAAAATATAGGCAAGTTCAATATGACCTACAAGGACCGACCCCGTCCATTTTCACAATCCTTTCATCTGTCCTGTGACTAACATCCAGGTACTCAGTTCCTCGAGCCTAAATCTACACACACACACACTCATACACACACACCACACACACACACCTCACACACTCACACAACACACACACACATACACTCACACACACCCCACACACATACCCCACACACACTCACACCCCCCACACTCACACCCCCCACACCTCACACACTCACACACCACACACACCACACACATACCCCCCACACACACCCCATACACACCCCCACACACATACACCCCACACACTCACCCCACACACACCCCACGCACATACCCCACACACACTCACACCCCCCACACTCACACACACCTCACACACACATACCTCACACACTCACACCCCACACACACACCTCACACACACACACACCACACACACCACACACATACCCCACACACACACCCCATACACACCCCCACACACATACACACTCACACACACTCACCCCACACACCCCACACACATACCCCCCCACACACACCACACACACCACACACATACCCCCCACACACACCCCATACACACCCCCACATACATACACACACACACTCACCCCACACACACCCCACACACATACCCCCCACACATTCACACCCCACACACACACCTCACACACACACACACCACATACCACACACATACCCCCCACACACACCCCATACACATACCCCCACACACACCCCACACACATACCCCACACACACACTCACACCCCCCACACTCACACACACCTCCCACACACACCTCACAACACACACACACACCTCACAGACACACACCCCACACCCACACTCCCACACATATCACACACACTCCACACACTCACCTCCCACACACCCCACACACCCCCACACCACATACACTCCACACACACACTCACACACCTCACACACCCACACACACACCCCACACCCCACACACACACCTCACACACCCCCACACACACACCATACACACCACAAACACCCCCCACACCCCCACACACACACCACACACACACACACCCCACACATACCTCACACACACACACACCCCACACACATACCCCCCCATACCCCACACACATACCCCACACACACCACACACACACCCCACACAACCTCACACACAACACGCACACTCCACACACACACTCACACACACCTCCACACACTCACACACACCTCACACATACCCCCCCACACCACACACACTCACACCCCCCACACACTCACACACACCCCTACACACTCACACATCCCCACACACACCACACACACTCACACACACTCACCCCACACACACCGCACCCCCCCACACACACTCACACAAACACCACACAAACCTCACACACACACTCACTCCCACACACACACCTCACCCACACTCACACCCACACACACACTCACACATTCACCCCCACACACACACCTCCCCCCACACACACACTCAACCCCCACACACACCCCACATTCCCACACACACACTCATACACACCTCACACACACTCACACCCCCACACACCTCACACACACACTCACACCCCTACACACACACCACACACTCCACAAACACACACACACACACCACACACACACCACACACACCCCCACCCCCCACACACACCTCACACACTCACCCCACACACACTCCCCCCACACACACCACACACACACACTCACCCCCCCACACACACTCACCCCCACACTCACCCCACACACACACACTCACCCCCACACATGCATACTCACACCCCTCCAACCCCCAACACACACCTCACACACACACACCTACACTCACCCCTCTCACTCCCCCCACACACCTCACACACACACTCACACCCACACACACACACCCCACACACCACACATACACCCCCACACACCACACACACACCACACACACACCACACGCACTCACACACACACCTCACACACACACCACACACACCACACACACACCACACACACACCACACGCACACTCACACACACCACACACTACACACACTACACACACACACACACCACACACACCTCACACACACACCACACACACCACACACACCACACACACCACACACTCCACACACACACCACACACACCACACACACTCCACACACACACACCACACACACCTCACACACACACCACACACACTCCACACACACATACCCCCCACACACTCACACACACACACTCCCGGTTGCGTCCCACCGGGCTCTCAGTGAAGGACAGAAATTAGAGTTTGGGGGCTTCTCCTCCTCCCAGCTATGGCCGGTCTTCACGTTCCGGGGCAGGGACTCAGGACGGTAGGCCAGACCTTTGCCTGTTTGGCTCCTGTCTGCACCGCGGTTCCCTGGGAGACGCACGACCTCTGTCGGCAGGGGGCGCCGCGGGTCCCAGGCTCCGCCGGATGCTAATGAGCCCGGAGGCCCCGCCCCTGCCGGAAGTGGCCTCGGAGGGGGTGGGGCCTGCGACCGGAGGGGGGCGGGGGCCAGGCAGCCGTGCGGGAGCCATGGCGGCCTCGGAGGCGGCGGCGGCGGGGTCCGCGGCTCCGGCGGCGGGGGCCCCGGCTGTCCCGGCGGCCGCGAGGGGAGCCGCCGCCGCCGCCTCGAGCCCGTGGGGACCGCCGAGGCCGCGCCTGAGAGGCCGCCGTCCGCGACCCACGACGGCGAGGCAGCCGCCGCAGCCCGCGGCCCGGGAGCTGATCCAGCCGTCGGTGAGCGAGCTGTCCCGGGCCGTGCGGACCAACATCCTGTGCACCGTGCGCGGCTGCGGCAAGATCCTGCCCAACAGCCCCGCGCTCAACATGCACCTGGTCAAGAGCCACCGCCTGCAGGTGAGGGCGGCGCGGCGGGGCGCGGGGGCGAGGGCACCGGGGGCGGGGGGCCGGGGGCGGGGGGCCGGGGTGGGGGCACCGGGGACGGGGGCCGGGGGCGGGGGGCCGGGGGCGGGGGCAGGGCAGGGGGGCCGGGGGCGGGGGCAGGGCAGGGGGGCCGGGGGCGGGGGGCCGGGGGCGGGGGCCGGGGGCGGGGGGCCGGGGTGGGGGCGGGGGCACCGGGGACGGGGGACACCGGGGGCGGGGGCCGGGGTTGGGGACACCGGGGGCGGGGGGCAGGGCAGGGGGCCGGGGTGGGGGGCACCAGGGGCGGGGGCAGGGCAGGAGGCCGGGGTGGGGGGCACCGGGGGCGGGGGGCAGGGCAGGGGGCCGGGGTGGGGGGGGGACCGGGGGCCGGGGGCAGAGGGCCGGGGTGGGGGTGACTGGGGGCCGGGGGCAGGGGCCAGGCGGGGAGCCGGGGGAGCTGGGGGCCAGGGACAGGGGGCTGGGGGCCGGGGACCGGGCGGGAGCTGGGGGAGCTGGGGACCAGGGGCAGGGCGCTGGGGGCCAGGGACAAGGCGCTGGGGGCCAGGGACAGGGGGCTGGGGGCCGGGGGCCGGGGGCAGGGGCCAGGCGGAGAGCCGGGGGCCAGGGACAGGGGGCTGGGGGCCGGGGACAGGGGGCTGGGGGCCGGGGACAGGGCGCTGGGGGCCAGGGGCAGGGCGCTGGGGGCCAGGGACAGGGGGCTGGGGGCCAGGGACCGGGCTGGGAGCCGGGGGAGCTGGGGGCCAGGGACAGGGGGCTGGGGGCCAGGGGCAGGGGGCTGGGGGCCAGGGGCAGGGGGCTGGGGGCCGGGGGGGGGCGGGGACCGGGCGGGAGCTGGGGGAGCCGGGGGCCGGGGCCGGGCCCGGGTGGGGAGCCGGGGCAGGGTGGCTGGGGAGCACAGGCGGCCTCGGCCACGGGGAGCGGGAAGGCGCCCGCTGATGCCCCGAAGAAAGGCGGGAGGGAGGGGGCCTCGCCCCGCCTCTGCTGTCCGGGTCCCGGTCGGTCCCACGGCGGCGCCCAGGTGCGGTGCGCGTCGTGGGATTGGGCGGGTGAGGAGCCGGTGGGGCCACCCGGCGGGGTGGGGCGGGGATGAGCACAGGCCCAGCCGGTGTGCACCGCCCAGTACCGGCTGGAGATCCCGCCGAACCCGCAGGCTGTGACCCGGTCGTGGTCACCAGGCCGGTGCGACGTGACGGCATCCCGCAGCCGCGTGGTTACGTAACCCAGGGCAGGGACTTTTCCAAACTGGTCCGTCACGATTCCCCGGTCATGACCATGGGAAGCTTCCCTCCACCACCCGGAGTCCGATGCCAGCCGGGGCCTGGTCACGTGTCAGGAAGCAGGTCACGGGCGGCGGGGTGGTGAAGAGGTCGCTTTCCGAGGTCTGACTTGATTGCCCAAATCACGTTTGGAGGAACGTTCAGCCTTCTGGAACCTTTCTGAGGAGAACCCTCCCCTCCTACCCCCTTGTCCCAGCGGCAGAAACGGAGGCGGTGGCCGTCGAGGGAGGAAGGGTGATGGCCTTAACCAACAGCGGGGCCCAAGGTGCAGTGACCGGAAGTGTGACGCACGTGCGGGGCAAGGCCCTGCCAGCCGGGCAAGGCCCTGCCAGCGACGCCGCGTTCCCCAGCACGCCGGCACCTCTGGGATGGGTCTCCAGAGCACTTCTGTCTCATACTAGATTTTAATGAGTATCTGAACCTGGGTGGATAAACTGTACAGTTGTAGAGAATCTTAGCCCTTGGTTCTCTAGCTGCTATACAGCGGCCTTGTCCAACTTCAGTGTTGTCCCCTGGCTGATAAGACAATACACCTCTGAGCACAAAAGAAGGCTGCCAACATTTATTAGCAATTTGCATTATTCTCTTCTCTAGTATGGCTTGTAGATGCTCTGTGTCTCTCAGGACTGTAATGCCTCTGTTAAACAAGATACACTTACTCTGCAGGACTGGTTTAATACTATCTAATAGGTTTGTGTTACAGCTTTTGGTTTTGATTGTACTGGGATTTGAACTCTAGACATATTAGACAGACATTCTACCACTTGATACATATCTCCAAGCCCAGGTTCTTCCTGGTTAATTGGAGATGGAGTCTCACAGATGTGTCTGCCTAGGCTGGCTTTTAACCACAATCCTCCAGATCTCAGGCTTCTGAATAGCTAGGATTACAACCTTGAACCACTGGCACCTGGCTTGTTTGGATTTCCTTTTTAAACTATCAAAATTTCAGGAATCCACCAAAGACCAGTACAAAACAGGGCTAGGCTGAAGATGAGGCATGTGATCTGACTTTGGCAGTCGGATCTTCATTTGAACTTTGCATCTCAGAGCATCCGTGACCTCCCTTGCCTAGAACCTGTACAAAGTCATTTTCTGTGAAGTCATTCCTTTTTCAGCCTGAAGTGCTTGAGAGCCCTTTCTCAATTAAAGATGTTGAGCCACCAAAAGATAGACTATCTAGAGATTTCTGCCTCCATCACTGGGGCAGTTGAGGAAGCCTCCCTCAGAAATGTTTGCTGATGTTTTCTAGCTTTCTGCCTTTCTAACTACAGTGCCAGCAGCCCCTGAGCATCTGCTGTCTTGGTGGAAAGCAGGCCCATTTTCCTCACTGAGTGACCTGTGTGATGGGGGCAACTCTGTGCTCAGCCTAGCTACTGCCCAACAGGTTGTTCAGCTCCCACACCATTATCCACCCGTGATGTTGTCAGGGTATTAGGGGTGGGGGAGGAGAGAGTGCTGTTGGGCACAAGGTAGCTAGAAGCTCCTTATGATTTGAGGCCTCAGTCAACTCGGCCCCCCCCCCCCCATACACACTTTCTTCCTTGAAGCTACTCTGACTTTCTTACACTCAATGGAAATTTTCATTGTCTTGGTTATAGCTACTTGCATAATTCTAATTTCTTTCCTTCTTTATATAACTTCCGGCGCAGAATCATCTTTTCTTCCCTTCCCTATGAGTTGCTGTACAGTTCTTATTTTATTCTAATGTTTTCATAAGATACCCCACTCCCACCCAAAGGCTCCCTTCTTCCATGTAAATGAAGAGCCAGCTCTTCTGAAGAATGATGAGTAAGAACAGGGAGTCAGATTGTAAGCTGAAGAATATTTGCTGCTTTTGGTTTTATGTGGGTTTTCAAGGCATGTCCTATAAGGAATCTGGAAATCCCTTAGCCCAGCCTTGCCTGCACATGTGCCATATGGGGAAATGGAGGCTCTGAAGATGTGGCAGGAGGGATGACCCAGAGAGAGGGAGAGGGAGTCCACAGGCCATGCCTGCTCTGGATCCTTCTGGCCCCTGCATCAGAAAGCAGCCGAGGGTTCAGAACCACGAGCCACATTTACAATTGTAATACATGGCTTCGAGGATTCTTTATTGTGTACAGTCCAGAGGTGTGCTTTCAGTGATGGGTCAGAAAATAAAAAGGAAAGTTCCAAGTTGTTTGGTACACTGCCTCGTGCAAAACCACTCCCTAATTTCCATTTTGGAATAAGATGATGCAGTGAGCCGGTCTCCCTCTACCAGATGCTGCTCTCTGTGAAGTTTGTCCAGGGCCAGACCTTTTCCTCTACCTTCTCTCTACTCTTCAAGTATATTCTCCTTTTCCTTCTTATTTTTTTTGTTGGTCAGTTGTGGGTTTTGAACTCTGGGTCCCTCAGCTCTTCAGCTCAAGGCAAGCGCTCGACCCCTTGAGCCACAGCGCCACTTCTGGTTTTCTGGTGGTATATTGGAGATTAGGGTCTCACAGACTTTCCTGCCCAGGCTGACTTTGAACTGTGATCTTCAGATCTCAGTCTCCTGAGTAGCTAGGATGACAGGTGTGAGCCACTGGCGCCTGGCTCCTTTCCCTTCTTTTGTATGTATTCTTTTCTTCATCTTCTTTCATTTCTGTGATTTTTGCAGTGCCCAGCACTGAGCTTCACTAGCCCTCCACATCTGGTTTTCCCTTTTGCAAATGTAGTCACTTAAAATGTTGACTCATGAAGCCAGGCATGGTGGGCACATGCCTGTGATGCCAGCCTCTCTGATAGCAGTCAGGAGAATCTCAGGTTCAGGGCCAGCCTTGATTATGGTGGCAGGACCTTATCTCAAAAGGATTTGAAATGTGGCTGAAGTGGTTGGTAGAGAAGTAGTAGCCTCCAGTGCTGGAGGCCTTGGGGGATCCAACAGAGAAGATCAAGGAAGGTTCCAAATCTTAAGACTGTAACTGAGTGATTCTACTTGCAAACTGCACCTGGTTGCAATTCAAGGGCTCATGATTTTTAAGTTTTTAAAGAGTTTCAAAGGATTAGAGAGGAGTAAAATGTTAAAAGAAAACACAGATTTTAAGTTTACAGGTGTGCACAACTGTAATCCCATTAAAACATTTTCATCCCCTAAAAAAGGAACCCTTGTGCCCATTTTCAGTTACCACCTTATCTCTGCTACCAATCCATTCTATTGGTTTTGAAAATAATTGCACAATTTTCCAATTACAGGATGGCATAGTAAATCCAACAATAAGAAAAGATTTGAAAACCGTACCAAAATTCTACTGTTGTCCAATTGAAGGATGTCCTAGAGGTCCTGACCGGCCATTTTCTCAATTTTCTCTTGTTAAACAGGTATTTTACCATTCTTCATTTTCTAGCCAGAGGAGTAGCTCAGCAGAGTGGGGACCCTGTGCTTGCAGATCTGTGACTGCCTCCCAGGGCAGAGGGCAAAGACAGAGCCACTGTGCTCCTGGGGGACACTATGCTCCTGGGAGCTCTGGATAGGAGCATCTGAGGAAAGAAGAGTTTGGGCAGCAGCTCTCTTAAAGGAAGGGTCCCAGCCTCTAGGGAAAGAGGAGCTCAGGACTGAAAAGCTGTTATCTGAAGCTGTTGTCTGAAATGTTTCCTGAGGTTTGCCAAGGCTGTCCTGAGAAGACATCAGTTTCTGCCCTGTCACTCTTTCTTATAAGAGTCTAAATGTTGGCTGTCAAGGATCATTTCCAAGACATCTCCTTTGACTTTTTGTATGAAGCCAAAGTCAGTCATAAAAATGGGCATGTGAGCTAGATACTGGTAGCTCATGCCTGTAAGCTACTCAGGAGGCTGAGATCTGAGGATCTCAGTTCAAGGCCAGACTAGGCAGGAAAGTCCATGATTCTTTTAACCACCATAAAGCCCAAAGGGAAGCTGTGGCTCAAGTGTCAAGAGTGCTAGCCTTGAGCAAAAAGCTAAGGGAAAGTGCTTAGGTACTGAGTTCATGCCCTACTACAGGCACAGAGAGAGAGAAAAAACAAAGAGGCATGTAATTTGCTGTTTGCCTGCTTTGTAGTTCCTTTGATTTGGGCTGCTGTGTTCTTCCCTGAGCAGGAGTTGATGGGGGAGGAGAGGGTGCTGTCTCTTTCCCATTCCTACGTATCCTGTTCTCCACAGCACTTTATGAAGATGCATGCCGAGAAGAAGCATAAGTGTAGCAAGTGCAACAACTCATACGGCACTGAGTGGGACTTGAAGAGACACGCGGAGGACTGCGGCAAGACCTTCCAGTGCACGTGCGGCTGTCCGTATGCCAGCAGGACAGCACTGCAGTCTCACATCTACCGAACTGGCCATGAGATCCCTGCAGAACACAGGTAACGGGCAAAGAAACAGGCCACGCACAGCAGTGCTGTGGAGAGTTGTGAATCTTCCTAGAAGACCAGCAGCGACAAACAGCTACAGCACAGGGAGGAAAGGGAATCATGGAGAACATGTAGCCCTGGAGAAGGGAGCTACGGGAAATGCAGCAGCACTAGCAAAGGAGCCGTGCCTGGGTTTTAGTTTTTCTTTTCTTTTTTATTTTTTTTTTTGGTTGGTCGTGGGGCTTGAACTCTGGGCTTAGGCGTTGTCCCTGAGCTCTTCAGCTCAAGGCGAGCGCTCTACTGCTTGAGCCACTGCACCATTTCTGGTTTTCTAGTGGTTTATTGGAGATAAGAGTCTCACAGCCTTTCCTGCCCGGGCTGGCTATGAACCGTGATCCTCAGATCTCAGCCTCCTGAGTAGCTAGGATGACAGGTGTGAGCCAGGGATGCCGGAAAAGTTGAATTCTTGTATTTAGAACCTGAAAAGGTTTGGGTGACCTGAATGACAGGCCCACTTATTGCAAGGAGGGTCGCATCTTCTCTCGCAGGCGACTGACCTCTGATGTGGGAAGTAGCATCTGAGAAGTGAAGTTTTTAAATTGTTTTCCTTTTTGTTGTTGTGTTCAGGGATCCACCTAGTAAAAAAAGGAAAATGGAAAACTACCTGCAAAGCCAGAAGTTGTCCAGTAAGACCATCGAATCTTTAAACAACCAATCAACTCTTCAACCAGATTCCCAAGAACTCAGAACTTCAGAAATAAAACTGGTCGCCTCTTTTGAGGACTCTTGTGGTTCTAATGCCAGGAAGCAGAATATCTCAGCACTTCCAAGAAATCCTCAGAAGTTGCTTCTACCCAAGCCAAGAGTGGCTCTGGTTAAACTTCCGGTCATGCAGTTTTCTCCCATGCCAGTCTTGGTGCCTACTGAGTCCTCGGGCCAGCCTGTGGTGTTGGGCGTGGATCAGGGCTCCCCGATGGGGGCTGTGCACTTGGTGCCCTTGTCTGTGGGAACGCTCATCCTTGGCCTGGACTCAGATGCTTGCTCTCTGAAGGAGACCCTACCTCTTTCAAAAATTATCAGTCCTGTCGTTGAGCCAATTAGTACAGGTGTTCAAGTGAACTTGGGTAAAAGTCCATTGAATCCTTTACAAGAGCTAGAGAACACATGTCAGAAGAACAGCATTTCTTCAACCAACGTACAGACAGACCTGTCCTATGCCTCACCAAACCTGCTATCTTCTGCTCGATGGCTTGGCTCTGACTCCTCCGTGTCGTCGTGTTCTCAGACCGATCTGTCCTTTGACTCTCAAGTGTCCCTTCCCATCAGCGTTCACACACAGACGTTCCTGCCCAGGCCTAAGTTAACTTCGTCCATAGCTGCTCAGACTGAAGCTTTCATAGATGCCTGTTTCCAGCCAGGCGGGATCTCCAGAAAAACCCAAACCAGTGGCATGCAAAATCCAGCACCTGCCCAGGTACCCATGGACCACGCTGGCGTGTGCGGGGGCATTTTTGGGAGTGTGCACTCGTCCTACAATGTTCCCACAGACAATATAATAAGCAGCAGTTTAGTGGCAGAGACGGTGACTCAGAGTTTGCTACCTCAAAATGATCCCAAGACTTTAAGTCAAGACATTGAGAGGTCTGAAGCCATGCTCAACTTCAGTGCGCAGAGTGGTATGCTCCCCACACAGAACATGACCGATAACCAGACCCAAACCATAGATTTACTAAGTGACTTAGAAAACATCTGGTCAAGTAACCTGCCTGGTCAGACGCTAGATAACCGCAGTCTTTTGTCTGACTCAAATCCTGGACCTGACGCCCAGCTTCCCTCTGGCCCGACTCAGACCCCTGGGATTGATTTTGATATTGAGGAATTCTTTTCAGCCTCGAATATCCAGACTCAGACTGAAGAGAGTGGGCTGAGTACCATGAACCCCGAGCCAGTCTTGGAGTCACTGGACATAGAGACCCAGACCGACTTCCTGCTCGCAGACCCCTCTGCTCAGCCCTATGGCTGCAGGGGAAGTTCGAACTTCTTAGGCCTGGAGATGTTTGACACACAGACACAGACCGACTTGAACTTCTTCTTAGACAGTGGTCCTCAGCTGCCCCTAGGAAGCCTTCTGAAACACTGCAGCTTCTCCGTGAGCACCGACTCCTCTGACACAGAGACCCAAACGGAAGGACCCTCTGTAGCCAGACCCACACCTGCTCCAGAGAGCAAGGTTCAGTCCAACACTGCAGAGACACAGACCATGAGTTCTGGCTTGGAAGCCCTGGGGAGTTTGTTCTTCACTAGCAATGAAACTCAGACAGCCATGAACGACTTTCTTATGGCTGATTTGGCCTGGAACACCATGGAGTCTCAGTTCAGCTCTGTAGAAACCCAGACATGTGCTGAGCTGAGTGCGGTCTCCAACTTCTGAGCACGAGTCCATCCTGTACAGCACTGACGACTTCATGCAGACTGTGAACACAGACGATGATGATGCTGACTATGGAATGTAGTGACTGCAGCTATTTATTCTCCTCTCTCTGCCTTTTGTACTTGTCAACACAAAATCTGTGTATAAATGTGAGTGTATTATAAAGTGTAAGATGTTGATTTAAAAATGACTGTTTTTGCTTTACCTACATTTGCTCTTTAACAGCTTGTCTTTCCATCTTTCAAAAAAAATGTGTATTTCAGAGCTGGATTTTAAAACCCATACAGCCATCTAGCTGAAGCTAGGCTTGCGAGGTACTGGGGTATAAACCCACACCTTCCTAATGCACCCATAAACGGCCACTATGCCCTCACCAGTGCTTCTGTGTTTGGAGACTGCCACTGCCACAGCTTCGTCAGCTCTGCCAGCTCTTCTGGCTTGCATACACCAAGAAAAAGCGCAGTTGTCTTGAACTTCTGCAGGTTTTCATAGAGTCACTGTCCCTTCTCCCATGAGTAGTTCTGCCAGGGCGAGTGTGGTCTGTCCTCACAGGTTCACTGCTGCAGGTACTGTGTAGCACAAGAGCAGCAGCACTTAGTATAGACAGCCATCCTCCCTCCAAACCACAGGAACTGACTGAAATCATGGCTCTTGGTTTATCTTGGGGGTATCCTGGGATGTGCTTCTTTTTTATTTGGGGTGGGGGGATTGGTTTGGGTGCTTGAACTCTGGGCCTGGGCGCTGTCCCTCAGCTCTTCAGTTCAAGGTGAATGCTCTACCACTTAAGCCACAGCACCACTTCTGGTTTTCTGGTGTTAGTTGGAGATGAGAGTCTCATGGACTAGTGTTGAACTGTGATCCTCAGATCTCAGCCTCCTGAGTAGCTAGGATTACAGGCGTGAGCCACTTTTAAAACATTTTCCTCTGCTCACCACCTTGGATGGAGAAGACTTCAGTGACCAGATGTGAGGTTTTTTCCTGCAGGGCAGCCAGCAGCCAGGTCTGCAGCAGACACTGGCTAAGTGTCTCGTGATGCAGTTCATGTGCTAGAGCAGCTCCCAGAACTCAGGAAAATAGTGTTATTGCCAAGAGTACTGCTGAGGTGCCCAGGGTGAGGTGTGGGGAAGGGAAACTGGCCTCCACTTCCTCTCCTGGCATGCCTCCTTCCAGGAACCTCCACATACATGGCCACTATCTAGAAGTGCTCCAGAGACAGTCCTTTTGGATTTGTATGGGAGCTTCCATTACATGAGATTGATTCACTTAACCTTCAGTCCTTCTCCCCTCCTTGCATGGCCTTGGTCTCCTCCATTCCAGTTCCCATCCTGAAGCTACCCAGGAGCTACCAGCCATCAGCCAGCCAGCGATCCCAGTGGCACACAAACACAATAGACAGAAAACATTGTAGAGGTGACAGGGCAGGAGCCCCACTGTGCTGCATAATATGTCCTCCTGCTCTCCAGACAGCTGGCTGGGTGAGGCCCTGGGGCTGCTTCCCACAGTGCTCACTGTTCCCCTTGTGTTGAAAAGAACAAAGAGTAGAAAAGGACACCCCTGGCCCAGCCCAATCTCAGTACTTAGCACCTCGAAGCTTGGCAGGGCAAGAGTACAGTCCACTCTGTTTTGCAGGGACCTTTCCTCTCATCCTCCGTTCACCTTTCCCTTGAATAAGGAAACACTTTGGTCTAGTATTTTGCCTTGAGACTGACAATTACACAACAGATCCATCTCCAATGCAGTACTGTGAAGATGTTGAAAACCTAGTGTTTTGGTATTCAAGGACTATTTTTCTGTTTAAGGTAAAATGGTGGGGGGAAGGTGGGAAGGTGACTCAGTGGTAGAGCGCTAGCCTTGAGCTGAAGAGCCGAGGGACAGTGCCCAGGCCCAGAGTTCAGGACCCATGACCGACCAAAAAAAAAAAAAAAAAAGGTAAAATGGTAGAGCAAAAGGTTTGCTGTGCTAAGCAGACTGAATTCATGGTTGTTGCCCAACTTTCAGGCCAGTAAGAATGAGTGCAGTTTTGAGTTTTCTGTCTACTCCAAATTCTCTATTCTTCCTATGGCTATGTCCCCAAAATGAAATGTAAAACGAAATTAATGATTTGTTAAAGCAAATGGATGCTGTTGCTATTAGCATATCCCATCTACCTAGTGCACAGGATTTAATAATGGCCATGTCCCACCAGACAAACTAAACTTTGGCTTTGGTTGCACTTACCTATGAATGTGGGTTCCAGAACAAACATAAAGCCTTAACTTAGATTTTCGTGTTTTAGAATCATCACAGCCTTAATGTTTAAACCTCTTATTTAAGTTGTCCTAATAAAGGACAGATGCATGTTTATTTATGGCTTTTTGTAAATATAAATGCAGTGATCTGCAGCTTTAAATTCTTGTTTCAACGACAATGTTTGTTATCCTAGCCAACGGTTATTTACAGAAAAAAAATGGAGCATGTAATCATTCTTTATGCACAAGAAGTGCCCCCTACAAAACTTTTGCCACCCAAATTGTCTGTCCTAAGACTATCTGTAAAAGCTGAAATTGAGTGATTAAAGAGCCTAGAATTCTTTTGTGTGAATTCTTCATCCTACTCATGCTGTTCTTCAAATTGCATTGTCTTAGCTTTACAGACATCAGACATCCTCAGAAAGACAGTGATGAAGAGATTATGCCCAGTTGCTCTCATTATTGTTTTACTTTGGTTCAGGAAAATAAGCATAATAAGCTTAATAAGATAATCTATTACCAGAGTTTCTCTTTTGGTCTAAATACTGTATGCATTAGAAATTCATGGGTCTTTGGGAAAATATATTCAAAGTTCCTGAGTTTACTGATGTAGTCACTTTCATTTTCTAATAGGATGCCTTTCATCTGGTAAATAAATAACAAGAGGCTTGGAATCTACATAGCGCTTTCCTCAGTTGCTAATTTTCAGGAACACCAAAGCAGTGCACTTCTGCTTCTTCCACACGAAGGGAAAATATGACTTGTATACACTATCTGAAAATGCTAAGTAAAGTTTGAAGTGGCTTTCTCAAAGAAAATGAGCAGTATTGGCCTGTGAGCCACCTTTAATTTCTATTAATACTAGCAACTAATGTAATACTAGCAACTGATAGGGTTAGATTTATACTTGATCCTTTCTGACCTCAACTTTAGGATATTTATAGTAGTTCAACCCAAATCTGCTCATCTACACCTGCTCAGATGTCTGATTTCAAAGAATACTGTCTGGTCCATTTCAACCCGTGCTTCTAAGACTTGTTCTCTCAATGCCCTTAAAGAGGAAGGAAAATAAACCTGGGGGACTTAGGACGGACACCATGAAGTGTCAAGTCCCATGCAGCTTTGCTTCCCTTTCTTCACCTCTGTCTCTGTGTGGTTCTTAAGTGTGCCCAAGTTCCAGCACACAATGACTGACTGGCAATATATAGCCTTCATATGCAGTATCTATTCAGTTTATAAGTGACACATATTATCTACTTTCTTCAGCAAGATGCTGGCTAGTAAAATATTCTTATGACAAAGAGAATGGTATCATTGCTTGCAGGGGTGAAACCCAACAGACTCAGTTGTTGGAACTATTTATTAGCAGATACACTGATGTATTAGTTTACATATCAAGAAACAAGAACTAGCCGGGCGCTGGTGGCTCACGCCTGTAATCCTAGCTACTCAGGAGGCTGAGATCTGAGGATCGCGGTTCAAAGCCAGCCCGGGCAGGAGAGACCGTGAGACTCCTATCTCCAATAAACCACCAGAAAACCGGAAGTGGCGTTGTAGCTCAAGTGGTAGAGCGCTCGCCTTGAGCTGAAGAGCTGAGGGACAGCACCCAGGCCCAGAGTTCAAGCCCCATGACCGACAAAAAAAAAAAAAAAAAAGAAACAAGAACTAAAGAACAAGTAAGCTGTTGGTTCTCCAGTGGATCACATTAAAAAATAAGCGTTTTGAATCTTGCCCATGTAATTGTAACCCCTCTGTACAGTATTTTCACAATAAAAAAAAGTTTGGATATGAAAAAAAAAAAATAAGCGTTTTGAGGAGCAAGGCCTAAACTATGTAAATAAATAAAAGCAGTATTGTTTGTATCACACCTGATTTAGATTGCCAAAATCCATTCAGTTCTTTCAACACTTTGAAATAACTATAACATTTGCATTGCCTTACTAAACAAATAAAAAATATTTGTAACTTTAAACCCACATCCACAAATTTCACAGATTGGCCTAAGAGGAAGTATTGCCACAGCCCCTCCATCAATTCTTTTTTTTGGGGGGCGTCTGGTCGTGGACCCCAGCTCTGGGCCTGGGCGCTGTCCCTCAGCTCTTCAGCTCAAGGCTAGCACTCTACCACTTGAGCCACAGCGCCACTTCCGGCTTTTTTCTTTTTGCTTATGTGGTGCTGAGGAATCGAACCCAGCGCCTCATGCATGTAATACAAGCGCTCTACCACTGAGCCACCTTCCCAGCCCCCTCCATCAATTCTTAAGATTCTACTCTGAAACAATATTACAGGCCACAGGCTACAGAAAAGAACAACCAATAAATAAATAAAACAAGTCATCTTTTTAGTTTATCAGTAAAATAATCAAGTGTTTCAAAAAAATGGGGAAAAAAAAACTGAAACAGCACTAAGAGGACTTGTTGGTCTCAAAAGTATGTGTATGACCTCAACAGACAATTATGTCTTGTCAATGCAAATTGCTCCATGCAAACAAAGACGTTTTTGTTTGTGTTGGCTTAAAGGAGCAAGCTTATTGAAATGATAGGAATTAGACCTCCTTCTGAGCTTCCAGTCTTCTTGCTGCTTATAGTATTTTACTGTCTGCTTTCTGGTGATCCCATGTCCAGGGTAGAATATGGTTTTAGGATTGCATCTCAAACATGCTGCTTAGGAATGAATGTGTAACTGATCCCTCTCCTACTTTATCTTCTTTTTTCCTGTGCTGTAATGAGAAATTTAGTGACTTCAGAAATGTAGCCCATTAGTGCCACAATGAACATTTGTCAAAAGTTAGTGCCTCTAAATTACTGTATCACAAAATGATATTCAACAATCAATTCTTTAACCAACTTAAAAAGCAAGCTTCCCTAAATTGGAGTTTTATATCACACTTTGGAAAACAATCCACACTTTGGCAAACTATATGTTAGGAATTATTTACTCAAGATTGTCTTAGTTTATAGAACTAACTTTTGTAAGGCACACATTTTTTCTATAGGTTCTGACAAAATTATTTGAGAAACTTCCAAAACGTAGTATAAGTTTAATCCATTTAACTCACTATTTTGTAACAAGATAATGTGCTAAAGAAATAGGAGCTTGGATTCTTAAGTTCTGTAAATAGTTACCATAATGGTAAGTATTCTAACTTCCTGTCATCTTAAATTTTAATTAGGAGAAACCAACTGTGAGGATTTGAAGAAATAGCCACATAAATTAGAAGCGATGAATAGTATCAGGGCCAAGGGTGTTAGCTCTACCATTTGGGCCATGCCTCCCACCCCCAGGTTGTAATAAACAGAGACACTTTTGTTTTTAAAGATTTACACAGAGTTCAGGTGCAGAGATTTAGCAGTGGTTCCTAAGACATATCATGTGTGTCGGTGGTGGCTGTGTAATATACCTGTTTAGGACAAGCAGGGAGTTCAGGGAACAGCGTTGCCAAAACTCTGGGGATTCTGAATAATGACAAGAGGTGTAAGCATATTTACTATCTTTGCAATCTGGCTACAACAGTTAATGGATCAGGAAAGCTATAGCTCTTTCTGAACAGGCTCCCTGTGGTCACTATGAGAGACTATCACAATGGAATCACAGCTTTGGTTGCATCTTTCTAGAGGCCACCAAGGCAGGGGCAGAGTGTTTCAGAGTTCCCTGCCACACTGTTCCTTCAGTGGGGTGATTTTGCCCTTGGAGGAAGACAGCAGTGTCTGGACATAGTTTTGGGCTGTCACAAAGAGGGTACAGGGTGGCTGCTACTGGCATCAATATCTGGAGGTCAGGGAGCTGCTTAGCATCCCACAATGCTTAAGTCAGCAGCCAGTACAAGGAGGATCCAGTCCAAAATGGAAGCAGCAGAGGTCTAACAGCCCTGCTCTGAACATGTCCAGCCAGCTGCTGAGTGGGACTTCATGCCTTGCTGTACATGCAGTATCAAGCCCGGCATTCAGGAAGCTATGCCTTGTTTAGAAACCATAGAGACCAGTGAACTCTCATCCTGGGTGCTGGGATTTGAACTCAGGGCTTCAAACTTGTTAAGCAAACATTCTACCACTTGTCTTAAAAATATTTTAGAATCCCTTTAGGCTCTTTTCTTTAGGGTTTTTACTATTAACGGCTTCTTTTTTTTTTTTTTTCTGAGACAGGGTCTTGCTATGTAGCCCAGACTAGCTTGTGAGCTCGAGGTTAGCCTGGCCTAACCTCGAGCTCCTAATCCTCCAACCTCAGCCTTCTGAGTGCTGGGATGACAGACTTGTGCCACCATGCCTGGCTATTAACAACTTCTGAAACGTATAAATTGAAATTCACTTTTTTTCTTCACTTCATACTGGGAAGGCCAGGATCCACAGGAAGCTGGTGGGAACCTGGCTCCGAAAGAACTGGTCACCATTTCCAGTCTGTAATAAGGTTTGCTGGCAAGTCGAGTGGGCTGAAATGACAGAATGAGGAAGAGCTTAGGAATTCATCACTGCAGCATGCAGGGGGAAGGCGGCGGTGCCCACTGGCAAAGCTGGAGTGTGTATAACTACCAAGTCTCTCAATTCCAGGCCCCGCTTAGCTTAGCAGTCAGGAGCACGGCACTGGGCCTGCTCCCAGCTCCCAGTTTGTCTCCCAGACAGCAGAAGAGATGCCCCAGCGTCTATCTGCCAACAATCCCATTTCTTTCTTCCCTGGTGTGCTAATCAATAACTGACACTGCAGCTGCAGAGCCTCAACCGTGAGGCCCGCAGCTGTGCAGCCACCCACTTGGCCAGAGGAGGACACCACAATGACTGGAGCCTGCCTCCCCCCCCCTCCCCCCCCCCCCCCCCCCCCCCCGTGTGCCTGGACTCAGAGGAAGGAGACATGCAGAACAAACTGATTCTGAGTTCAAATCACTGTACAAACATGATGAATTTCATGTTCACCTGTACAAACAGGTGAATTTCATATTATGAGGTAAAATTCCTAAGAATAAAAATTTAAAAATCTGAATGTCTTCCCAAGTGGCCAGAGGCCTAGGTACTTGTCCAAATGTCGCAAGGCCTTATTTTGATTTAGTCTTCTCGTTGTTTTTCAAGTTACTATAAGACTATATTAGCCTTTTCATGCCATACCCCCTCCCTCCTGCATGCCCCTCCCCACCTCACTAGCCTTTGCCCCCTGCGCCCTGTAGGCAGCTGAAGGTGTTATAGCCCTGCTGACTTTGTCTACCCTATGGTTAAGGCCAGGCAGGGCAGCAGGAGCTAGAGCTGGCACTACTATTTTGCATTTGGCAAAACAGCGCTAAAGCAGGTAGGATTTGGATTTGGGTTATTATTTGTATTTTTTAAGACAGGGTCTTGCTAGGTAATACAACCTTGAATTAAGCTTTCCAAAGTGCTGGGATTACAGTTATAAACACCTGTAAAACCCACATCAAATATGGTGGTATAAGGGGTTTTTGTGTTGGGGGGTGACAGTACTGGGAAATGAACTCAGGCCTCAAAGTTACCAGGAAGGTGCTCTACCACTTGAGCCACACCTCCAGTCCTTCTTTCGCATTCATTTTTTAGAGGCAGGGTCTTGCTTTGAACCAGGCTGGCATGGGCTCTGATTCTACTTGTGCTTCCCTTTGTCACTGAGGATGGTAAGAGTGTGCCATAATGCCCAGCCACTGAATGAAGTCCCACAAACTTTTGTCCTCCAATCTCTGCCTCCCAAGTAGCTAGGATTACAGACTTGAGCCACTGTGCCCAGGTCTGGTGTTTTTGAGAATAGATCCAACCCCATTCAAGAATGATCAATTCCCTCTAGATCTATTGTATCAGAAAAAAAGAAAGAAAAAAAAAAGGATGGGTGGGGGTGGGGAAAGAGAAGGGGGAAGGGAAGAAAGAGAATTAAGAGAAGGGATGGAGGATGAGGCAATAAAAAGACAGGGGAGGGAGGCATGGACAGGGAGAAAGGACAAATGAATTTCAAGCTCGCTTATTCCCAGGGAATTATATTGTGACAGGTCAGAGGTATCTCTGAGTGGAAAGGGGAATAACAACTCTGCTCACTGTGAGGGACGGCAAGAGAGGTCTTGGGAACACTTTGGTATCCAGCATTTGGGGACTGCTTTCCTGCTTGGTCTTTGTAAGAACGTGCCTCTGGGTATTCCTGAGAGGTCTTGGGTCCTTGGTTTTCAATGTAGGTCTGTAGCTTTGTAGTCCTTCTTTCTGCAAAAGCTGCAAGGTAGCCAGATAGTGGATGCTGTTGGGGTTGGGAGGGCACATGGAGGTTTTCTCAGTCAGGAGGGACCATCGCAGGCAGCACCTTTCAGAATCAGCCAGCAGGGGTGTCGGGGCCTCGGGCGGAGATGTCAAAGACGTCCCCTTGGTGACCATGAGGTGCTTGGTCAGCTCAAAGTGTCTCTTGTCACCTGTCCCATCCACTGATTTCAATCCATAGCCAGTAGTCTCACACTCATCTTTCTCCACTTTCACCACTTTCTCATCTGACTGCCAGAAAATGTTCTTACTGTTCTTACCCAGAGGTTCCACACTGTTTGGAGGACTAGCTCTCAGGGGAGGCAGGACTAGGAGGGCCTTGGAGGTCAAGGAGTCGGACAGGGAGAACCCTCTCTCCGGGCACATGCCTCTGCTGGGACTCTGGGCCGCCTTGCCACTAGGCACCTCCTGGGTGGCCCATTCGTCCAGGCACCAGATAAACTCCTTGATTTGCAGACTTTTTTTTTCTCTGTGAATGTAGTTGGGAAAGCAGAGGTTGTTACTCTCCCTGGGAGCAGTGCTCGAGACCTGGGAAGGCCCTGGAATCTGAGAGGAAGTGTTCCAATTCTTCTCCAGGCCTGGGTCAGCCACAGTCTTTGTCTCCCATTTTCCAGTCTCCAGGGCAGACTTGGATTCCGGGATCACCTGAGAGAGGCTGACACACAGCAAGCAGCTACTGCTGGAGTTTTCCCCTGCTCTTGCCTTTTTCAGTTTCTTCCGTGACCAGATGCAGGCAGCTGGAGAAGTCTTTCCCCAACCATGGACCTGCAGATGCAACAGCGCGTTACTGCCCTCACACTGCCCAAACTTTTAAAAATGAAAACTTCTGCCAGGCACCGGTGGCTCATGCCTGTCATCCCAGCTACTCAGGAGGCTGAGATCTGAGGATCACGGTTTCAAGCCAGTCCTGGCAGCAAAGTCCAGGAGACTCATCTCCAATGACCCACCAGAAAGCAGGAAGTGGTACTGTGGCTCAAAGTGGTAGAGTGCTAGCCTTGAGCAAAAAAACTCAGGGACAGAGCCCAGGCCCTGAGTTCAAACCCCTTGGTGGACCAAAAAAAAAAAAAAAAAAAAAACAAGAAAAAAAACTTTTAATATTCATTTTAGCCTAATACTGAACAATAAATTGATTGGTGATCATGTGGAGCTCCTAAACACTAGGGCAAGTACTTGTAAATGACCACTTTGAGAGACTGCCTGTATTGCTTTCCAGATGCACGCTAACCTTAGCACTATTAAAATAAACCAAAGTTGTTCAGTATTATCACACTCCCAAAGACTTCCTGCACTTCCAGTTTCTATTTCCCACACTGGAAAGAGACTTTCCTGGAGACATTGGAGAGCCAGAAATGAGCAGTTATGTCCTGGGTGCCCAGGAGCCCTAAGTACCCCAGGAACACCTGCACCCACCTAGGTCAGGAGTTCCTGGCCACCTTAGCCAGAAGTCACTGTCAAGACAAAGCTGCTGTAAAAAATACAGTACCTTTTCTAGGCATGGGGTCTCACATCTATTAAAGCCAGCACTTGGGACAGGAGGGAGGATGGAAGTTTAAGGCCAGCTGGAGAAACATAGCAAGATAGTGTCTTAAGCAAGCAAGCAAACAGGAGGGAGGGCGGGAAAGAGACAGACAGGGGGAAGAAGGAAGGAAGTCTTTTAATTCCCATTTCACAAATGGGAAGAAATGTTTTTCTCTTTTTCTATTTCTCCCTTCTTTATCCTGTTACACTAAAATAAAACCTGAATAAATGTTATTTTCAAAAATACAGGACAGGGGAGATGGGAAGGTATAGGAAGGGGAAACAAAGGAGGAGGCAACAATGCTTGATAAGAAATGTACTCATTATCTTGCCCAGGTAATTGTAACTCCTCTGTATGGTATTTTCATAATAAAAAAAAAAAAGATACAGGACATGTCTGCCATACATTGAACACTAAATGATCTGAAACTCAAATTTACTGGGCATTCTATATTTTCAGCTACTTAATCTAGTAACCTTAGAAGAGTTTTTCCCCCTTGTTTGTTTAGTACCAGGCTTAAACTTAGGGTCTCTACTCTTGTTCTGCTTTCTTGCTCACAGTTAGTGCCTACTTGAGCCATGCCTCCAGTCTGACATTATGCTGGTTAATTGGAGACAGAATTTCAGACTTTCTTACCAGGTCTGGCTTTGAACCTTGATCCTTAGATGCCAGCCTCCTGAGTAGCCAAGATTTAAGGCATGAGCTATCTCGGTTACCAGCAAGCAACTCTGTATTTAATCTTGAATCTGATTAAGTTCCCTTGTTTTAAATTTAGGGTTCTATTTTTTACTTCAAGTGTATTTCAAAATCCCATGGAGTTAGAAACAGGAAGAAAGACTCCTTGGCCCTCTTGGGAGCTTAGCACAGTGGTGAAGAAAGTCCTGGCTCTGAAGTTTTTTTTTGTTTTTACTCTTTTTAATAAATATTTTATTTACTGTCTTTAGGATATACAGGTCCCCCGACTGAAGAGTGCAGGCAAACTCTGTTATCGAACCCAAGGAATGCAGGGAAGGCTTGGGGCCGGCTGGGCCGGTGTGTTCCTGGGGCCTGGGTTCTGCCTGGAGTCTACCCAGGCAGCTGTGACATGGGCCGCCAGCAGTGTGCACACGGCACCAGGAGAACATACCTGGCTCTGAAGTTTGAAGACCTGGCTTGGAGCCCTCCTTGCCCACTTTCTGCCTGGTTGGGCTGGGCAATCTCATGGGATTCTATTTCACATTTGGGTGCCTCAATATTCTTAGGCACAAAGAGAGGCCTCAGAGAGCTACTGAGAGGCTGAATGAATGAGTGAAAGATGAGCATTTAGTACTGAGCCAACCACATAGTAAGTGGCCATAAACACATACTAGCAGGAACTGCTGTCGCCAGTAATATTTTACCTCTGTTCTTTGGGTCTTATAGTTAACATTGGCTGTACATTTTTGGTAATATTATTTTGAGGGAAAAGCATGCATCAAATACTGAAGTGAAAAATACCCTAGAAGACACTCACAGCTTCTTCCCACCCAGTGCCAACAACGAACTCGATTCTTTCATCTTCTTTGAGAGTAATGTCACTGATATCAAGAAGACAACACACATGGCTCTTTTCTCTTCTTTCATCTGGACAAGTAAAGTTTTCTTCAATTTCTTCTGTGGTTTTAATTTCACTATTTTCTAAATCAGTCTCACTTTCCTGACATAGCTCCATTACCAGGATGACTGCTTAGTTTTTAACATCTTCTTCCTGCAATTTGAAAATGGGCACTGAGCTTAGTTTTTTTTGTTGTTTGTTTTTTGTTTTTGGGTCCAGTCATGGGGCCTGAACTCTGGGCCTGGGTGCTGTCCTTCAGCTCTTCAGCTCAAGGCTAGCGCTCTACCACTTGAGCCACAGCACCACTTCCGGCTTTTTTCTTTTTGCTTATGTGGTGCTGAGGAATCGAACGCAGGGCCTCAGGCATGCAAGGCAAGCGCTCTACCACTGAGCCACCTTCCCAGCCCGTGAGCTTAGTTTTTAATATTTTTTTTTCTTTTTGGTGCCAGTCCTGGGGCTTACACTTAGGGCTTTAGGCACTATCTCTGAGCTCTTTCTGCTCAAGGCTAGCACTCTAGCACTAGAGCTATAGCTCTACTTCTGGCTTTTTTGGTGATTAATTGAAGAATCCTGGGCTTAAGAGCCTAGGCACTGTCTCTGAGCTCTTTATGCTTCGGGCTAGCACTTTACCACTTGAGCCACACCTCCACTTCTGGCTTTTTTGGTGATTAATTGGAGATAAGAGTCGCAAGGACTTTGGCTGGCTTCAAACAGATCCTCAGATCTCAGCCTCCAGAGTAGCTAGTATTACAGACATAAGCCACAGAGCACCTGACTAATAGTAACTTTAAAAAAAAAAGCAATTCAGTAACTGGTGAAATATCTTTAAAACTCTCAGGAACAGACTGAGAACAAACAGTACAAATTATCCATTGTCAATTACTGAGATAAAAAAAGGGTCAGGCTGATTTGAACTAAAGACTAATGGGTGTAATTAAAGAACAAAGTCAAGCTAGAAGTGGAGCTGTGAGGTAGTGTGTTAGGTTGAGCACAAAAAGCTCAAAGACAGTGCCCAGTCCCTGAGTTCAAGCCCCAGTACTGGCACCAATTTTTTTTTTTTTAAGAAAGGAAGAAAAATTGAGCTGGGTAGGTGGCTCAGTGGTAGATCGCTTGCCTTGCATGCATGAGGCCCTGGGTTCGATTCCTCAGCACCATATAAGTAAAAAGAAAAAAGCCGGAAGTGGTGCTGTGGCTCAAGTGGTAGAGTGCTAGCTTTGAGGTGAAGAGCTGAGGGACAGCGCCCAGGCCCAGAGTTCAGGTCCCACAACCGGACCCCCCCCCCCCCCAAAAAAAGGAAGAAAAATATAAGCATAGGCAGTTATTTTCTAAACAGGACTCCAATTGCTGAGAAAATATGGACATAAAAGAGCTGATTCCCAGTCCCTGGTCCCAGAGTCTGATTATACTTTTTCTGGGCACAGCCTAGGCATTAGATTTTCTTTCTGTTTTGAGACAGGGTCTCACTATCTTGTCGTCCAGGATGACTACAAATGATCTTTCCCTCTTAGTCTCTCAAATAGATGGGATTGTAAGGGTGTACTGCCACACCAGTAACTGTTAGTATTTTTAAAGTGCTTGGTAAAGTTGGAGAACTGCTACTGTGCTAGAAAGTTCTTCATCTACATTTTCCACCCCTGCTCTTAGTTCTGTTATCCTGAGCGAGGCTCTGCAACAAGAAGTATGCATAGGCTTCAGAAAGTTTAGGAAACCTCCAATCACACAGAAACCAGAATCACAAAGTGCACTATCATGCAGAATGCATATGCTCTTCTCTCTTTCAGGGTATAACCAACTTCACGTCCTTCAACTATTTCTCACATGTCATGAGAAAAATCTATATATAGATAGAGGGAAAGGAAGAGTAGAGGTGAAAAGATGCCGCTTTGGTTAAGCTCCTATTCTGCAATTGAAAAGGGTATTCTGGACTTGAAAAGGGTGCATTCTATTATACACTGGGGAAAAAATAAAACATAGTTCTAGTGGGACGTTTTGTCTTGTGTTTTGTTTTTTTCCCGGCTCCTGGGCCTTGAACTCTGGGCCTGGGCACTACCTCTTTTTGTTCAAGGCTAGCACTCTACTACTTGAGCTACAGCACCACTTCCGGCTTTTTCTGTGATTAATTGGAGGTAAGAGTCTCACAGACTTTCCTACCGGAGCTGGCTTCCAACCGCAATCCTCAGATCTCAGCCTCCTGAGTTGCTAGGATTACAGGCGTGAGCCACTGGCGCCCGGCGGGAAGTTTCTTAGTACAAAGATAAACTTCACACACACAACCAGTTACATAGACCTCAAGCATCCTCATCCCCGGTGGTGCAGTATCTAAAGAAAAAAGCTTGTGGAGATTGCTGTCTCCTTTACAAACAGTTCTGGAATACACTGAAAATGGAGTTAGACTTTTGCCTCAGTTACGCACGTGCACCACCTGATTAGCTAGACTTGTATTTTCAAAAGCATACCTTTTCTCTTTCCTGCTTAGTGTGTAGGCACGTGGCCTGTAATCCCAGCACGTGGGAGGCTCTTGAGTTCAAGGCCAACCCAGGATACTGAGCAGAGACGAGGTTTCTATCTTCCCGAGTTAGTTATCGGTGCCTCGGGCTTATTATAGGCTCACAGGCCACAGCTACCATGATTAAGTATGTCTTCCTAGAGAGGTTCATGAAAACATCACTTCCGCTCAGCTCATTTCTGCTCCAATCGGTGTCAACTCTTCCCGTTTTCAACTCACGTGAATTCACTGACTCGCTAAGCGCCTAGAGCTGGAAGCAAATTGGTACCGCAATGGAAGTCTCAGCTCCCACACATCTCGCGGCAGAGGAGCAGAGGTCACTCGGGCCCCCAGGAGCGCCGCAAGCACCGCCCAGGTCCCCATACATGGATCCTCCCTTTCCCCCCCAACAGCCCCAAAGCCCCGCCCCCATGCGCAGGCCCCTCCTCTTCCCCACCATGCCCCGCCCCTTACCCCACAGCTCCTCCTCGGGCCCACCCCCCGCATCCTCCCACCTACAGACCCGGCTCCGCCCACTCCGCCAGCGCCTCTTGCCCCGCACAGCCGCCTTGCTCTTCTTTCCGGTGCCCTCCGGTTGCACCACGCCCCGCCCCTTCCTCTCTTGTACCACCCGAGTCCCGCCCCCAACGGCCCGCTCCCGGCCACACCCAGGCCGGCGCGCGTCTCGTGAAGGGCTGCTCGCTCTCCTTCCAGGGCCGGAGCCGCACCACCTCTCTCCTTTGGCTTCTTCGCTTCTGAGGGTCGCTTCCTTTCGAATAGCCTCGAACTTCTCGTTCTCCCGCCTGTGGGGTGATCCAGGAACTCGCTCCGGGGCCGGGAACGCGGCCGCACACACCTGTAGTGTAACCGCAGCTCGCTGAGGCCGGTCGAGCCGTTGCCCTGGGTTACAGCGACGCTGAGGGCGGGCCTACTTTCGGGCGCAGCGGAAGTGACGTTAAGCTGTCACGCTCAACAAAGCGGAGGGCGGGAGGAGGGGCTAGCGGACGGCGCGAGGCCCAGCGCGGCGCGCTCCCGGCAGCCCGCGCGGCGGCGCGCCTGGCGCTGCGTAGAAGGGCCTCACCGAATGAGCTGTGGAGGTGACAGTCGGCCCGGACCCCGGGACCCACGAGGGAACCCCCGCGGGCGAAGAGGCAGCGACCGGGACGGCGTCCCCGAACCAAACCTTAATACGTGCGCGTCTGAAACACCACAGTGAAACAGACCCCTTGGTATGACAGGAAGACAAAAGTGGGGAGGCCGGGGAGGGAGGCGAACACGTCCACGTAGCTCAGTCGCACCGGAAACCTGCAGGGGTTGTTCGGGGAGGCCGGCCGGGCGAGGCCGACCGGCCGGGATGCTGTCTGCACGCGTGCAGCTGGCAGGGTGAAACCCGCCGCCCCCGGCTGCGGCTGCAGGACAAAGCGCGGCCGGCGGCGGGCGGCGGCGCGCCTGCACTCTGCCACCTGCAAACTTGGGGCACCGTCGCCAGTCACCCCTGCCCTGAAAACCACGGTGCTGGGGATTTGTCGCTGTTCTTAAGCACCCAACCTCTTCACCAACTAGCACTCAACTGGTCTGCAATCTTTTACTAAGATCAAGAAATGCAACCCATGTCCCACCCCCCACCCCCACCCGTTGGTATCCGTACTGGGGCTTGAACTCAGGGCCTGGGCGGTGTCCCTCAGGTTTTTCACTTGAGACATGCATTCTAACATCTGAGCTACAGCTCTGTTTTTAGTTTTTGGTGGATAATTTGGAGATTGCCCCAAGGTTTTCCTGCAGGCTTCAAACCTGGATCCTCAGATGTCACCTGGAGTGGCTAGACCTACAGGCCTGAAGCCAAACTGCAGTTCTTGAAGAAGAGTTAATCCTTCGACAATGGTTCTGGGTGGCACCTGGTGACCTTCGGGACTTTCTTTTTCCTGGCAAACCTTATCATTCTGTCCCCACCCCAAGCAGGAAGAGTTCCCAGATTTTATCACTTCCAAGAAAAATTTAGATAGCTCCTCCTATGTTTCAAAGCTGAAGGCAGATTTAAGTAGGTAGCCCAAGGTTTTCCAATCTTGTAACTTAACATTAAAAAGTAGGTAGGAGGGAAGGGAGCTTATCTGCTTGTTCAGTTTGCTTTTTGGGGTTAACTTCTGAGGTCTAGCCCTTTGTTGAAAATAACAGTTTTCCAGTATAATTTACATACCTTGCTCCACTGTGAACATAAAGTTGGTATAATGAATGGCATACATTTAAAGGGTTAAAAAAAAAAAAAGAAGAGGTGGTGGGGATAAGTAGTGTTAGTTTATATAGATCTGAACAAGGAAGCAGAAAATAATAGGCTATGGTCTCTCAGAGGCCAAGAGCCTTGTCCTAGGCCAGGCCCACAGTGGAATGCTCCACCTGGGGTTTGAGGGCCATTGTCTCCTGGGGGCCAAGGTCCCAATGACCTGTTTACACACACACACACACACACACACACACACACACACACGTGTGCTTTGCTTGACCCCAATGACCTGTCTACAGACACACACACACACACCGGGTGCTTTGCTTGACCCCTGGGGAATACAGCAGGACTCAGTCCTTCACATTCCATCTTTAGATACATAAAAAGATTGGGCCTAGAGTGGAGAGGCAGTTCCTTCAGGTGGTCTATAGTAAAGCTTTGTTTCAAGGAAGAGAGATTTAATCTCAGTATAAAGAGTATAAAGAAGAAGGCTGAACACTAGTGAAAGCACACTTAGCCTCTTCTTCCTTACCCGCTTTGTGTTAGTACTGGAACTTTAACTAGGGGCCAATGCACTCAACTTTCAGGGCTCATACCCAGTGTTTTACCACTTCAGGACTGGCTACAGGTTCTGGATTTTCTTTTTTTTTTTTTTCCTTTTTTTTTTTTTGGGTCTGGTCGTGGGGCCTGAACTCTGGGCCTGGGCACTGTCCATCAACTCTTCAGCTTAAGCCTAGCACTCTACCACTTGAGCCACAGGGCCACTTTTGGCTTTTTTCGTTTTGCTTATGTGGTACTGAGGAATGGAACCCAGGGCCTCATGCATGCAAAGCAAGCGCTCTACCACTGAGCCACCTTCCCAGCCCAGGTTCTGGATTTTCCTGGCTAATTGGAGATAAGGGTCTCGAGAGTTGGCTTGAACTAGATCCTCAGATTTCAACCCCTTGAGCAGTTAGGATTTAGTATCTTCCCCCCTTACCCCCATACTAGGAATCAAACCCAAAACTCTTCATATACTGAGCAAACTTTGGTCAACTTTGGTCACTTTGTATACTCACATACAAAGTGAGTGTTCTACCACAGCTACTTCTTAAGCCCCTGGTTTTCCTTAAGTCAGGGTCTGGTTCCATAGCCCAGGCTAGGCTAAGCTGTCAAACTTACTACTGAGAATGCTGGGATTGCAGGAATGGCATACCACCATATATATATATACATACATACATATATATATATTTTTTAAACTAAAGGTGGGCTGTGATAGGTAGCAGGGGGTAAGGGAACCTAAATTTGAAGAAGAGATCACAAGGTTTCTGAATGAAAACATTGTAATTTTAAAACTTCCCAACTTATTGACCAGCCAGTTATTACCAAAGTAGCTGTAGGTCACAGGAGGTTGCTGACTTTTTCTTTTGCTGGTCATGGGGCTTGAACTCTGGGCTTGGGCACTATGCCTGCACTTCTCAGCTCAAGGCAAGTGTTCTACCACTTGAGCCACAGCACCACTTCGGGTTTTCTAGTGGTTTATTTGAGATAAGAGTCTCATGGAGTTTCCTGCCTGGGCTGGCTTTGAACTGTGATCCTCAGATCTCAGCCTCCTGAGTACTTTGATTATAGGCATGAGCCACCAGTGCCCAGCTCCCTGACATTCAAGCCTAAGGTCCAGCCTAAAGTAGAGAACCAAAATCAGCCCTGGAACAACACAGAGCTTTAACTGAACAAAGGACCCCAGGCTATGAACCATGCTCTGCATTCCTACTTTAATTCTTCTCTGGACACAACAGGCTATACTCTTTTCAGCAGCCCTAAAAAAACTATAGAATTGGGGGTGGGGGAAATTGACAAATTCTAGTCTGCGCTAAGCTTGCTTTTCTGAAACAGCCTCATTTTTGAACTAGTTTCTTATACAAATAGCCCTCTAGTGGTGTCATTAAAACCTAATACTCCCAACTACCTGAAGAGGTGACTGAATAACACTCCCAAAAGCATTCTACTTCTTAAGTTTTAATTAGAAAGTATTCTTCAAAAGCCTCTAAGCTTCTTTGTTAAGATAACCTTTGAAAAAAGAATATGAAGTCACCAGGCATGAAAAAGCTGAGGCAAGAAAATCATGAGTTCAAGGCCAGTGGAGTACATAGACCCAGCCCCAAGATTTGAGAAAAAAATTAGGTCAGGGAAATAAAAGTCTCTCAATTTAGTTGATTTGGAGGGTCAAATCAACTTTAAAGAAAATGAAGACCTGTATTGTACTTTACTGTTTTTTTTAAAATTTTGAACCCACTTGGAGTGGAGGACTTGGAGACCACTAGGTAAGGACTCTAGCTCTTGTCACATCTCTAACTCCTTTGACTTTGAGATAAAGTCTCTCCCTTTGTCCTGACTAGCCTGGGACTTACATCCTCCTGCCTCTGCCTCTTGAATAACTGGAACTACAGGTATACACAACAGCCAGCCTCAAAGCCTGTATTTTGAGGGACGCTAGGGTATAGCTCAGACAGACAGTGCTTGCTAAGAATATACGAGGTACCAAAATAAAGCCACAGTTTTTAGCATGATACCACTATAACAAATAACAATGAAATAGGCTCTATGTCCAAAGTAGAGCAAAGGTAAATTGCTTACATTTAGTTCTTTGAGTGGTAAAGGGCAAGTTTTGGGCCAGAGGTTGTGGCTTATGCCTGTAATCCTAGTTACTCAGAAAGCTGAGATCTGAGGACTGCTATTCAAAACCAGCCCCTTTGTGACACTTATCTCCAAGAAACCACACACACAAAAAAGTTACCAATTATCTCAATTTTCCCTTAAGAAAGAACAGATTTATAACTAAAAGGAAAATTTTCCAAGCTTTTCATGTTACAGCTTAAATTTTCTTTGTAAAATCAATTTCCCAGGGCTGGAGATGTAGCTCAGTGGTAAAGTGTGTTTAGCATTTGTGAGACCCACATAAAAGCCAACAACTTTGCACAAACTTAAAATTAACGAGTCATGAAATGACTTATTAACACAAGAGAAAACTTGAGTCATGAAATGAACTCAATATTAACATAAGAAAACCATGATTAATGAAGAGGTTTAATATTTTATTTATTTTCTCACTTAGCTGCAAACCTGTTGCTTCACTGTATAAAAATAGCACCAGCAAATGCAGTGCATTATAAAATGGAGCTAGAATTCTTCATCTGAGGCTGTCCAACAAGTACTTTCTTCCACTTCCAGTTATTTCAAATGGCAAGATCATTAGGTTAATCCAAATCCAGAGGTGGATATAAAATTACAACAGGATGTATGATCACAGTATTATCCTTGATACATTGATACATAATCTCTAGATTTTACCCTGGGCAATGAATTCTGAATACCAAATCCTAGAGTTTAGTCTAAAATTGATTAATGTATGGCAAAAAAGAACATAAGGTGTTTGTCTGCAATCACTGGAAAATGAAGGGTATTTTCTCTCATAGTAGCGTTGAGTCGTTGCTTTTCCTACTAGAAAGTGTTGCGTCATTGCAAAATGTTAAGTTTTTCATCCACCACTAATTTAGACAACTATGCTGCAGTAAGTTACTTCACTCTAATTTATTCAGGTTGCCATTTTCACTCCTCAATAGATTTTACATATTTCTCATATGCTTCTTCACTCATTAGTTCATCTAGTTCTGAAGGGTTACTCAGTGTCATCTTTATCAGCCAACCTGCAACCAAAACAAAAACGTTGTATTCCAAATTACCCTTTTAAAGAGTCTTAAATTCATTCAAAATGTAAATTTCTCAGTGCTTCAAAATTGATCTAGTAAATTCAATTAGCAATCAAATTAATCTCATGCATATACATTATTTGTTGGTGAAACTTTAAATTTTGGCCCTAAAGGCTGATCACAATAAATTACAAACTCTTAGACTATAATGAACATAAACAACTGCCATCTGAATCTTCAAACAAGGACTCAAATTAACAAGTGCACTCATGTATCACAGGGGAGGTACAACCCTGGAGCTACTGAGGCTAAAGGCATGTGAAACACTAGAGGGCTAGAAGGTGAAGAGAACCAATCATACCTAACCCTTACCCTACCACTTACTGACTCCTCATGACCCTCACAAATATTTGTGAGCCTTAATCCATCTTTTTAATGGAGGAAACTGAGGTTATCCTAATTCACTAGGTTAGGCATGAAACAAGAGTTTAGGAAAAACTAGGCAAGGATAAAAATGGGAACAACTTACCATCTTCATAACAAGATTTGTTGACAAGCCCTGGATTTTCTGCAAGTGCTTCATTAACTGCAGTTACTTCTCCAGACAGAGGAGAGTAGAGTTCACTGGCAGCTTTCACACTTTCCAAAGCACCAAACTCATCTGAGTGAAGTAAATTAAAATATTGTGTCAAGTACCCGAAGATACAAATATAGAGAGGTGATTGCCTCTCTGTCAAAAATTCTAAAAGCCATCTGCAGCCAGGCACCAGTGGCTCACACCTGTAATCCTAGCTACTCAGGAGGCTGAAATCTGAGGATCATGGTTCAAAGGCAGCCCGGGCAGGAAAGTCCATGAGACTCTTATCTCCAATAAGCCACTAGAAAACCGGAAGTGGCCCTGTGGCTCAAGCAGTAGAGTGCTCACCTGAGCTAAAGAGCAGAGTGACCGACAAAAAATAAAGCCATCTTTTTTTTTTTTTAATCATGCTCTTATTATTTATGAACAGGGTGTAAATCGCCTCTATAAAGTGGACCTATCTCTTCTGAACAGTGAACTACAAACAGTGGAGCCCTTGGATACCAGATATGCTTAAGTTCAGCGAAACAATGTTCTTCAAACTTATTGGAGCCTTAGAAAAAGAAAAAATTCTCCAGAGGTTCCAGAAATGGAGAAATACCTTGTATCTGCCAACTTTCCTGCAATTACAAACTCTGAAAAAACAAGCATATAAAAGTTCTGGGGGGCTGAGAAGGTGGCTCAGTGGTAGAGTGCTTGCCTTGTATGCATAAGGCCCTGGGTTTGATTCCTCAGCACCACATAAGCAAAAAGAAAAAAGCCAGAAGTGGCACTGTGGCTCAAGTGGTAGAGTGCTAGCCTTGAGCTGAAGAGCTGAGGGACAGTGCCCAGGCCCAGAGTTCAGGCCCCACGACCGGACCCAAAAAAAAAAAAAAAGAAAACTCTGGAAAGCTGTTCGTTTGAAAGCAAACTCACCCCTTAAAGGAACTGACTGAGATCTTCACTTATACAGCCTTTCCCTTAAGCAACAGTGCCCACCCAAAACACAGGGTGACTAAAACACCAGAAGAAAGCTAGTCTGTCTAAAAAAAATCCTCGAAAGGGGAACTATGGAGAAGAACGGAGCTAACAGGGATAGATCCTCAAATGACTTGGTATTAGCAGAGAATCTTAAGACTATGACAGTGAATGGACAAACATATGGGGAACACTCACAATGAGACACTTTTAAATGGATACTGGAAATAGAATATCTAAAACAGCATTATTGCAGATTAGAGACAACAGAAGAAAGGAACCATCAGTTGAAATTAACCACATGAGGCCCTGAGTTCAAACCCCAGTGCTGGGAAAAACAACGAAAACTGTTGAATTCAGAAGTCCTACCAGAGTCTCTGCAGTACACGGGACAGTATCAACCCCAAAACATGTAATTAAAGCCACAAAAGAATAGAAACAGTACAAATAAATCTTCAAGCAATATAATTTTTTTTTTCTTGGCCAGTCCTGGGGCTTGAACTCAAGGCCTGGCCTGGGCACTGTCCTTGAGCTTCTTTTGCTCAAGGCTAGCCCTCTACCACTTGAGCCACAGAACCATTTCTAGCCTTTTCTGTTTATGTGGTATTGAGGAATTGAACCCAGGGCTTCATAGATGCTAGGCAAGCACTTTACCACTAAGCCACATTCCCAGCCCAGCAATATTAGTTTTTTAATCTCCAAATTTGTTGGAAAAAAAATTGACTTATAGATCCAAAAAGCTCAGCAAACCCCAAGCAAGAAAAATATACACTTGTATACACAAGCACAAGCCAGTCAAACAGCTAAAAAACCTCACCATCCAGAGAAAATAACTTAGGCACTTTGATATTCTTTAAACAGATGGATAACAAAAATAAGACCTAACCCTGTGTTGGTGTTAGGAGTAGGGCTTCAGGAAGTAACTGATTCTAAGGGAAGAGCCCTCATGAATGGGCTTAGTTCTTATAAAAAGGACCCCACCAAAACCAGACTATGCTGACAGCCTGTGTTGGAACACATGAGTAAACATATGGGAGAGAAAATGAAGGCTTAACTCTTACTTCACACACACAGAAAACATGATCTATCTGCCGCAGTCAAGTGTGGTAGTGAACCTCTATAATCTAGTACTCAGCTGGACCACAAGTTCAAAGCTAGACCAGGCTATACAGCAAGACCTTGCTTAAGAAACAACAACAAGAAATAAACCAGATTCAACACTGAATGCTAAAACAATAAAGCTTTCTACAAGAACATACAAGAATTAAGTCCAGCACTAAGGAGTAGAAAATCTGCCTACCTGCTAAGCCCTGAGTTCAAACACCAGTAGTGCCAAACGTAAGTTCAAAGAACATAAATGATGTGTGGAGAGGAATACCTAGCAAATATTGTCAAAGATATTATAACTCACACTCTCTTATATATGCCAAGGAACAACAGGCTACCATTGGTCAAACTTCTGTGTTTTTTTTTTGCTGTGGTGGTGCTATAGAATAAACCTAGAGCCTTATACACATGAAGACAGTACTCTACCACTGAGCAACACGTCAATCTTGTACTTTTTATCGTATTCATTTAACTAAACCTTTTGACAGCTACATGTGGTAAATACCATAATTTATGAGACCTCAAGTTTAGTCATAGAGCTGGTAAATCGTGCGACCAGATTATTACAGTCGTTCTTGACACTCTCTCTTGCCTGCAAAGAAAGGCAGAATTACTTTTATTTTTGTGGTGCTCTACCAATGAGCTACACCCCCAACCCTTTTTTACTTTATCTCTTACGGTTAGTGGTAGCACTAAACCCAGACAGGGTCTGCTGAGAGAATTCTGGGGGAGGCATTCCTTCTCAACAGAGACAAGGAGGAGAGCTCACCCTCTTCTACTTGACAGCACTGATTCAGAAGGTACACAGAGAATCCATGTCTTTAATGGCTTTCAATGAACCAATCCTTAATCTACTCACCTCCAGACTACTTGTATTAATTGTTGAACCCTTCCATTTGAATATTCTGCCTCAAAAATTGAAAGCACTCTAACTGATCCAGGGTACAAGCAAATTGTTCTGGAAAAGATTAGGCAGGGAAAATTCACTGACTACATAAATACAAAATAAGAAAAACACTCACCTTGTTTTTTCAATTTTGTCCCAATTTCAGGCAGACTACAGTAAACAACATCTCCCAAAGCTTCCTAGAAAAACACCAAAACAACAGAAAACCCTTCAATGAATCAAGCTTTCTCTCCCCACCCTACCCCCAGCACAAAGGAAAAAGATAAACACTAAATCCCCTATAGCTACATATTTTGACTTTCATTACAAACATTTGACAGTGTAAACACTGGCCAGATATGGTAGTGCGAGTTCGCCTATAATCCCAGCACTGTGGAGGTAGAAGCAGGAGATTGTGAGTTTAAGGTTAGCCTTGCCATATAGTTAAGATTCTAAAAAATTACACTTAAGGAATACTTAGGGAGCTGGGCACCAGTGGCTCCCGCCTATAATCCTAGCTACTCAGATGGCTGAGATCTGAGGATCATGGTTCAAAGCCAGACAAGGCAGGAAAGTCCGTGAGATTCTGAGCTCCAATTAAAAAAAAAAAAAAAAAAAAACCACTGGAAAACCGGAAGTGATGCTGTGGCTCAAGTGGTAAAGCGCTCGCCTTGAGCTGAAGAGCTCAGGGGACAGCGCCAAGCCCAGAGTTCAAGCCCCACAACCGACCAACCAAAAACAAAAAATACTTAGGGGCTGGGAATGTGGCTTAGTGGTAGAGTGCTTGCCTAGCATGCATGAAGTCCTGGTTCCATCCCTCAGTACCACATACAAAGAAAAAGCCAGAAGTGGCGTGGGGCCTCAAGTGGTAGAGTGCTAGCCTTGAGCAAAAAGAAGCTCTGGGACAGTGCCAAGGCCCTGAGTTCAAACCGCAGGACTGGCAAAAAAACAAACAAAAAACAAAAAAAAATGTAAATAAGACACATATAATAAAAAATATAAAAACGAATCTTAACTCAGTAGCTACACTGCACATGAATCAGATTTGGGCCCTGGCATAAATGATATGCCTGTAAGGAGACTCCTAGATCTTCTGAACACACTGTGCTTTTCCACTTCTGCAGTTTTACTGACACCATGACCGGCTGCACTGGCTGAAAGCCCACTCATTGATTCTACAAACCCTGTCTTCCTAAAACCTCCAGAAGAAGTGGCCTCTCCCTCAGGTGAGTGACTCAGATCCCCTCACATCACCATTTTGTATGTTTTTTCCATGTGGGGGGACTCCCTCCATTGATAAAGTCAGAGGCAAGTGTGTCTTATATAGTATTTCACAAGATACCCTGTACCAGGCAGCCAATAAAGAAGATACTGCCAGTGACTCTCCAGTATGTCAGAGGAATTTCTTTTTCTTTTTTTTTTTTGGGGGGGTCCGGTCGTGGGGCCTGAACTCTGGGCCTGGGCGCTGTCCCTCAGCTCTTCAGCTCAAGGCTAGTGCTCTACCCCTTGAGCCACAGCACCACATCCGGCTTTTTTCTTTTTGCTTATATGGTTCTGAGGAATCGAGCCCAGGGCCTCAGGCATGCAAGGCAAGCACTCTACTACTGAGCCACCTTCCAGAGGAATTTCTGTCCAGTTAACATCTGCCTCTTCCTCTGGTCTCACTCATACATAGATCCAGGTGAAAATCATGTCTCTTGTTGGCTTCTCATTTTCTTTTGAAAAATATCCCAGTAAAATACCCACGAAGGCCCACACTTACAATCCTAGCTACTCAAGAGGCTGAGATTTGAAGATCACGTTTTGAAGGTACCCTGGGCAGGAAGGTCTGAGACTCTGATCTCCAATTAACCACCAGAAAACCAGTGGCCCTGTGGTTCAAAGTGGTAGAGCACTAGCCTTGAGCAAAAGAGCTCAGGGATAGCGCCCTGGCCCTGAGTTCAAGACCCAAAACAACAACAAAATAAAACAAAAACAAAAACAGTAAAGATGGGGTCCCATGGGTGTCACTGTACCCATAAAATGCTGGCACTCCTTCAGCACTTTGCTTGCTCCTCCTTTTCTTAACTGAATAGTTTTATTTGTTTGTTTTTTACTGAAAGTATTCTTCTTTTAAATGTTGACCTAATGTCCTTTGTTTTTGTTTTGTTTTATTTTGGGTACTAGTACTGGGGCTCAAACTCTTCTGCTCTTGCTTGGCCTTTTCAACTGATGTTCTACACATAAGCCACATCTCCAGTCTAGCATTTTCTGGTTAACTGGAAGTAAGAGTCATGGATTTTTTTTTTTTTTGGGGGGGGGGGGGGCATGGATTGGATTCAAACCCCGATCCTCAGCTCTCAGCCTCCTGAGTAGCTAGAATTACAGGGGTGAGTCACAGTATCCAGCTATGTTTTAAGACAGGTTATTACTATGTAACCAAGATTGGATACACCTGTCTTAATCTCCCAAGTGCCACAGGTGTACAGCACTATGCCTGGCACCTTACCTGATGATACCACACATTGCCCTTAAGTACACCTTATTTGTTTCACTTTATTTTCTTCTAAGGGGCTTTAAAAGGACCCAATACACTACAAAGAATAAATACTTTGCAAAGGAGAGATAATACAAATTATCTAAACCAATACCTGTGCAAAATTGCTGATTCCAACAGTTCCAATCCCATTTTCTGTCATTATCCATTCATGTTTCTCTGTGAATTTACGCACTAAAACAGAAGATTGATATTTTAGAAATGTCGTATCATTAGTTTTTAAACAATCCTTTCACATCATTTCTGTCAAAAAGCCAGAGCTTTCCAGAATTCGAGTTTGCCTTATTGATACCACCTGCAGGTAGTACACAGACCATAAAAGGGCAAAGATCTTTGTAAATACATGTAAAAATTAAAGGCCTTAGATTCTAAAATGGTGGTATTAGACATACAGGAACACCTGTGCATCTTTGGTGCCCAGGATCATAATACTTAGGCTTTAAAATTACATAGCCTCACACCCAAATCTTTGAAGCACATTTAAAAGTACACTTACCCTTTACTGGTCTATTTTGCAGAAAGGTAAGACTTTGGGTGATGGGATTAGGAACACAGCATAAAGATTGTTCATTTTAAGAGCTAGGAGTTTGATTCAAGCAGTGGAGCACCTGCTTAGCCAATGCAAGGCCCTGAGTTCAAACCCCTGTAGCACCAAAAGAAAGTTCATATAAGAAATAATATGTGCTGGGTGTGGTAGTCATAACTAATAATCTCAGCTACTTAGGAAATAGCAGGGTTGCAAGTTTGACACCCTCAAAAATTTAGAAAGAGCATATGTCAAAATAATGTTTCTTGTGAACCAGTCCTGGAGCTTGAACTCAGGGCTTGGGTGTTGCCCCTCAGCTCCTTTTGTTTAAGGATCTACCACTTGAGCCACAGCTCCACTTCTTACTTTTTGGTAGTTTAAGAGTCTCATGGACTTTCCTGCCCTGAGTGGCTTCATCAGAGATCCTCAGATCTCAGCCTCTTCAGTAGTTAGGATAACAGGTGTGAGCCTCTGGCACCCAGCTAAAACTAACTCTTAGTACCACCAAAAAAAAAAAAAAAAGAAGAAGAAAAAAAAAAGCTAGGTATAGTGGCATGTACATTTAGTTAAAGCTACTTGGAGGCTGAAGCAAGAGGATGATCTGAGCTCAAAAAAATATGTTTCTTAAGGAATGGGAAGGGGAAACAAAGGAGGAGGCTACAATGCTTGATAAGAAATGTACTCATTATCTTGCCCATGTAATTGTAACCCCTCTGAACAGTATTTTCACAATAAAAAAAAACGTTTCTTTTTAAGTAGATAAGAGTTGACTTTGGAAAGCTTCACTGAAACATACTTATAAAGAAATGAAACAGCCAGGTGCTGGTGGCTCATGCCTTTAATCCGAGCTACTCAGGAGGCTGAGATCTGAAGATCTTGGTTCAAAGCCAGCCCAGGCAGGAAACTCTGTGAAACTCTTATCTCCAATAAACCACCAGAAAACTGGAAGCAGCACTGTAGCTCAAGTGGTAGAGTTCTAGCCTTGAGCTGAAGAGCTGAGGGACAGTACCCAGGCCCAGAGTTCAAGCCCCATGACCGACAAAAAAAAAAGAAAAAAAAGAAAAAGAAAGAGACTTCCCTGGACAATTATAACTTGACTAAGTTCTTAAAATTCTTTTTTTTTTTTTTTTGGGGGGGGGTCCAGTCTTGGGGCCTGAACTCTGGGCCTGGGAACTGTCCCTCAGCTCTTCAGCTCAAGGCTAGCCCTCTACCACTTGAGCCACAGCGCCACTCCCAGCTACTTGAGCCACCAGCGCCCGGCTAAAGTGCTGACTTCTTTTACTATGTGTACTACTTGGCCCTAAAATTGTATTATTATGATTCTCTTGAACTAACAGGAAAAAGTGGACAGATTAGGCAAGTAACTCCATTTAATTGGATCTTGATAAACATGGGCTTTGGCCTCAGAGAATCACGATAAGTCATTCATTAAAAGGCTGTTCAATGATCAGGTAAAATATATTTTGTGAGTCTGTTTTCCCTTTGTATTTATTTGGTACTATACACTGATGTTTAACAAAGTGTATTCAGTGCCTGTTAGGTATCAAGTTGTAAGTCCAGAAATTACATAAATTCATTTCATCCTCCCAACAGCTCTAAGATAGGTTTTAACTCCACTTTTTTTTTTGGCCAGTTCTGGGGCTTGAACTCATGGCCTGGGAACTGTCCTTGAGCCTCTGTTCTCAAGGCTAGCTCTCTATCACTTGAGCCACAGTGCCACTTCTTGCCTTTTCTGTTTATGTGGTACTGAGGAACCAAACTCTTGGGCTTCATGCATGCTTGTCAAGCACTCTACCACTAAGCTAAATTCTCAGCTATCTCCATTTCTAATGAGCAAACAGAAAAGTAACCATACCAAAGATCTCACAGCTCAGAAAAAGTAGAACCGGAGTTGGTAGTAGACTGTCTGCTTTTATCTCTCTCTCTCTCATTTTTTTTTTGGTCATGGAGCTTGAACTCTGGGCTCCCTCAGCACTTCAGCTCAAGGCTAGCACTCTACCACTTGAGCCACAGCACCACTTCCCGCTTTTTCTGCTTATGTGATGCTGAGGAATCGAATCCAGGGCCTCATGCATTCGAGGCAAGCACTCTACCACTGAGCCACTTCCCAGCCCTGGACTGTCTGCTTTTAAAAGCCTGAGTGCACAATACCCTATAAATATAATAATGTGCCAATTAAAAAACAAGTGAATTACAAATAAAACCTAGGTGCTTAACTAGATCATGGGCATTGATATTCTGAGCAATATTTAACTAAATGACTAGAATGTAAACATCTAAAGATAGGATAATGCTGACTAGCCAAAAGAGAGAAGCAAAAGGAGCAGACTTGAAATTAATTTTTGTCTGAAAATGCTTTGCCCTCGTGTTCAAATCAGTAATGCACTGATGTGTATCAAAGACAGCTGAGGTAATATTAGCAGGCCCCAAACTGTGGAATAAAATGATCAACAATTCCAGTTCCAAACATTTCCTCCGGGTGTAATACACCCTAAACAAGAAGCCCAAGTTCTTAAAAAGGGCAGTCAGTGTCTCAAGTCTTTGCACATAAAGAAAATGCTTCCTCTCCACTGGGGCTTTTTGTGCTAAAGCAGCACAAATGGCCAAGATATTTACGGGCAGGTGTCCCAGTTGTTCCAACTCCGTTTAAGTTAGGCCTGTGCTGCCCGCAATGCGAGCTTTCAGGAGAGCGAATGAAACTCTGGCCCCGTTGCTTTAATATTAACAAGTAAATTGCTTTAATATTAACGAGTGCTTCTGCCAAACCCTCGAGTACTCGGTGCATTTAGTAGGCTACAGACCACCCCAGGCAGGGGCTCTGTGCACACGGGGCTCACAAAGAGCCTCCCCAGGCCGAGCCGGGACGCCCCTGCCCTGGGTCCAGCGCGCCTCCTCCCCCGGCCCCCTTTCTACCCAGGACACAGAGCCTGCTTGTGTCTCCTGGCCCCGCTCAGAAGGCAGAGGGGCCACAGAACCGGGACCGGGCAGGACCGCGGGCTGCTCCGGCCGGACGGCCCGGGAGGGAGACGCAACCTTCGCCCGGCCGAGGGGAGGGAGGTGACGGGTCGCCCACGTGCCCCGCGCTTACCCGAGAGCAGCGCGGGTCCCGTGCGCAGCGTGCGGACGGCGTCCGCTCTCAGCCGCCAGGCCCGCAGCGGGCAGGGCGCAGCGGGCGCCAGGGCCGTGCGCAGGCTGCAGGCCGCGGTCCCCAAGCTCCTAACCACTCGGAGCGCCATGATAAGACCGCAAGGGTTCCGAGGGTCGCCGCGCGGCGCCTCCACCACCGGGCCGGCGGGGGGCGGAGCGGGGCGGGGGGCGGAGCCGGGCGGGGGGCGGAGCGGGGCGGGGTGCCGGCCGGACCAAAGCCCGGGGACCGGCCCTAGGTGGGACGGGACCTGATTGGGCAGCGCTCGGGGGGCGGGGACTCCTGGGCTGGGCGCGAGCTCGGATAGGGTGATGCGCTCGAGGGGCGTGATTTTCCGAAGCGCCGAGGCCCGGATGGGGCATTGAACGAGGGGCGGAGGCCGTGTGGTGGGCGGGGACCAAACCGACGGCTGCGAGAGGCGGGGCCCCCCGGAGGGGCAGGACCTAGCCCCGGGCGTCTGTTCTTCCCGTGAATTGCCGGGTCAGCTGCCTGGGGCTTTGCATGGCCCCGGGGAACGCGCTCGCGCGGCTTCTCCTGAGTAACTGAGATAGTGACGGGGCTGCGCCCGCGCTCCTCTGTGTCCTGGAGCCCCGAGCAGCTGCGGGTAGGTGGGCACTGTTAGTCCTGCTGGACTCGCGGGGCTGCAGTCCTTTTTCTCTCAGAGTCGTTTGGATATTTGTAACTTCCTTTATGGATCTCACAGAATTGTCAAAGTAGGTGGCACCGGCAGCCAATGGGACGCAAAGGGAGTGCAAGTGCGATTTTGAGGGTCTCTTACGGCCCGAGGGCCATGTGTTCCTGTTCCCTGCCTCTGGCCACGATTGCACCGACATAACTCTGACTTTCTGAGATACTGAAAACAAGCCATGAAAAACTAGTTTGTTGGGCTGGAAATGTGACTTAGTGGTAGAGTGCTTGCCTCAAAGGCATGAAGCCCCGGGTTGGGTTCCTCAGTACCATATACGCAGAAGAAGCCGGAAGTGGCTCTGTGGCTCAAATGGTAGAGTGCTAGCCTCGAGCAAAAGAAGCTCAGGGTCAGCGCCCAGGCCCTGAGTTCAAGCCCCAGTACTGGCAAAAAAAAAACAACCCAAAAAGCAAGCAAACAAACAAAAAAACCCACTTTGTTACAGATCCCAACAGGCCCAGTGACTTCAAATAGGACAGACAAAAATCAAGAAGCTTATGGAGGGGAAAGAACTGGCCCAGGTCTTAGGACTGGACCAGAGTTAAGTAAGACCCAGTGTAGACAGCTTCTTGCTTAATCAGCCAAGCCTGTGACCAAGACCTGAGAAAAGCTGAAGTCATTGTTCAGATCCATGTATACAGAAAATAAGTTCTGGGAAAGACCTCACCTTCAGCACAGATATGATGCAGTGGGGCCCAGCCAGCCAAGAAACAGTGGAATGGAAAAAGCTGCAAGCTCAATATCAGAGGGTGGATTTCCTTGAAGTGAGTGTGTATGCAAGCCTCATATAGTGTTGCATTTAGCTTCCATCTAAGCCACTCGGTGATTATATGGATGTGCTCCATTGTCCTCTGAGTAAAGAAAAATCACCATCTATTGAGTGTCATGTGCCTGGCACTGTATGAACATTGTCTTGTGTGTGTGTGTGTGTTGATCTTAAGACTTGAACTCAGAGCCTGGGTGCTGTCCCTGAACTTTCTTTACTCAAGGCTAGAACTCTACTACTCGCACCACAGCTCCACTTCTGGCTTTTTGGTGGTTAATGGGAGATAAGCATCTCACAGACTTTCCTGCCTGGGCTGGCTTGGAACTGTGGTTGGTCCTCAAATCTCAGCCTCCTGAGTATCTAGAATTATAGGCATGAGCCACAAGCATGAACATTGTATTTTTACTCCTGTCCCAACTCCTCTCTGTCAGGTATTACTCTCAATTCATAGAAGAAGAAAAAAAAGCCTAGAGGCTCCACAGGTTAAGTAATGTGACCAAGCATTTTATAGCTTAAGGAAGGAACTGCTAGGTGGCAGTAGTAGGACTTCACAGAGGTTGCTCTACTTGGCTTAATTTGGAATGCTTAACAGGATCACACTGGCTCACTATCCACTCCAGATCTTGGCTACCTTTTTATAGAGTCAGGTTTCTGTTTACATTGTTTTGCCCCTAGCCAGGGCAATATAATGCAATTCATTTCCTCAAGTACTTATTCTTAGCTTTTTTTTAGAGTAAAGATTGAAACTTGACATGGGATATCATAGCTCTTCCACCCTAAATTAATGAGTACATCATATTGCTTATTATTATTACTAGCAGTCATTGACTATAGTCAAAAATACTTTTGTTTTCAATTCTGTACTCTTTGTAACTTCCTTGGCTTGAGAGCTGAAAGATTATCTGGTTGCGCAATTGCAGGTGGTAATTTCTTCTAGGTATCTCAGGAGGGGCCCACTTATATCTTGGAGCTGATAGATATTTTCCTCTTAAGGTGAAGCCCTAATCCAATATTATTGGTACCCTGATGAAAAGAGAATCAGAAGGACATGTGGCAAGATAGGAGTAATGTCTCCAAGAGCAGAGGAACACTGAAGTTTACCAGGAACACCAGATGCTGGGAGAGACATAGCTTCATCACTAATGTTTCAGGTAAAATGTGGCCCGGCCAGCACCTTGGTTTCAGACTTCTGGCTTCCAGGAGTTATTGAGACAAAGAATTTCTATTGTTTTAAGCCACCAAACAAGTCGTACTTTGTAACTTCGTACCAGCAGTCCTAGGATAGTTAAGAGGATTACTTGAATGATTCTAGTTTAGAACTATCTCTAAGAAGAGTTTTAACTGGCGTCATTCAAAGGGAGCTGCTGACGAACAAAAACAATAAATTATTACTCTGTAGAGATTTTTTTACCATGCCATATAGTTTTTATTTTGAGGAGGAAAGTCATTGGAACAAGTAGTCTCTACAATAATACCAACTTTATATCTATCTATTTATACATACATATATATAGCTTACACCCCAGGCAAAGCTTATTCTGGCTGAGTCAACTGAGCCTCAAAGGGTGACTTGGTCTGCTAGCCACTGCTCTAAGGCATCTCTCTTTTACATCCAACACCCAGGAAGCTGAGCATCTTTTCCAGGAGCAAATCCACAATCTCTCCTTCCTCTGACAGCTGCAAAGGAGACAGAACCAGGGAACATATCTGAAGCCATCCTTTTCAGAGGTTTCTTTCTAAGGAGAAGCTATGATTTTCTATACTCCTAAGGGATGAGTATGTGTTTCCTCCCTTATGTCTGGGGCTCCTTCCTCTCTGCTGAGCATTCTGGAGTTTTCCTAGTATCATTTTAAAATCTCAAACCAGACAGGAAAAGCTGGATTACAGAACCTAAATTTAAGCAGCACTAGACCTTTTTCTGAGATCATTGCTACCCAGAATGTTTTCTTCCATTTATTGTTATTATTACTATTATTAATTATTGCTGTTACTTCTGCTTGCTCTGCAATCTGCCTGTAATTGGTGGTTCAGTCACTAGGGTAGTAAATAGTTCCAAATTGGGAATTAGGATGCCCAGTTCTGACCTCAGTTCTGCCTTCCCTTGCTTGTGGCTACAGGAAGTAATTTGCTACTGGGCCTCAGTTTCTCCTTCTGCAAAATTATTAGGACTTTGAGTTGCAATGGTTAACACCACAGCTCAGCTGGTCTCCTCATAGTTCAATGTCATGATAGTTTAAGATCAAGAGCTCACCTGATCTTGTTTTTGTTCTTCACTGAAGGCCACCAGAATGACAGAGATAAACAGATTCAGCACCACAAACGTCAAAAACACAATGCAGGACCCAATGAGGAGGGAACCAAGCACAGGGCTATAGTCCAGCACCTGCCAGGAACAAAGCCAGTCATTCCTGGCATTCTGTGTCCTAGTGTCTCCCTCCTGGCTGTAACTCTCAGAAGGAAATTCAGTCCTTAGAGCTGGGTAGAGCTTGGAGCCAGGAAGGTCCCTCCGCTTGGGGCTGAGGATGGGAAGGACCAGAGGAGGAGCAGGCAGCATCCCTCCCCCCTGTTGCATCCTCACACACATATTCAGCCAAGGCTGACCCTGCTGGAGACCTTCCAGCACAGTCCCCACCCCATCCCCAGTAGTCAATGAATGCTTGGAGTTTCAGGAGCAGGATCTCCAGGGAAGGGTCCCGGATCATGTGACTATGTGATAGCCTGGGAAAGGGGACACAAGGAGGGGAGGGTGGGAGTGCTTTTTCTCATTTTCAGGAAGGTTTGGTGCAGACTTTACTTAGCGTCCACACCTCCTTACCTCTTCATAGTTGAAGATCCCTAGCTGAAGGCTGATCAGTGTCTCTGCTGCATCAAAGAGGCTTTTGTAGGAATGGAGTTGCCATCCAAATATTAAGTTTGACTGTTAGAGAGAGAGTGCTCATGGATGAAAGAGAAGATGTGGGACTCCCTCCTTCTCCTACACCAATCCTGCTGTCAGCCATGGCCCACACCACTACCTTCTCTGCCTGGCCTAGCTCAGCTGTCCCTATGGGAGGTGGGTGTATACATGCACTAATGCTTGAGATGGGATGTGTGTGTCCCTTTCTATAGGTCCATGCATGCAAGACCATGCACGTGCATATATGTGAGAGTCTGCATGTGTAGTTGTGTAAACACTGGTACCTGCACTCATGCCTCTGTGTGTGCGCACATGTGCGCGTGCATGCATGCACGTGTGCATTCGTGTGTTGCATATTCTGCAGGTGTGTTCACCAGTAACCTCCTCCAGGACCTTGGCTGTGCTCATAGTCTGTGGTTGATCCCAGCTCCACATCACCCAGCACCGAGAGCTCTCTGAGCCTCCTAGGGTTCAGGCACCCACTATCTCAGCCACTATGGCCTTTTTCCATATGGCTGCTCTAAGACTTAGTGAGGAAACTGGATGCTCTGAGACCCCAGCTCTGCCCCAGGGAGTTGCACTGGGCGGACAGTGGGCTGCTTCTATCTTGGACACTGCCTTTCCCCCACCACAACACATCCTCAAGAATTTCCTAGGACTGTGGTATCAGAGGAAGGCCCAGTTCCCCTCACCCCCATCCCGAGTTGTCATTTCTGGTCTCAGACAATACTGAGTATTGCAGAAATCATAGACTTGGATGAGTGTGAGAGTCAGGGGTGTGTATTTGGATGCAAAAGCTCAGAAAAGGGTCTTTGCTTCTCATATTACTTCATGGTGAAAAAAAAAAGAGTTGAACATTCAATGCTTTTTTTTTTTTTTTTTTGGATTTGTCGCAAATAGATATGATCATCAAAATGCTCTCAGATGCTAAGGAGCCGGTTAGGGCATTGGTCCTATCAAGTTCATGACTTAGAGTCTAGAGCAGCAAAAACCTATTCTACTGAAGCTCTCAGTCTTGGCCGTTGAGGTGACCACACCACAGATCCCAGTTAAAAGATCTAAACTCAGAAGATCTACCATCTCCCTCAGGGTCCCAGGGTCTCCCTAATTGTCCCCTCCATGCTACCAAGTAGCTCAGCTTCGTAGAGACCAGTTCTGAGGTTTTCCCAAGAGAGTCACTCACCGCAATGGAATAGGCCAGGAACATGATAACAATGACGGTGGTAAAGCCTGAAATGTCACCCCAGGCCCGGCAAAGAGCCGACGTGATCATGCTCATTTTGGGATTCAACCTGAGCAGGTGCCAAAGCTTCACCGTGGACAGGAGTACCAGGAAGGCAATGATGTATCCGAGAGCAGCATCGGCTGATGCTGTCTCACTGAAGCTGATCCCTCTGTGGGACCAAAATAGGAGGCCATGAGCAGGGCAGCCAGAGGCTCTCCGGATGTAGCATTAGATGTACTGCCATCTCGGGATGCAGGATTAGACGTATCATGATCTCAGAGCCATGATGGTGTTGATAACTGTGATGAGGAGGATGGTGGGGGTGACAGCAGTGATGCAGCTGCTGATGGGTGGTGATGGTGATGACAGCGATGGTGACGACACTGGCAGTGAGGAGGAGGATGGTAGGGATGACAACTGCCGATGGGTGGTGATGGTGATGACAGCAATGATGAAGAGAGTGATGGTGTTAGTGATGATGGTGATGATATCATGATGGCTCCTTGACAACTCCTTGTTGATGGAGTCTCTAACTAGCAGTTTTGTTTAATGGAGAACTCTGGAGGAATCTGGAGGAATCATCTCAGGGTGAGGAGGATGAAGGGAAGGGACTTTCTGCATTAGGGTCACCAGATGTTCTGCATCCCGCACATGTATCCACAACTGGCCTCCTATTTGAAGGAAAGAGGGGAGTTCTATCTATTCATTGTGCTAAGTAAGAACCGCAGTTGCTCTGTCTCATCTGAACATCAAGACCATATCTTCCTATCACCATTTCACAGGTAAGGATTGGGAGTTAGCACCAAGTCACACAGCTAGTGACTAAATGGTGACACACTTGTGAGTGCAAGAATGAATAGTCCAGGTGTGTCTGACATTAAAGCCCAGATTCTTTCCAATATCACAGCTTGTCCTTCATCCTTCTCCTGCCTTTCCATTTTAAATCAGTTTTAATAGTATTATATCATTAAAAATGACATGGATATTTCCTATTGACATGAAGGACAAAAACAAGTTACAGAAAAATATAGAATCCCAAGGATTTAGTATGGATATATAATTTTTACATAATATAACCAATATTAAATGTTTGTCCTTATATTTAACAATACCATTAATATCACATAATTTATAAATGTGATTATGGGGCTGGGCTGCAGCTCAGTGGTCACTCACATGTACAAGGCCCTGAGATCAATCTCCAGGACAAACAGGAAGGGAAGGGAAGGAGAGGAGAAGGAGGGGACAGAAGAGCAGGGGAGGGGAAACACATTTGGACAGTCAGAGAGAATAGCTCTGATCAGTGGCCGGGCTGCAGGGTTGAGGTCTTCTTCCCTACTAAGGGGTCAGAGCTGAGACTATGTAAACAAGGAAGCAAATAATTTAAAATTAATAACTTATTAAAATTCAAGATTTGAGTCATAGTATAGCTCAGTAGTAGAGTAGGTGCTTAGTATATATCAAGGCTCTGGGTTTGAGTCCCAGAAAAAGAAAAGAAAGGAAAGGAAAAATTTGAAGGACTGACTATAAAAACAGCAAAACTCCTGAAATTTGTTATATTTCTGAAATAAACACAAAACTTTGCTTGATTGATCCAAGTTAATTGATCAATCAAAGTTAATTGAGGTTTTCAATATTAATTTCAGCCTTAACTGAGCTTGGGTTCACTGGGCATGCTCAATGCTGGAGCCCTTGCTTAGCATGGGTGAGGTGTTGGGTTGAAGGATTCAATATCTACCACCACCTCCACCAAAAAAAAAAGAAACCTAATTCAAATTATGGTCAGGTTTCTGTTAAACTAGCAGATTTCACTTATGCTTTCTAACATTCAGTGTCAGAAAGTCACTGACACTGTCACACTGACACTCTGCTGTAGAATTGTTTTTGAGCCATGCAAATATGAAATCCATCTGGGTGGATGTCAAGAATGAAACATGCTGCTGGGCGCCAGTGGCTCATGCCTGTAATCCTAGCTGAGATCTGAGGATCTTACTTCAAAGCCAGCCTGGGCAAGAAACTCCATGAGACTCTTATCTCCAATAAACCACCAGAAGGCAGAAGTGGTGCTGTGGCTCGAGTAGTAGAGCGCTAGCCTTGAGCTGAAGAACTCAGGGACAGTGCCCAGGCTCAGAGTTCAAGCCCTGCTATCAACAACAACACAAAGAATGAAACATGCTTGGATCCTGGTGAGGAAAGAGCGTGGCCAGTGAGGGCACAGTGACAATCCAGTGTCATCAGCGGTCCTGGGGGACCTACCACAAACAAGAGCATCATTCCTTCCTAGAACGAAGCCTTTGTTTTCTAGCCATAGCTGATAGGCTTTCTGGGAAGGTCCAGGGAGTCCACATTCAGGGCTGTGTGAGCCAGATGGTACCAGGTCCAGAGACTCAATGTAGCCATGGTAGTCGTGAGAAGGTGGCCATGGATCATGCGTGAGAAAAAGGCTGGGCTGGCATTGCAATAAAACCAGGCATGGGGGCACATGCCTGTGATATCAACGCTGGGCAATCCAAGGCAGGAGGATCAGGGGAAGGATCTGTCCCCAAAATCCAAACCCAAACCAAACCAAACCAAACCTTATTTACAAAAACAGCAGAGGCTGGATTTGCTCCCTCATGCCCGTTGTTCCTTGCTGACCCTTTCGAGAGCTAAAGCACCTCTAAGTTTTGTGAATGACTATTTCATATAAGCTCACTGTCAGCTTTACTGAAAAGCTGTCTGCTGACAACTTCTGACCTGTAAGAACGCTGTTGATAGGAGACATTTCTGTTGAGGGAGCCTTCAAAGAAGTCTGGTAGTTTTGACACATGGCAAACCAGCATAGGACACAAGGCTGGTTTGTTGAATGAATGATATAGCATTAGACTGGAGTTCAAGTTCTGAGACCTCTATTTACTTTCTGTGTGATCTTGTATCAGCAACTTAACCTCTCTGAAACTCATTACAAATGATTTTGTCATTTGTTTTTTTTTTTAAAGAGTGAGATAATGGGGCTGGGGAAGTGGCTTAGTGGTACAGCGCTTGCCTAGCGTGCATGAGGCCCTGAGCTCAATTCCTCAGCACCTCAAAAAATAAAAAGTGGGGGATGATAATATTCTTAGAGGTCTCAGAAATACTAAAATAGGTGAGGCTGTGCTTTTATCAATGCTTTTATCACAATGGGTGACTTTCAACAATAAGTCTGATGTTAGATATATCTGTAAAAAGGGTGATGGAAAAAATGCAATTACCCAAAGCAAGCCATTTGATCCTGGAGCCACATAATCTAGGGGGTGGGGGTGAGGGTGTCCATGCATGCTGTTACTGGGGCTTGAACTCATGGTCTTGGCACTATCCTTTAGTTTTTTCACTGAAGGCTAGTGTCTAACACTTGAGCCACAATTCCACCTTTTTGGCTTTTTGTTGTTTTTGAGATAAGAATATCATGGACTTTCCTGTCCTGCCTCATTTTGAACCACAGTCTTTAGATCTCTGCCTCCTGAGTAGCTAGGATTATAGGCATGACCACTGGTACCTAGCTAAAAGGTAGATTTAATTACATCTTTTCTGCCTTTCTGCTGTGTGGCCCTGGTAATCACCTGGGTTTCTGAGTTTCTGTTTCTTTGCGAAGTGGAGTGATGATACCATTCACCTTCATCCATTCCTGTTTATCCTATGAGTTTTAGATATGAGTTAATCCATCCTGCCTGGGACAGAGTGAACACCTGATGTGTGCCAGCAGAGACTGCTCACTGGGGCACTGTCTCTTCCAACATGTCTTCTCCAAAGCTGGGTGGAACCCAAACCAATGCTGGGTGCACATGTAAAGTGATATTATACTTTGTCGTAAAGAACCCTTTCCAGTCGTATGTGCTCCAGACCCCACACCTGATCTAGGGGGCACCTGCAGTTACTTCTGCTGAGGGCCCTGCGGGGAGCCGAGGGTTGGCAAGGTCCCCGAGGTATCCTTCCTACAGCTGGAGGGAAAGGAGGAAATAAGCAGGGGAGCTGAGAGGCGACCACTTACCCTGCCCTGTGCTCCCGGTAGTACTGCAGGTCACGCTCTGCCAGCACAGCCCTCTTTACAAACACCGCCAGAGCACTCCAGCTGGCCAGGATGATGGCCAGTTCTAGAAGGTTCCACTTGCTGCTGAAATAGCCCCACTTCAGCCTCTTCATGAGCTTGCCCTGGGAAAGGAGCCAAGGTTCTGTCAGAAGCAGTGGTCCTGACTGCCACTCCCAGCCAGGAAAGCAGGGACTGGGAAACAAGGCCTGGGGAGGCTCAGAGGTCCTGGCCCTGTTGGCAAAATGCCTTGAGGCCTCTCCCAGCCTTGTACACAGCCTCACTTGCTCCCACCCCTAGCTCCAGCTGCAGGACTTATGAGAGTAAATACAATATCTAATAAGGGGGAAAAAAACCCTTTTTCCCCATGCAAAGAAAGATTCTCCTTCAGTCCCTTGCTTTTCAGAGTCTTTAGAAAACCTGTCATTGTAAAATCTCTCCCTGCTTCTTGAAGATATATCTTTTTGAAACCTAAACAAGCCTCTTGATAGCTTTCTGCCTAGGAAAAGTCTTTCTCAAGGACCTGGGAACCATCTCTTCGATGTGTGGTTATAGAGGAAAGTAGTACCCCAGTTATTTCTAGGGTCCCTAAGTGGGCAGAAGCCAACTCCACAGACACCTGACTCAAGTTACCAAACTCGCAGTCACAAAGGTCAAGTCTGTCTTTCCTTTTAAGGCAGTTAGTAAATACTGGTGACCTGAGGACCAGGTGACTTTAGGATGGTGTGTCCAGTCCAGGCCCTCTCACCTAAGGACAAGTGTGGTGGGTGGCATCTGCCTGTCTGTATAAGCACATGAGTTTTCTTTCTGTCAGTGACCTCTGAGTGCATTACCCATGATACACCTCACATGCTGGTCTAATGCTTATTCAGTACTAATACTGCTTTCTGTAGAGAGGAAGGAATGTACAGATGTAGTCTCATTTTTGTTTTTTGAATTATTGTTTGTGTTGTTGTTGTTGTTGTTGTTTGGTTGGTCGTGGGGCCTGAACTCTGGGCCTGGGTGCTGTCCCTCAGCTCTTCAGCTCAAGGATAGCACTCTATTACCTGAATCATAGCACCACTTCTGGCTTTTTCTGCTTATGTAGTGCTGAGGAATCGAACCCAGGGCCTCATGCATATAAGGCAAGCACTCTACCACGAAGTCACCTTCCCAGCCCTTGGTTGGTTATTTTTTGAGACAGAGTTTGTTAGATAGCCCAGGCTGGCCTCAAACTCACAATCTTCCTACCTCAGCCTCCAGAGGGCTAATGACAAGTGTGAACTATGACACTGGGCTGGCATCCTGCTTTATGAGGCTCATTTTCTGGCATAGGTGGTGAATATGAAGGTCAGGCATTATACTCTGGATTCAAATGTTGATGATGGGGGCTGGCGATATAGCTCAGTAACAGAGCTTGCCTAGCATGCATGATGCCCTGGGTTCTATACACAGCACAGCAAAATAGAAAATAAAAACACATAACTTGGGATAAATAACAACTCTGGGCTTTTGTGTTCTTAGGACAGTACTTCTCATACCATAAGCCCCAAACACACCTTGACTTAAAAGAATTACTGGATCAGAGGACAAGATACTGTATGCCTTTAGGCATCTATCCCATGTACACTTTTAGTGGGAGGTGTGGGGGGGGCATATGACCTGTTTCTGGCAACATCTTCAAATTCTCATCATCAACAGCTGTGCCTTCCTGGTACAGCACATCAGTGAAGGTGGTGAGGGATTTTTCCCGATTACCAGGGACCACAGATGACAGTAAAAGGTGCACAGAGCTCCCCAGCCTGAACTCAGAGACTCCCCTCCCCCTCTCGCCCGCTCTTAGAAGGTTCAGTAGCCACAGGACCTCCTTCCCAGGCTAGGCTGTAGACAGAAGCTGAGTTCAGCTGTCGGGACCTGAGGTTTCCAGGCAGATACCTAAAGCAAAGATGTTCCTTCCTCCCCCTTCAGGCCCCATTTCAAAGAGTGGGAGAGGGGAGGGTCAAGGATCAGGCTCCCCCCAACTCCATCTCTGCCCTGGGTGTCCCACATACCCCTCACCTGCACCGCCATGTAGTAGAAGAGGAAGATGAAGTAAAGCAGCTCTGCTGCCACCACGAAGGGGTGCCAGCCATCGGTGAAGGGGTACAGACGCAGGCTCTGCAGGGTCGCATGTGTGAAGAAAGTCCCTGGGAAGCAAAATGCTTTTAATTGAAGTTTGTTTTTTGTTTTTAGTAGTTGTGATTAGCATTTTAATGATGAATGGTAAGGAGAAAGAAATAGAATGAGCATGAATTATGACAGCATCCCACATAGAGTTAAAGTAAATATTGTTTGTGAGGCCTTGGTATCGGTATCGTGTGTGTGTGTGTGTGTGTGTGTGTGTGTGTGTGTGTGTGTGTGTGTGTGTGTGCTGGATTAGGGGACAAAATGTACTTCCAATGTGGATTTAGGCACTATGTCTAAAATATTCTTTCAGGTAACCTTCTATGAAGTCCCTGGCAGACCCTCACTGAGACTCCCCACCCCACCTCCAATACGGTGAGACGCACCAACTGCCATCAGACTCCACCCAGGTCCTTTTGGGATAATGAGGGAGACAAGACCACTCCAGTGCCTGGACTTTTGGGAGCTGAGGATGCACAGCATCAGGGAAAAATCAGGACCCAACCCCCCAGGGCATTCCAGGGCATTTCATTTGCCCTGGAATCCTAGCCTCTTGGAGGTGGGGCCTAGCTGGTCGGGAGACTCAGGAGACTTGGCCGGGGATGGGCGTGGAGGGGGGGGGGGGTGGCAGGGTTTCTAGGCAAGGCAGCTCACCCAGAGCACTGGTCTCCAGCATGAGTGTGACAACGCAGAACAGGTTAACATTGGCATTGTAGACAGTGAACTCCACAAACACAGCCCTGGTCAGGGTGTCCAGCCAGGTGTGGTCAAAGAGATACTGGAGTAGTCTGTAGGAAAGAAGGTTCTTTAGAGTGTCTCCATTATGCATCCTCATCCCTGCTTTTCAGCCCCTAGACAACACCAGCTTCCTATCCAAACCTTTTCCTTTCTCTCTCCCTCCCTCTCTCCCTCCCTCCGTCTGTCTTCTCTGCTCCTGGGACTCTGGTGCTATCTATTCCAAGGGGATGGTCACAGTATGCTGGTGCATGGCATTAAATGTTGGCACATATGGTCTTGTGGCCATTATAGTGGAACTTTTCAAAGTGGGAGATCCCCAGACAAGCATCTGAGAAGTTGTTGGAAATTGAGGGTCTCAGGCCCCATCCAAGACCTGCTGCATCAGAAACACTGGGCCCAGGGAGCCTGGGGATATGTGCTTGGACAAGTCTGAGAGTCATTGTATTAGAGGAAGCTTCTAAACTGGGAGCGGGGGGGGGGGGGGGGGGGGGGGACTGAGGTGAGCCACAGTTGCAGCTCCCAAGGTCCCTCTAGGCTGGCAGCTCTCCTGGATCAGCTTTGAGAACTGGCTTCTGGGTAGAGTAGAAAGAGCAGGAGCCCTGGTGGTGGCAGAAGGCCCTGGCCTCAAAGCCTGGCTGCCTCTTGGATCAGCTTCTGACTTCTCTATACCTTGCTAACACCAAAATGGGTGTTAACAGCAGTGCCTCCAAATGTTGCAGGAGAACGAATGAACGTGTATGTATGTGTGTGCACGCTCGTGCACAATTGCTGGAGGGGAATATTTCTTTCATTACATATTTCATTGCATATTTCTAGGACCCCAAAATATGACTTGAGTGATTGTCTCCTCTCAGCCTCTCCCACAGTGATGTGAATTAACCTGGCCCAGGCCTACACGGAAGCTGCCTTTTCCAATCCAACATGAACTCTTAACAACTGGCTCTACTCAGTGGCAAGAGAATCGAGTCAGCTTTACCTTGACGCGTTTTTGCGATCGGTCCCCAGGGGGACCACATAGCCTCCTCCCCCGTACACTGTGAGTTTGCCCCACATGGGATAGCCCCGACGCTGACGCTGGCTCTGGTACTCCCAAGCCTGGGGGAAGTCACTGCTGGTATTAGGGACGGAGGCCGTCCAGCCTTCCCCGTAGTCTGCCAGGTCTTCAACATCCAAAGAATAGGGGGCATGGCATCCATCAAAGGAAGCCTGCAGCTGCTGGGCAAGTGGACAGGAGCTTTTCCGGACCCTCACTTGGCGAACGTGGGCACTGCCAACCAGTTTGGAGTTCCCATCAGTGACAAAGCCTAAAGATGAACACAAGGTGGGAAAGTCCAACAACCGAAACACATTCCCTTCCCCTGGTGCAGATGCTGATAGGAACTAAAGGGTACCTAATAGAGCGACAGCCAAGAGAAGCTCAGGACCAGCCATTCATCCAAATGACCTCCTCCCCCTCTATCTGGCACCTACTCACTCCCCGCATAAGTTCTTCGAGGGAAGGGGATTGTACTCTACCACCCTGTCATCCACCTGTACCCTTTCCCCAACCCACACACATCGTAATGGCTACATGCCAGCAACACAGCTGCTTTCATGTTGTATGCTCCAGTCCCTTTTCTCCATCACCACTGGCTCCATCACCACTGCATCAACCCCTGCCGTAACGGTTGTGTTCCCCCCAGCATCCTGATTCACCCACCCTTCTATGCCAGCTTCCACTGGAACCCTTCTCAGAACACAGATTCATGGGGCTCCCTCTCAGGATGCCTCTTGTCCTTAAGGATAAACCCTGAACCACTGAGCTCCTTCATGTGCAGATTCCTATCTGTAGCTCCTACTCTGCTTCACACAGGTCTCCCTTCCACTCCTGAAGTAGCCATTCTCAGTGATTTGTAGTTCTAAGGACATGTTGTGGTGTACCAGGCTTGGCTTTTTTCATGATGTTTTTCCTAGTACACTTGATTTCACCTAAAGATATTCTCACACCTGTAATCCAAGCACTTGGGAGGCTGAGGCAGGAGGATTGCCAGCTCAGGACCAGCTTGGGCTATATTACATAGTGAGACCCTGTCTCCAAATAAAAAGACATTCTCTGATCAGAATCACAGGCGAGTTGGTGGCCCAGGCCTACAGGGCTCCTAAGTGACCTGCACCTGCTTCCAGACAGTAGCTCAGTCTACATGTCTGGGGACTGTACCTGGGTGATGACCATACAGGTTGTTCATGAGGGTAGTATTGGCCCATTCGAAGAACCCCTGGAAGCCCAGGACAGCGGAGAAGCCTTGTGTGAAGCTGTGCTCAAGGTGCCTGTTGAAGTGGTAAGCACTGGGATCCCTCTGCCCATAGGCCACCAGCAGCAGCATCCACAGGAAGCCCAGGTATGCTTGAAAAGATGCACAGTTGCGGTCAGGTAGTCTGGGCAGAAAATTCTGTGGTGCAAGTCTCCAAACAGTGGAGGTCTTGGAGGCCAGACCAGTGCCCCCCTCTCATCCCCCCTCCCCAGCAAGACCAGCAGAACTGATCCTTGTGGAGACAGCAGAGGGGAGTGAAGCACACAGACCAGAAGGTATTCTCTCTGGGTTCAGATACTAGCTCTTCCTCCCTCCTTGACCTTGGCAAGGGATTCAGCCCCTCTGTAGCCTGCTGTACAATTTGGTCGAAAAGATCATACATGTTTCTTAAATAGAAAATTTAAATGGGGCATCTGCCTCATTGCATTGCTGAGGCTACAATACTGACAGTGGACATGGCTGCCCCCGTGTGCCACCTGACACTCTGGGGATGGGAGTGTGATGTGAGGGTCTGGGCCAGGGCCCAGGCATCTGCATTCTGAGAATCTCCCCCCATGCAGGGGGAGATGGACACTCGTGAGTAGGATCATTTTGGAGTGGACTACATGCTGTTCCTGAGGTCCTCTGCAGGGCTGAACCCATCATGGCTTCGTTCCCTCCCTGTGGGCCTCCTTCCTACCAATGTTTCTGGGATCACCTCTGGATCTGCCTGTACCCAGTCTGCTTTGGAGAGACCTGGGTGAAGACACTGAAGTCTGGCCTCTCCCAGTGCAGAGGCCTGGGAAGAGCCTCTCTGATGGCATGGTGATTGGGCTGAAATCAACCAAAGGAAAGGTGCAAGGAAGAGCAGGCATATACCAGGCAGATCAGATAGAACAGTCTGGTTAAAACCTGGGTTCAGAAGAGTGCAGGGGATCCTGGGAGCTGCAAAGGCCAGTGTGGATAGAACTCAGGGCTTGGGGTATCAAGAGGGGGGACTTGCGGTGGTGGAGCCACAGGAGAGAGCTCAGAAGATCCTAAGGGCCATGGAGACCCACCAAAACACGTCGTGAAGTACAGTGAGTGGTGATCTAGGGAAATGGAGGCTTGCAGGTCACGAGGCACTTCTGAGGTTGCACACAGCATCTTCTGAGTCTGTGCTGAGAACCAGGGGAAGGCCACCTACCCACGACTTCTCTGATGAGGGCATAGGCCTTCTGTTCCTTGAGGCGAGTGGTTTTCATCCTCTCAACAGCGGCGGCGAGAGGTGGCTGGTAGTCCTTGCTGCTGTGTCTGCGCATTCGGGACCCGGCACAGGGGCCTGCAGAGACAAGGAGGCAGCAGTCCCCAGATGGGGGTCTGACCTGCTCCCCAGCCCTGCTGCCCCCAAACCAACACCCATGTTTCCAGCCATACTGTCAGTGGTTGCAATAAAAGTATCAGTTCTGTCCCACCTCAGGGCCTTCACACATACCCAGTGTGCCGTCTTTCCCTCCCCCTATCCTTCAGAGAGCAGCTTAGGTGCCACCTCAGAAGAGAGGCCTGCGATGTCTTGTTCTCTCCCAACCTTCTTGTTTGCATCTCAATTCACACTTAGCTGTTGCCTCCCTGGATGCCCATTTATTCCAGGGCCGGTGAGCATTCATCTAGTCAGTGCCAGGTTACCTGAGGGGAGGGGAGGGCTGACTTCAGCTGGATCACAAGGTCCTGCCTAGGGTGACAAAGCTTCTCTAAATCTGAATTGTAGCCATGGTTACATAACCCTGTAAATTTACTAAAATCGAACTGCAGCCAACAATGGATGATTTCTGTGCAAATTATGTTCCTGAGTTTTCTGGCACACAGCCTGAAGATTTGCCAAAGGAACATTTGAATTAATATTTCATTGCTTTGGAGGCTGCATCTCTTTGGAGAAAAATTAACCTTTGGTCTTGAAAGAAGATTTTAATGGACTTTTTGGATATGAAAAGCCAAAACTACCCTGGAGTGGAAGAACACAAGCTCAGATCAAGGTACCCGCACTGTACAATGGGGGATGCACGGGGCTTGTTTGTGGGTTTCCCATTATTTCCTCTATAAGCCAAGAGTGATAACTACACAGTTGATTGTGTCTTGTTGGCTTGTGTTGGTGTACACTTTCATTGTCACCAGCTTTGCTCTGGGGGTCCTGGTTGAGAAGTAGGGAGGAAGGGTCAGTGACTTCTTAAAACCGGAGTCAGCATGGCCATGTGCCCATAAAGCTTCATCTACAAACTCAGGTGTAGAGGCAAGAGTGGGATGTAGCTCAAGTTGTTGGACGAGGATGTGGTCCTCAGTACTGAAAAACACAAATCCAGAGTGTGGGAGGGTGTCACATTTGGCCCTCTCTGTAGTTTGCCTACTTGTGGTCCTGAGGCTGTAGTATACAGCTGTTTTTTCAGCATCTGCAAGCTGCTTGTCTGTTGGTTTTCATTTTAAAGCCTGGGAACCTGCATCTTAGGAAGCAAGCTGCCTGCTTAGGATTGCGTTGAGGAGGGCAGCCAAGATAGGCAGCAGGGGCCCGGAAGTAGTTCTTCTGGCTGAAGGAAGGGTCAGAGGGAGTGAGTTGTCAGAAGGAAGGAATGAGGCTGCTCAGGAGACAAGGAGGAAGACACTATTGTCTGGCTGGCTTGGAGTGACTCACAAATCCCGCATGAAGGCTGGTGGAGAATGGGGACTGGGGAACACCTGTGCCCAGGATCCTGCAGAGATTGTAGGAAAGCCAGACCCCTGCCTCTTCCCACCAAGACCCTATTACCTGGGCCATGCAGATGTTCCTGCAGCAACGGTACATTGTCCTCCTTGTCCTCTTTCTTCAAGACCAGTGCAAAGAAAGCAGCAAAGCCTAGCACCTGAAAATCACCAGTGTGAACCCCAAGACTGCAGTGGTAACTGTAAGGCTGGTCTGAGGGGAACAGGATTGGGGGCCCATCTGTGCACAGGATACAGGAGCTGGCCTCTAGAGCAGCAAGGTGAGAAAGTCCTCCATGGAGGCCAGTCTTAGGAGAGGTGGGGGCCACCCATCAGAGACTGGCAAGTCTTTGAACTCACCTGAGCTTTCCCACCTGCTGCTTGCCTGCCTAAAGGGTCTCATCTTGATGCATGGAGTTACTATACCATCCTGATCCCACCCCTGCTTCCCTACATTGCGGCCATACATACCCCAAGAACTGCACCTTCCACCTGCTGTGTGAAAGCAGAGGGTGAACAAGGCTCAGCACACACCCTTTCTCAATAGTCTCCTAACCTAACCTCTACCCCATAAAGGGTAACTTTTTATGGGGTAACCCCATAAAACCTGGTGGGTGCTCACAGATTTTTGAGTCTTACTGTCACGGCTGTTCAGGGTAGAATGGTAGATGTGGGTAAGGTAGATGTGGCATGGGGGATTTGTCAAGGTGTCCCCTCTTTTCTGCAGCTCTCCCCACATCCCAGCACAGCCTTTCTTCCTCCTAGGGGCTCCCCGGGCCCTCCTCCCAGGGGAATCTGCACTCCCACCACCCACCTGCAGGTGTGAGCTTAGTGCTTCTCCATGCAATGTACTTGGGGATGTATCCCATGTCAGAAATAGAAGTCTAACTCCTACCCGATGCACACATTTAATGTCTGGGTGGTTTTTGTTTTGATTTGTGTTTTTTTCTTTCCTGAAGGGATTGTTCCTTTAAATCAGAAGGTTCTCCAGACTGAGGAAATAGAGTATGACACATACTTACATACTCGTATGGACTAGGGCTAGATGCTTGTGATTGGAACTTCTTTTTTTGTGGGAGGGGACATGTGTGAGTTAGGCGACCACCCTAACTACTAAGTATTGCAGGCTTGTGATCTTAACTTCCTAACCTCAAGTTTTCTCATGTGTAAAAATTCCCACAATCCTCAGGGTGATTTTGAGTATGAAATCCATGCCTCTCTGTACATTAACCTCCCTGCCCCAGGTCCTTCTCAGAGGTGGTGCTTCATATATTGTTTGTTGAGTGCATCAAGGAAGGATCCCTAAGCCTGAGGACAGGACTATTCATAGACAGGTGAAGGTGGTTGGTTTGGGGCAAGAGTCCTGACCTTAAGTGGCTGAGTGATGAACACACTCTCCACAAAGGAGACAGCCATGGAGATGAGCCACCTGAGGGAGCTGGCGTGCCCATAGTGCAGGCCGTAGAGCATGGTGAAGAAGGCCGCCACACCACTTGTGGCCGCCACCAGGAGCCAGCCCACCAGGACACACCACCAGGGCAGACCTCGAAGGGGCCTGCTGGCCCGAGGAGTTCTGCAAAGGAAGGTTGACAGTCAGGGTGGCACCAGCAGACTCAAGTTCAAATCCCATTCTGTTCTCATCATTTGCATGACCTTTGCCAAGATGGTTGACCAGTTAGCCCTTTGTTTCCCCCTCTGTAATCTGCACCTCCTTTGGAGGGCCATTCTGTAGTTGGCCAAATAAGCGCAGTGGCATTTACTCACCTTGTTGCACTCATTCTTTCTGTCCTCACCTCCTTCCTTTTTAGGGGGTACAGATGGAATATTTAAAAGTAAATTCGAGATTATACAAAATCATCCCTAATTACTTCAGAATGCTTCTCAAACGTGGTCATTTTCTTACCAAATTTCTGTGCCACTGTCACCTATCAATCCCTTAATGACATCTGGTAACCTGGCTCTCTCTCTCTCTCTCTCTCTTTCTCTCTGTGGTACTTGGGGTTGAGATCACAGCCTGGTGCTTGTTAGGCAGAGCTCTACCATTGAGCCATACCCTCAGCCATTTTTGCTTTAGCTATTTTCTGAATAGGGGCTCTCATTTATGCCCAGGCTTGCTTGGACCACAGTCCTCCTATTTTCCCTTTCCATGTAACCAAGATGACAGGTACATACCACCATACCCAGCTATTGGTTGAGATGAGGCTCTCACTCACTTTTTGCCTGCGCTAACCTTGACCCTCAATTCTATCAATCTCCAACTCCTGAGTAACTACAACTATAGGTGTGATGCTATGCCAGGATTAAAATTTTACTAATTATTGCAAAACACAATGCATTTTCAGTTTGAATCGGGAGATAGGCATTATTCCCATTTTATAGATGAAGAAACAGGCTCAGAGAGGTTGAGGGCTGGCTTGAAGGTACACAACCAGGAAATAACTACATGAATATGGTTATACTTGGGGGCTGTATCTTCCAAAAATAACTCTGTTCACCAGAATGTTCATAGGAACCCTGAATCCCTTCCTCCTGGGAGGTCAGCGGGGAGGGGGGATATCCTTTTAAGGTTGGTCAGGATGTGCTATCCCATGGCCAAGCCCACTTAGTCCCTAGGGAAGTGGATGACCTGGTATGTGCTGGGACCCGGGGGCCACACTGTCCTCCGAGACAGGTTTTCAAGGTCTGCAGCTGCCTGAGGGCCTGAGCATAGCTGTGGTGCTGTGGGAAGGCCCTAGGCACCACCAGCCTCAGCTCCTTCTCCACATGCTCCAGCTGAAGGTAGAGACACTGCCTGTAGGTACTGTCCTTCCAAAGGGCACTCGAGGCCAGCTCAGGCTTGGGGTGTCGTGTTTTCCCTGGGGGACAAGAGAAAAACAGCCAGTTGGTACTGAGTGATTAGTGACAACAGTCAATCAGCTCTAACACACACACACACACACACACACACACACAGAGTTAAGAGAGCAACAGCTTTGAATTAAAACACTTGCCATGCCATGAGACATCAGAGGTGCTGAGAGATTGAGGGTGAGGCTTGTAAGGCTGGCTTTTCAATTTGAATGCTTTCCTTTTAGGTTTTTTTAAAAGACAGTTTCAAGATTTCCTTACAGTCAAAAGAGGAGAGAAATGCCAAGTGTGGTGCCACACAACTATAATCCTAGCTACTCAGAAGGAGGAGGCAGGATGGTTGTGAGTTCAAGCATAGCCAGGAAAAGGTTAATGAGATCATACCTCAAAAATAAAATAGGTGGCACTAGTAGCTCACACCTGTAAATCCAAGCTATTTGGGAGGCTGAACCAGGAGGATCATGGTTTGAGGCCACTCCAGGCATACATGTGAGAGACACCCCCCCCCCCCCCTTCTCAACTGCCACTTAGGTGTGGTGGGACTCATCTGCCACTCCAGATAAAGGGAGGCAGAGATCAGAAGCATGTAGGCCAGAAAACAGGGTATTGTGCCATATTTCTGTCACCCCAGCTTTGATCAGAAGCCCAAAATAGGCAGATTGTAGTCCACGCCTATGCCCAGGCAAGAAGCAAAACCCTATCTCAAAAATAACCAGGGGCTGGGAATGTGGCTTAGTTGTAGAGTGCTTGCCTAGCATGTATGAAACCCTGTGTTCGATTCCTCAGTACTATATAAACAGAAGAAGCCGGAAATGGTGCTGTGGCTCAAGTGGTAGAGTGCTAGCCTTGAGCAAAAGAAGCTCAGGGCCTGAGATCAAGCCCTAAGACTGGCAAAAAAATAATAATAATAACAATAACAACCAATGCAACCAGACACTTGCGGCTCACACTTTTAATCTTAGTCACTTGGGAAGCTGAAAAGAAGAAGACTAAGTTTGGAGGCCAATTCCAGGTAGAAAAGTCCACAAGACTGTCTCCACAGAGGGAGGCTGGTGGTGGTGCCTGTGATCACAGTGGATCTTGGCTCAGGCGCATGCCTGCGTGGGAAGTAAGACCTTATCCTAAAAAAAATCAGCGAAAAACAAGGGTAGATGTATGGCTCACTGCAGCATGCCAACCTAGAAGGTGCAAGGCCCTGAGTGCATGAGGTCAGAGAGAGAAGAGAGAGAGAAATGCCATGTTCATCACCCCACTGTAACAGTTACCAGCTTTCAGCCTATGTGTCTCATCACTGCTACACAGTGTTCTCCTTCCAAAGTATTTTATAGCCTATCCTTGATAAAGCAGTCTCTCATCTACAAATGTACAACTGTTCGAACCTGAATCTAAATCTTATTTTACCTGGTGCAAGGAGGGTTAAGTTGTGTGTGTGTGTGTGTGTGTGTGTGTGTGTGTGTGTGTGTGTGTGTGTGGTTGAACTCATAGTTTCGCATTCACTGAGCTTTTTCACTCACAGCTGGTGCTCTACCACTTGAGGTGTTCCTCCAGTCCAATGATATGTGTTCACCTTGTGTCTTAGTGTTTTTTTATTATGAAACATTCTAAACATATACAGATAGAGTGATGAGAGGTAACTGCATCACCCAGCTTCAAAACAGACAGCTTCCGCATGTTTTACCCACACACACCCACCACCTCCAGGAGGGCAGATTCCAAAACTTGTATCACTTCCCTAAATAATTTAGACAGTTCTGGAGAAGGTAAGGACTTTCTGATAGGATATCTGCTATGTCATTGTATGTCTTTAAAATGATTGACAGTCATCCCATCAAATACCCAGTCAGTCATGATAGATCTTGAGTAGCTTGTTCAAATTTCAGATTTCTAACTTCTTTCCTCCCTCCCTGCCTCCCTCCCTTCTTCTCTCCCTTTCTCCCTCCCTCCTTCCCTTCCTTCTGTCCTTCCTTCCTTCCTTCCTTCCTTCCTTCCTTCCTGCCTTCCTGCCTTCCTGCCTTCCTTCCTTATGCTAAAGATCCAATCCTGGGTCTCACAAGTGTTTTTTTTTTTTTATCACTGAGATATATCCCCACCCCTTTAAATTTGTGTGTGTTTGTTTTTGAGACAGTCACATTCTATAACCCAGGCTAGCCTCGAATTAGAGATCTTCCTACTTCAAACTCCCAAGTGCTGGGATTACAGGCATGATATACCATACCTGGCTAAAATTTTTAAAAAACATCATTTTGTATATGTATAAATCACAGAAACAACACATCTATTATAAGAAAAGAAGAACAAATTCAAATCTTTCCACTATTCCCTGTGACTTTTAAGAGAAACTGGATTCTATAAATGGAGCCGGGCCTCAGCGCTGGTCCTGAGGTGGAAGGTTGGACAGGTGTTTGTCTTCCCAGGGGCTTTGTACATAATAAAATAGAGCTCTCTCCCTCATGGCCCCTTCCCTAGTCACTAGTGAGAGATGAATGGGAAAGTAGAATGTGTATGTGGGGAAGGTTGTGGTTGGGTACACCCATCACTGATAGTCCTTGATTCCCACTAGGTAAATGCCTGGAGCAGAGTCCAGTCCTACCTCTGTCTGACTGGAAGCCTCTCCCTCCACCTCCTCCCAGACTGGCCTTCCTCACCGAACTTCAGCTAAAGAGTCCAACGTCCACATTCTGTGTCGCAAGACTCCTGCTGATGTTTTGGGAAGATACCATCCCTGCCAATCATAACATTGTCAGGTGCGGCCTAAGCATTTTCTGTGGCTTATGATCTCATTCAGTCCTCACAACAAGCCACAGAGCTAGGTGGATCAACACCTCTGTTTTGGAGAGGAGCAGCCTTGTAGGGCTTGAGCAACTTGCCCTAAGCCACAGAGCTACATTGGCACTTTGGTTATTCCCAGAATCTCCAGTCTAGCATTCTTCTCAAAGTCTGTGGCCCACTGCCAGCATGTCTAGCTGTGAGTGCCAAATCCCCCAAACCCATGGTCAAGTATGGGGTGCAAGCAGTGATGGCCTTCATGGGTCACCCTGGCCATAATCCTTCTGGTGGCTGGAGCATAGGGTCAGACAATCCCAGCTCTACAGTAAGGAGGTGAGACCTTGCCCAAAGGGCAGGTGACCTCTACTTCAATGTGTGCAGAAAGCACTAAAGTGGTTGACTTAAGGTTCAGTTGGCCTCTACCCATTTTGTCAATGATGGAAAACCTACTACACAGATAGGAAGGTGCCAAGAGAGAGCCCAGGAGACCAATTCAAGCCAGAACAGTGTGCTATGGGTGGAACTTTTAAAAAGGAAACAATGTTACTAAAAATCCAGTTGGATATTGTTGCGAAAAGCTTGGCATTTGACATCTGCTATCTTGGCCAAATAAGATCAGCAGGCAGTAGAAGGACACTGAACCCTCAGTGGAGCCAATCCAGACTCCCTTGACATTGATGAGGAGGAATGACAGAGGTGCTAGAACTTCCATGTGTGTGTCACTACCCTGCCCACCACCTTGTGCCCTAAAATGGATCTGGTTCTCATGCAGCCCTGACGCTTGCTAGGGAAAGAAGATGGGGCTCAGAGAACTGAAGCAAACTGTCCACAAAGCTGGTCCCTGATATAGCCAGGACTCAAAGATGGGCCTTCTAAGCACGGGGAAGCTGAATGGATGGCCCCTACTTCAGGAGGCTCTGGGTTCAGGAAAGGAGGTTAAACCACTCACACCATTCATTTTCTGCCCACAAACATTGAATGCAAGGAGGAACTTAGGGGCCAAAAGCTTGGGACCTGAAGCATGGTAGCCTGGGAAATATGGGCTGATCTCCAAAGAAAAGCCTTATGGGACTAAAGATCAAGAAGGAATTGTCCAGGCATAGAAGAAAGAATGTTCTAGAATACAGAGTTGGTATAGGTTGAGGGTATAGTTGGAAGCAGCTTGGCATTGCAAGAACAACAGGTTCCTGTGATACAGAAAGGGCAGTGAGTGTGGCTTGAGCAGCAGCTGGTGAGGGAGAGCCCAGAACAACTCCTGGCGCCCCTGGCGATACCGACATGGCCCTGGCATCTGACTCCACATGAAGGCAGGAAGCCACTTACCTTCTACCTGCATAGATCCAAGAGTGAGTGTGACAGGGTCCTTGCTCTTCCTGGCTTCTTCACAGAGCCCCCGCCCTGCCCTGTTCTCTGGACAAACGATGTCTTCCACCAAGGCCAGGAGGTTGTCGAGCTCCATCGCTCTCAAGGAATTCCAGCTTGAAGCTGGCAATGGCACCTTCAGAGCTTTAAACAGTAAGCCGACGAGTCTCCTCATATCCTGCAAGACAACGGGTCAGGGAGAGGGGGCGTGAGCCACAGGTGAGGGAGTGCATCACAGAGGCCCAGAGTGCAAGCCCTGGGCCCCGCGCGCTGCATTGGAACCACCGCATTGTGACCTCTTATGAACTTCCGTTCCCTCACTTCCTCACCTCAAACCACAGCATGAAGTATGTGCTCAGTAAAAGCTTATTGAGGGCATCAGGATGGAGTCTTTTCGGGGGGCTTCCAGTTTAGCAGTCTGGAATGGGGTTGGAGATACTCAAAAAGTGTTCCTATATATCTGTGTATATTGAGCTGATGAATCAGGACAGTTCCTACTGCCAGATGCACAGGGCTCTCGAGCCCAGGCCTGGCCTGCGGTCCACCTCTGCGGGGCCACACGTTCATCAGCTGAAGTGGAGGACTTGCCTTGGTCACTTCGTCAGGAGTCAGAAGGACATCGTCAATGGGCTGTGGTGAGGAAGTCGGGCTAGTGGACCCGCCACCCTGGTTCCCAGTGTTCTGCTCCTTCGGGACCCGAGGACGGGCATTTCGAAAGATCTGGACGATCAGGAGGTTGATAGGGAACATGAGGACGGAGCTCTCCAGCCCAATCATCACTTCCTGCCAAGTGAACTCAATTTTACCTGCGGAAGACGGAGGAAGAGCTCAAAGAGAGACATAGCCACTAGACCCCCGGCCGGTCACCCCTTCCAGAAGGTGGCTAAGCAATGGAGCACAAGCCAGGCCCTGCTCCTGGGAGGTCATTGTAGGATGGGGAGGTCTTGCCTGCGAGCACAGGCTCTGTTTTCCTGGGACCTTGGACCATGCCAGGTACTCTGTGCTAACCATGAGATTTATGGTAAGAATGGGCCACATGGCCTCAGCTTGACCTCTGAGGGCCAAGGTCCTCCATGCATGCAGTCAGCCATGTCCACATGCCCCAATAAAGTATGGATCACAGTGGCATGGCTGAGCCAATGTGGATGGGTGGCCACCAGCCACGAGCCCTGGCCATCATGACAGTGGGAATTACCCAAGTCCATCTTCTGCTCAGCAGGGTGCTGGGGGACACCCCAGAACATGATACTGGTCAGCATGGTACAGAGGAGTAGGGAGAAGCAGCAGGACACCCTCTGCACTCGTGTGAAGCTGCTCCGAGCCGAGCGGCTGAAGATGGAATACCAGATGTGCCCTTCCTGGAAGCCCGCAGAGGTTTTCATGAAAAACAGGTGGCTGCATGGGAAGAGAGGGACAGGCAGACATTGAGAGGGACAGGGATGGGAAAGAACTCGTCTCTTTGGAGGAACCCTAGGTAACAGGGAGAAGGAAAGGGAAAGATTTGCATCCAAGATTTATCACTTGCAAAGACAGATCATCATAGCAGCATCTCAGGGGGTTAATACAGAGATGCTGGAAAGAGCTGCTTTATCACCATAGCCTGTCCTCTGACCAGCCCGGGGCCTCAGGGAAGGGAGGTTACTCTTTGCATCTCAGTCTATAAAATGCATCTATAAAATGGAGGCAATAGTAGAACCTGCCTCACTAGACCATTGAAAGGACTTCAAGCCCTCTGTTTTCATCTATATGGCTGGGGCTGTGAGATAGGGCCTTGCATTTTCTACTCAGGGATGGCCCTGGACTACAATCTTCCTACCTGTGTCTTCCAGGTAGCTGAGAATATGAATATATACTTGCACATGCAGCTTGTCTGTTAATGCAGAGGTCTTGTTAACTTTTTGCCAAGACTGGATAGAACCATGATCCTCTTTTCTCTGACTTCTGAGTAACTGAGATTACAGCATTGTCTGTCATACCCAAAGTCATTTTTTTGGAAAAAAAAATGAACTCTGGGCCTGGGTGCTGTCCCTCAGCTCTTCACCTCAAGGCTAGTGCTCTACCACTTGAGCCACAGTACCACTTCTGGCTTTTTTTTTTTCTGTTTATGTGGTGCTGAGGAATCAAACCCAGGGCCTCATGCATGCAAGGCAAGCAAGCGATCTACTGCTGAGCCACCTTCCCAGCCCCCAAAGTCATTTTTATAAAGCATTTGAAACAGTACTAGCATATAGGTGAGTGTTCAAATAATTACTTTTGCTATAATTTCATTATAACAACTACAGTATAATAATATAACCAGAATATGATTCACTTTATTTGTAATTAGAGCCTTATGGGGTTTAGGAGAAAAGTTGCAAGGCAGAGTCTGAAAACAATACCAGATTTTTAGTAAGAATATGTACCATGTCCCTGTGGATAAAATGGAGTTCATCACAGGTGTTAGTCCAGGTTTCCCACAGCATGAGCAGAACTGAATTCCCAGCTGTTGTCTATTCCCACTGCGGGGGGGTGGGGGGGGACACATGTCCCTCCTGGGCCCTAATTCTCAACAGGACAATCTGGTCATGATGCCCAGGCCACTGGCCAATATATTTTTATTTTATTTACCAAAGAACAAAGAAAAGAGCATTGTATGGTGGTACACACCTGAAATCTCCTCACTCAGAAGGCTCAGCAAGATGACTATCATAGAACCCATCTTTTAAAAAAAGGGGGGAAGGGGAGGAACAGCTGCTTGAAAAGAAAGAAAAAGTACCTGAACTGCTTCCTGTCCTGCTCCGTGGCCACTGGAAACACCTTGTCAAGAACACAGTCTCCAATATCAATGGACAGCCAGGAATTGCAGAGGAAATACCACTTCTGGTCCGTCGCTGGGTCATACACCAGCACGCGGCTCACATACCTGGACAATGGAGCCGTGGGTGTGAGGAACAAGGCTTCTTGAGGCCCTGGTGAACAGGAATTCCTGGGGAGACTGCATGTTCTTTGCTCTTGGTACTGGATGAAACCCGGCCACCTGTGCTCTCAGCCAGTGGAAAGCTGGCTCTCATAAGTGCTCACTTCTTTACAAGGCAGAGGTGGAGGACACATCTGAAAACTATGGGCCCCTACTCATGGCACCCACCTAGGATCACTGTCCAATCACAAGGGAGCCAAGCCAAGCCAAGCTGTTCAAAGGCAGGTTTCATATCCAAAATACAGCTGTTTCCTGTGATTCTAACCAGACAACAAGGCATCAACCTAGGCTCTCACCAGGCTGATTTAGGTGAGGGAGGAAATAAGATCTTCCTGTGGGGAGGCCAGATACAGCAGTCGCCTTCTCTGTTGCTGTGTAGTCATGGTGGGAAGGCCACCCCTGCCTGCCAAGGCAGGGGCACAGCCAAGGTGCCCTGCACTGCATTCTCTCATTTTAGAGAAAATACCCCATCACACATGCAAAGGCCCCCTGTGGTGAGCCATGTGCCCTCCTGGGGTACCCAGCACCCAGTGATACAGGTCCCGGTGTGATCAAGATCCAACTTGGAGCAGCTCCAGGATCCCTCAAGGGGTTTGCTGAGCTTCATCGCAGCTCAACACACTCTCTGCCCATCCTGTATCCTCCCTTCCTAGGCACGCATCCCACAATGCCCACAAAGGGCACCTCACATGCTCAACTCCATCTCAGTGTCTGCTTCCTGGGAATTAAAGACAGCAATATACATGCCATGCTTTTACTTTTGTCTTAAGCTGCCAGTGGTTGATACCACTCACCTGGACCACAGTCTCAGGTCAGTGCTGGGATAGGGCTAACCCTGGATACTAGGGCTGTAGCTTCCATTCCTTCTATTTACTGATCTAGTACATATGTGTGGACCAGGGACCTCTCTGACTCTTGGTTTCCTCATCTATGAAACATGTTTGGCTAAGACTTGTCCAGGCCAGGAAGGCAGCCATGTGCAGTATCTTACCCTGGCCTGTGCTTCCCAGGCCCTTGTGGTTTGCCTTCCCAACTCACCAGGATGGCTGGTCCCCTGAGTTGTCATGCCACAGCCTGAGGCTCTGCAGTTCTCCCAGGGGGAAAAGGGTGGAAAGCAGGAAGACATCCACTCCTCCTCGCTCAAACACTGGGAAGTCGGGGTCTGACAGGTGGTGGGGATCACTTTCTCCATCCAGGCCATACAGGGTGATGGTCACCTGAAATCCAGAGACCAGAAGTGGCTACTCCTACTCGGTAACTGAGCCCCTCTGGCTTTGTTTAATTGGGGTGACCAGAAACCAACAAAACCCAATCATGCCTGGTCCTCTCACCTCCTCTCCTCCCATCTTGAAATAATGATACGTTCAGTGTTGCTCAGAGAGCTTGGGACATGAATGCAGGAGTGTCACTGCTGCTCACATTCCTGGGCGCAGTGCCAGTGGTTCACGCCTGTAATCCTACCGACTGAGGAATCTTTGATCTGAGGATTGTGGTTTAAAGCCAGCCCAGGCAGGAAAGTCCATGAGACTCATCTCCTATGAACTCTTATCTCCTCTTATCTCCAGTTCCAGAAACTGGACGTGGCTCAAAGATCTACTTTTCTGTTTCTATCCAAGGGTTTACCTGATTTTTGGAGTCAAACTGGCATTGTGGCAGATTCTGCCTTTATTTCAGAGTGGACTTCCAAAGCGCTTTTTTCACCTCTACTGTTTACAGGCTAGGTGTCCACATACCTGCTGAGGGTTCCTTGGGGGAAAAGTCATCTCTGGCTGAGAACTACTGTTCTAGGGGAGCCCAAACTCAGGCAATGTGAGTTTGAAATATGGCTGCAACTCTTTGTGAAGAGAAATGTCCTATGGATCAGAGACTGATGCTTGATTTGTCAATCAGAAGTCAGTGGATGTTCATTGGATGTGTGAGGAGTAGTTCCTATGTTCCTTCAGCCAATATTATTGAGCACTGACTCTGGGTTAGACAGCTGGTCTAGGACCTAACACATGGCAATCAATGAAAAAATTTCATCTTTAAAGAGTAAAAATGAAACACAAATAGTAAATATTGCTTAAAAATAGAAAGATAAAAACTTCACCCTCACACATTTTGGAAAACTCAGCAGTGCTGGTTCTTGATTCCTAACTGTGTCCCACAGACCCCTTAGTTTAGTAAGGGAACATAGCCAGGCTTGGCCGATGTACTTGGAAGAGGGAAATGGCTCCGGGCAGCCTTCACTGAGGACGTTCAGACATCTCAGGGGTGCTGCTGCGTGTGTACTGTAGCTGATCACTTGAGGACTGCAGTGAATGAACATGCAGTCACACCTGACGGCTTAGGTCTGAGTAGCTCTTCAGTGCAACCCCCAAAATGTAATTCAGAACGGGCTGATTTCAAATGGTGGGTGTGCTTGCCTTCTTTCTCTCCTCCCCGCTGTTTCCTAGATTGTGTTTTCCTCATCTTTCCTTGATAAGTCCACTGACTGCAGATTTACTTTTGGTCAACAAACTTAATGCTGAGTGACTCTGGAGAGGAGAAGAGCGAGCTGGCCCTCTTAGAAGCACTCTGTTATCCTATGAAGTATTGGCATCATAAGGTAATATATTCACTTACAAAAAATTCTCTTTCCACTCAAATACAAAAATTGAAAGAGAAAGATCGCCAAGGACAAAAATCCACTGTGCCGAAGTTCGTCCACAGTGGCAAAGCAGCACTTAACTAAGGGACACCAAGATCAACCAGTGGGTGTGGGGCTGTGGGGTACCTTTGCGGATGTAGCTGCTCCCCGCCGGTGTCCCGTGTGGACTGTCACCAGGTAGTGGTACTGGGCGAAGGGGTCGTTGTCCTCCAGCACTGTGACTCTCCTCTGGACAAAAGGCAGGGAGGACTCGGCTCAGTGAGCTCACCCATCACCCACCAGCCAAGAATGAGCAGAGCATTGTCAGATCAACGCATACCACACCTCTTTCATAGAGTAACCTTGAACATTAGACAGGTTAATGCCCAGTTTATACTAAATCTTCCAGTTTGTCAGTAGCATCATCTCCCCCAATAATTTGATAAAAAGGATATTTTATAGCCAAAGAGGGTGAGAGCCAGTTGGTCTGAGATGGCCCCAAGCATTAGGCCCTGGACTTGTAGCTGTCCTCTCAGGGCACATCATGGGGAGGGGGTGGTCCCTCGTGCTTCCCTCCTAGTCCCAAGGGCCATTCAACTTCACCTTGGCCTGATCCTCTGCATCTTTTCTCCTTGCCCAGATCACCACCAACACGTAGACCAGGCAGAGGCAGCCCACGGTGGTCACAACCACGGGGTTGTCCTCGAAGGTGGCGAAGAGTTCAGCAGTCTGGTGGACATCCACAGCATTGGGCATCACCAGGAAGGTGCTTCCAAAGAAGGTGAGGTGGTTGCAGAGGCAGTGTGTCTGGGAGGCGGTGGTCCGCGGCCCCACCTGCAACCCACCAGAGTTCGTGAATAGACATGCTGGGAAGTTCACGCCCGGCTCACTCGAGCCGAGGAGAGAAAAATGATTTCCACTTTGGGAAGGACATCCTGTAGTCAGGCTTCCGTATCCATAGAGTCAGACAGCTTCAGTCAAAAATACTTTTTAAATAAACGAGTCTGCACTGAAGAGGTACAGACATTCTCCATGTCATATTCCCTGCGTGACAGAGTATATAGCAACTGCTAACATTTGCGCTTCATTAGGGTATCATAAATAATGCAGAGATGGTCTCAAGATCCAGAGAATGTTCACGGGTTGCCTGCCTACTACATCCCTTTAAAAAGTATTTTTAAATCAGGTCTTGCTCTGTAGCCAAAGCTGGCCTGAACTTGGATCCTCTTGCTTCAGTCTCCCAAGTGCTGGGATTATACACATGTGCCGCCATGCTCAGAAAATATTACACCTTAGTATGTAAGAGAGTGCCTGTGGATTTTAGTATCCATGGACAGTTGTAAAACTGATGTTCCTCAGATATTGAGAGATAGCGCTGGGACATAGACTTCAGGAATCCCTCAGGCTTCTTTTACTTAACTAAAAATTACTTTTAGCTGGGCATTTGGTGGCTCATGCCTGTAATCCTAGCTATTCTGTTTGGGTGGCTGAGATCTGAGGATCACAGTTTGAAACCAGCCCAGGCAGGAAAATCTGTGAGACTCTTATCTCCACTAAACTACCAAAAAACTACCACTAAACTACCATAGAAAGCCAGAAGTAGAGCTTTGGCTAAAGCACTGTGGTAGAGCACTAGCCTTGAGCAAAAGAAGCTCAAGTCAGAGCCCAGGCTCTGAGTTCAAGATCCAGTACTGGCATTAAAAATTAAGTTAAAAATTCAGAGAACTAAAAAATAAAATGAAAAAAATTCAGAGAACTGGCCAAGTGCAATAGCTCATGCTTATAGTTCTAGCTACTTAGGGGCCAGAGATTGTGAGGATTGCCCAGCAGTCTGGGCAAAAAGGAAAGAAAAAAAAAAGGTCACAAGACCCCATCTCAACCAATAAAAATCTAGGTGTGGTAGCGTACACCTGTATTCCAGTTATACAGCAAACCTCAAATAGGAGACTCATGGTCCAAGCCAGCTGGTCATAAACTCAAGACCTTATTAGAAAAACAACTAAAGGCAAAATGGATTAGAGGTCTGACTCAAGTGATAGAGCACCTGCCTAACAAGCACAAGGCCCTGAGTTCAAATTCCAGTACAATAAACCAGAGACAGGCAGACAGACAGAATTGAGCATGCTAGACAAGCAATCTGCCATAAGCCACATCCCCAGCCCAGAGACTATTACTTGGGAGAAAGATCATTTCCAGTGGGAGCTCTAAGCATCCTGTCAATCTGCCTTCCCTGACTTGGAGACATGTTGCAGGTGAAGTTGGATTCCCTATGGTCCCAGCACAGAAGCACCCAGTATCACAGATTTGTCCTGAATCCCTCCTGCCTTTTACGCATCAGATGCTCACTGGAAGGACAAGCATTTGCCGGGAGTTAACGCTGTGCCTGGAAGGGCCAGCCGAGGGCCCATCAGGGTGAGCGCCTCATCTCAGTTTGCCCAGACTTTTCTTGCTTTTCAAACTGAAAGTTCCAAGTCCGCAGGACTCTGAGTCTATAACAAACTGAGCCAGTCTAGAGAGCCATGGAAGTGTGGATGCCGCTTGGCCACGCAGCCCTCCCTGTGCTGAAGAAAGCACAGGTGGGCAGGGGGGAGCCAAGGGGCTGGGGCAGGCATCCACACCCACAGCCTCGCCTCAGTCCTGCAGGGCAAACCATCCCAAACCCCCTCAGCCAGCTGTGACCCCCACCTCAGAACATCTGGCGGGTGAAGATTTAATCCAGCCCTCCAACCTGTCACTGCCTTTCATTCTAGGCTCTGTTGCTGTGTGGAAAGAGCAGCCAACTGGCATCTGGAAAGTGTTCTGTTTCCAGCACCTGGTGAGGAAGAACTCTAAAGCCCAATGATGACCCAATGGGAAATTCTGCCTCTTCCTCTTAACGAACCACCTGCAAAGGCCGGCCCCACATACTGGCACAGCGCCAACCTCTCATTACAGACTTCAGGTGGGTCTTAGTCCTGTGTTTGCTCTGTTGTGTTTCTCACTGTTTCCTAACCCTGGTCCGGAACTGGCACACAGCTGTGGGTATTACAGGAATACCTGACACCCGGAAGGGGTGCGACTGGTTTCAGAGAAGACATTCAAGCAAGGCTGGAGTCGGAGTGTCTTGATTTATGCCCAATATCTTTGTCCTCCAAGGCCTTCCCTTCCTCCATCCTTTCCTCCTGTCAAGGTCTCAGATTCCCCATCCTGCTGCCTGAATGCTGGTATTATAGGTCTCTAGGGGTTTGACAAAGACCTTGAGGTCATTGGCTTCCCTAGACTTTTCCAGCACCAGGGTCCCTTTTTTGAGAAGGGAAGGTTTCTGGGGACTGAACCCAGAACCTCAGGCATACAAAGCCAAGTGCTCTACCACTGAGCTACATCCATAGCTGCCCTGTGAATATCTGAAAGCAATGTGCAGATGCTCCTGTGATGGTAATAGGTTGTTGAATAAATGAAAGGAGGAGCTTGTAGTCTACCAATGGGTGATAAATTATGATTATACATGGAGATGAGGGAAGGGGATGAGTACTGTGAAAGTCCAGCAGTAGAACACTTGAGGCACGTGGGAGGGACAGGACAGTGGAGCTGACCCGATGGAAGAAATGGAGCTTTCTGGGCAGGAGTAAGTAAGAAGGGCTTTCAGGAGGAGAAAACAGCACACACAACTCATGGAAGGGGACAGGATAGTTCCAAGAGGGCGCTAACAGCCTCATGGCCAAGGACACTCTTCAGGACCATCATCATCCTCAGCTTCCTGGGGGCAGAGCTGAGTTGAGACAGAGATCTGATTGCAATTATTAAAGCCAAAATCCCTCCGGGGCTCAGCAGGACTCCCACAGGCCTGGGGAAGCAGTGTCACATGGCCGGACTCTGAGTCTTGGCATCTCCACAAAAAGGTGTGGGGTTCAGGGCAAGTTAATTGAGTTTCCTGAGCCTTTGTCTCATTGCCTATAAAATAGAATTGTTGGGAAGATTTGATGAGATCATGCAAACTGAGCAGGGAATACAATACTTGGCAGAGAACCAACGGGACAGTTGAGTTCATTTCCTTGGAAATGGCACCCTGGCCTGCAGGGCTTCCTGAATCACTCGTCCACTCATTCAGTGATCACTTGTCTCTGTGTCCTGTCTCCTGAGCCCTCAGTTCCTGGCCCTCAGGTGCCAGACATCTTTCAATGAGCTCGTCTGTAGCGATGAGCACAGCCCCTGTGCTCAGCACTGTGAAGGAGGGATGTGTGGGAAGTCACACCCAGCCAGGATCAACAGCAGCTTTCTCCAGGAAGCAGTGCCTGGGTCAGGGAGCCCGCTAAACGCAAAGCCATGTGTGCAATGGCCCCACGGAGGGGCGCAAGACACTGGTCTGAGGACTCTAGAGGGGGTTCCCATGTGGGCCACATGTACCTTACCAAGCTACTCTGTCTTTGTCTTTGCTTTCCTCTCCTTACCTGGCAGCCAGAGTTGTCCCAAGTCTCCTGGACCTCATCCCAGAACACACAATGGGACAGGAAGGTGGTGACGCCAACTGTGAGGGCTTTGCCAGGGTCTGGCTGCAGGTTGGATTCGGGGACCACAGTCAGGTAGTAGATACCCTCCCCTAAGGGCAGGTCTGCTGGGCCCAGGATCCAGGTAGACAGCTCACCTGTGGGAAATAGGGCTCTGGTCAGCCGGAAGCCTCACTGAGATGAGGTTGACATCGTGGATAACACAGCAGGTTGACCAAGATGACATGGCAGGGAGGCAGACCCTGGAGGTCTCTCCATTATCGTAGGAGTGATACCTTTGCCTCCTGAGCACAGAAGAAGGGACACCCTGCTCAGTGTGCAGATTGGGTCAAAAAGACAAGGGATCTTTATTGGCTGTGTGACTAGTTACTGAACCTCTCTGTTCTTTTCTGACAAGGGAAGACTTCAGTGGTCTCTACCCTAAAGGTTGTCACAAGGACTACAGTAAGGATGCTTCAAGAAGGGCCTGTGGTCATCTTCATAAATGCTCACCCAATGTTGGCAACTAACAATACCAATAACAGCAGTAGAACAAGCCACTGAGTATGGCAGGTGGTTTTTCTCTGATTTCCCCCATGGCTTTTTGTCCTCAAGCTTGAATCTACTCCAACCCCAAGGAACACTTGAGAAGCTGCCCAGGGAACAGGGCTACCTGGAACAGCCGCTGGTGGTAGATGAGTTTGGGCATCATAGCTAGTCTCATTGGGGTGGTAGCCATAGCCAAGGCTGAGCGTGAGCGGGAGGTGGGGTCTCCCGTGTAGCTGGATCCCCAGAGCGGCTCCCCCTGCAGTCACATTCACCCACAGAGCCCCAGGAGCAGCCAGGTTCAGCACGGTTGGCTCATTGAGTCCTTCCAAATGCCGGGGCAGCAGGATCTGTCACCAAAAACACAAGGAAATGCCATTCAGGCAGCAACAGGTCTGCTGAACAGAGCCATGCAGGGCAAGTGCCTATGAGCTGGAATCCACACTGCTTTGGCACCTAGAGCAAACGGCCACAAGCTGAGCAGCATCGGGCAATATAAACCTGTTATCCCACACTTCCAGACACCAGAAGTTTAAGATCGGTTTCCCAGGGATAAAGTTGGCAGGGCTTGTCCCTTCTAGAAAGAATCCACTGCCTTGTTTTTCTCCAGCTTGCCCTCCTTGTCCTAGCCGCACCTTCACCTTGCTCCAGCGTGTTATTTCTGCCATCAAATCACCTTTTCCTCATCTGTAGTTACACCTCCCTGCCCAGAGCCCCAAACCCAGACAATCCATGCTCAACCCCCATTTCAAGGACCAAATCTCAGTCATATCTGCAAAGTCCTGAGTCACAGCACAAGCTTCAGAGGAAGTAGACATCCCTAAAGACTTCCATTGAATTAGTTAGTGATGAGAAAACTAGGCAGATGAATAGGACAAGAAAAAAATCATTACAACCTTCAGAGTATCTGAATGCATACTGCACCACAGTGTGCTCATGATTGTGTTTAAGGAAAATCTAACTGGAACATTTAGAGGCCATGGGGATGGCTTGTGTAATGAGGGTGGTTAAAATCCCAACAACAGGCTCATATACCTGGGAAAACCGAGATAACATGAGATGGGTAAATGAACATACATTTGTGGGCTTACGTTAATGCAATGTTTAAGGCAGGGTGAGCATCAATTTTGGATGGTTCTCTTCTTTATAGAACCAGACAACTAGCTGGGTACTGGTGGCTCATGTCTATAATCCTAGCTACTAAAGAGGCTGAGATCTAAGGATCACGGTTCAAAGCCAGCCCGGGCAGGAAAGTACGTGAGACTTTTATCTCCAATAAACCACTAGAAAACCAGAAGTGGTGCTGTGGCTCAAGTGGTAGAGCACTCACCCTGAGCTGAAGAGCGCAGGGACAGTGTTCAAGCCCCACAACTGACAAAAAAAAAAAAAAAAGAACCAGCCATCTTCGGGCTCTAACTAAATTGAAGAAGAAAACCAAGTATCATCTGACTCCTGACAACACCCCTATTTCTACCTCAATATTCTCAGACAGGTTCTTCACAGGGATGGGCTGTCCACCAGGGCTGGTCACGAGGAGTCCACCAACAGTTCCACTGATGTCAAAGCGACTCCCGGCTGGGAAGGGGCTCTTGGGGAAACTCGTCATCTGAAAGGAAGAGAGAGGAGCATTGTCCCAGGCCCTTGAGGCTGCAGGGAACTAGGTCCCTATGTGAGTGATGAGGCCCTGAGGTAGGGCTGCCCCAAGGAGGCATTTCTGGAGTTACCCTGATATCCACAGGCTCGCTGTCATCCTCTGTGGGCCAGAGGGAGGAGGCAGGCAGAGAGAAGGTTGCAGAGTCGGTGGCAGCAATAAACACGGAGGAGCCTCGCCAAGTCCATGGCTGTATTCTGGTCATAGGATGAGGAAAGATTCAGTGTGACCACATAGGAGGAAGAGTCCCGCTCTCCCAGCGCTCAGAGACACTCTCCTGTCTATCAGATAGGTGTCTTTAGCAAGTTCTCAGGTTTGTACCAGCAGCAGAAGCTGCCTCAGAGAGGTGGTGCCCCTGGATCACCACAAAACCAGCTTCGTCCACTGCCGAACCCCCAGCACTTAGGAGCTGGTCAATAATTTTTTGTTGTTGTTAAATGAGTAAATGAGCTTGGCTGTCGACATCTCCATGGGTTTCTCCCCTCTGCCTGCCTTAGCCTTGGAGGTCGTGGGCTCTCAGCTCCATCTTTTCCAGACTTCGCTCTGTCCTCATCAGATTGGACTGGAGACCTGGTTTTAGACCCTCACTCAGATCTGGAGATTATGTCCCTGGGACCTAGTGGAGCAACCCTGACCCAAGGAACCAAAATCTGGGACTCGGTTTGGGGCCTGCAACACGGTCCAGTGCTGGTCAGGTGGGGAGAGGAGAGAGGAAGGCATGCCCAGGAACTGGTCAGTACAGAGCAAGATGGATCCCCCATGGCAAAACTCACAGGCGATTGTTTGAATCCCTGCAGGACTTGGAGAAACGGGCTGGCTGGCCCACCCACGACACAATAGGTACGATGTGGGTTCCCTTCTGCCAACCCTCCCCCCACCCTTCTCCCACATAGCTCAGAATTCACTCCTGTGCTCTAACATTGGGTGTGGCCTTCAACCCTCCTCTCTGCACAACACCCACCCTAGTGGGAAGGAGGGAGCTCTTCAGACGAAAGCCCTCCACCCCCAGGTCTTGGTACCAACACTGCAGATCCCAAGACTGGCCTCCTGGATTCTGCCTGCATCTGGGCGTGGAATCGGGGAGACTAGGGCATGGGCTTTCTTGGGAACACACAGTGCAGCTGATTACCTGTTTGTGTACACGGAGATGGAGGGGGTAGCCAGGGTGGCTGGAAGGGCCCCGGGAAGTGTGCCCAGCAGGAGGGAGGTCTGCACACACTCCACAGCCTCAAGCATCCGGGCTAGTGTAGGAACCTGGGAAGAGGCAAGAGGATGCCATTACGAACTACTGCTCGACGCCATCTCTGGCCACCATCACTAGGCTTATCATGAGGCTTGTAAGAGAGGACAGTGGGAGGTGGGAAAAGCCCCATGGATAATGGCAAGGGCAGCATATACAGAGATGAGGATGCCTGGCTCCTGTGAACCCTTTACAGCCTCCTGGCTGTAATGGGTGTTTTCCGCTCTTCTTGGGCAGTAGGGGAAACGTGTGGAGAGGAAAGATGGCTTGGGAAGGATAAAGAGAAGGAAGAGCCAGGACTCATGGGGAAGCTTCTGGCTTCAGGCATCATGTGCTGAGCCATTGTGCTATTTGGCTCTGTGCAGCTGACTTCCACACCTGGCTAGGTGTTATTCCAGGGCATGTGGAGAGTCATGGGTAAAGCCATTCAAAACATGCGTCTTCGTGATGTCAAGGCTAGGATGAGAACCCAGAAAGGCTGGGTGTTTGCAGAGTGCTTATGGGGTACACAGATGTGTGTGACCATCACTATGTGTGAACATAAGGATTTGAGCATGCCACATGCAAGTCTGTGTGAGGGCATTATACATACTATATATGAACGCATGTGAATGTAGCTCCCAGGTGTATGTAAGTGATTAGGAATGTGAGTGCAACTATGTGGAAGAGCTATGTGAAAGAGTCTGTCTGTGTGTAACTATGCTGCTATGTGTAAAGGTGTGATTGTGTGTATATGGGTGTGTGATCGTTTGTGAGGGTGTGAGGCTGAATCTGTATGTGTTACACCGTATCTGAATCCATGGCCATGTGTGAGCATATACCTTTGCCTTATTTGTTTGGCAGTACTGGGGTTTGAACTCAAGGCCTCGTGCTATCTGAACCAGTTCGCCAGGAAGCAGGCATCTCTGTATTCAGTTACCTTTGTATGAGACTGTCCTTCAGTCTTCCTGCAAAGGAAAGCTGGCCCGTGGGATAAAGGCCTGTGGAGCAGCTAGACTTGAGCTTTGCAGTTCTATCACGATGCTGCCCTAGGAGCAGGCTGCATCCTTGCGCCCCTCGGGAGCCACACATGCCCCACCTACTCTGACTGTTGTGTGTTCTTGGCTAAACAAACCAGGAATTACCAAACCTGCAAGGGGGTACACAGGTCTCTCCAACAGAGGCTGCTGATCTGAGGTGAGGCAGGATGCTTCCTTTTGCAGATGAGGAATGTGAGTTTCCTCACACAGGGCCCCTACGTGATGAATGATACAGCTTGCAAGCGACACAAGTCAGAGTTCAGATTCAGGCTGCCTGCTTCCAGGCCCCACATACAGCCTATTACTCCACACTGCCTCCCGGGGGTGCTGATCCCTGGATCCTTTCTTCCAACTCCTTGGTAAACACTACAACTCCAGGCCTCAGTTTCCTTATCTGTAAGGAGTGGGTGTGAGTTGGGCACACCATGGGCATGAGGTCTGCATCTGGCCTGAGACACCCACCTGGCTGCTGTTGTCATCCACGGGCTCTTCTGGTTGGTTGCTCGGGAAAGCTTCCAGTATATTGCCCACCGCCCAAAGCAAGTCCCTGGTGGCTGCCTGGCGCCTCTGGTCCTCAGGACGGGCCTTGGTACTTGCTGTCAACAGGACTTCACTGGCCTGCTGCAAAGCCTGGCTAGCCACCCACTGAGTACAACCAAAGAAGAAAAAGCAATGTGAACCCATCTGGGATGGATCCGTCCCTGTGCCATTTCAGGGATATAGGATGCAGGGGAGGGGAGTAAGCGAGGGGCCTAAGCCGAGGAAGAGCTGAGCCAGGCCCATCAGGGAAGCAGTCCACATTCCTAACTTAAGACTGGATCTAAGGCTTTAAGTTCCTCTAGGAGAGAGGAATTCTGAATTCTTCCCAGAGTGCTTTATGGAGTGATCTGCACATCGTAGGTAGTTGGTAACATTTACTGACTTGGAGTGATGGATGGATAGAGAATGAATGGATGATAGATGGGTGGGTAGAATGGGTGAAAGGGTGGAAGGAAGATGAATGGATGGAGAGAGGGTGAGGATGGCTGGCTGGATGGATGGAACCATGGGTAGGCAGGTGGATAAGGGTGGGTGAGCAGGTGGATGATGCATGGACATAGTACTTCATTATAGTTTTATGTTTTTATGAGATTATTTGTTTGGTACCCTGATAGTCTGAACATGCCTTAAGGGCAGTCTGTGCATGTGACTCGCTGCCGAATTCTCAATGAATTCAGTGCCTGGTACAATAGGCATTCCGGAGATGCTTATTGATTGAGTGGATGAATGAGTGCACAGAGGAGGGAAGGAAGGATGCACATAGGACACATGACTAAGCACATGGGTGTATGAATGTATAATGCCACCTTGCCAGCTTTGGGCCGGGGCATTTGTGGAGACGGCTCCAGTGGAGTGAGTGAGGTAGTGCCAGGGCAGTTTCCCTCTCACTCCTTGTGGCTTCTTTTTAACCCTGGGCTGTTTATGTGGTGGAACATGTACTTTGATCTGAATTTTCCAAGAAGGAGATAAGGCTGTTTGTTTGGAGGTGACTCCAGGGAACATCCTTCAAGGCTTGGGGATGTGAGACAGGAAAGGGTCAGAATCCAGTGCAGGAAGCGCAGTCAAGCCCCGTGCCTGGGGCCTGGTCCTGCGTGGGAGTTATCCAACAAGAAGGGTTGAGGTAGCTGGGCTAGCTGTGCATGACTTCCCAGCTGTTGGGGCAGGTGGAGGGGCAGGTGTCAGGAAGAACCCCAGGCTAGAAGGTGCCGGTAGCTGGACATCACACTGGACATCAGATGTGCAAGATGAGGTGGATCAGTAGCAGCTCTGGTGACTTTGCTGCCCAGCCAAGAACAGGATCCAGGTGCTCCTTCCAGTTGCTCACCCATGGATGGAGAGGAATGGGTGGGGACAAGAAAGTCATCACATAGGATGAGGCATAGTAGGGGGCTACCGAAGGGTACCTTCCCATACACCACCAGGCAGGATCATTGGAAAGAAGATGGCGGAATTCTTGGCAGCTCCAGGAGAGCTCTGTGACTTAGGGACCCCTTGACCTATCCTTGGCTGGGTTGTTACTTTCCTCTCATGGAGGGGTGTGTGTGTGTGTGTGTGTGTGTGTGTGTGTGTGTGTGACAGAGGGGGGGGAGGGAGAGGGAGAGAGAAAGAGACTGCCTGGCTCAGCAGGTGGAAGTTCTTACCTGGGCGGAGGGTGTGAGCTCTTCACTGAGGTGGGTCAGCTCCCTCAACACCTCAGCCAGCCCCTGCACACTCTGCATGTCCTCCAGGCTGCCGATGACCTTGGACAGTGACTGCAGTACAAGTTCTCTGACCTTGGTACAAGGAGAAAAAGGCCAGGAGAGAAAATGAAATTCCAGAGGTTCCATGAAAGCATTTCAGGAATATTTGGGGTCAGGAGAATGGCTAGGGTTTCCCGCATCCACACCTTAATCCTTGAAACTTGTGAACATGTTACCCCAGAGGACAAAAAGGCACTCTGGCCTTTGGAGATGTGATGGGGATCCTGAGACAGGGACAGCATTGTGGATTAACAGTGGGGGTGTTAGGACCATAGGGATCATGAGAGGGAGGAAAGAAGATGAATTAGGGAAGCAGACGGATATTGGAGGCAGCAGTAAAAGACAGAGAAGAGAGAAAGAATGGGGGAGAGCAGAAAGCTTTGATGATAGGGAAGGGGCCGTGAGCCAAGGAATGCAGGTTACCTCTAAACGCTAGAAAAGTAAGGAGTGGATTCTCCATTAGAGCCTCCTGGAAGTTTCCAGTCCTGCCTAGCCACGCTTGACCTAGACCAAGTCATGTTCCTACTGTGGTCCTTGTTCTCATTATTCCTAATAGGAAAGGACCAGAATCATGCTCTACTAGTTCCCAAAGACTAGAACTGTTGATGGTGAGCAAAGAATACTGATTATCAACAATGAAGACCTTTCTTCTCTTTTTATCCCTCACTGGAAGGACCAGAGTGGGAGTGACAAGAACCACTGGGTGATGCTAAAGTCTTCTCTACTGGTCCCTGAACCCTGTCCCCTCTGACCCAAAGAGACCCCTGGGACCTCAGTGGGAGGTATCCAAGGAGTCTATTTTGGTACCTTCTGTCTTGTGTCCATTGTTAGCAGTTGCCCAGAGTCCTGGCCTAGGTCCTTTTGGTTCAGCATGGAGGACAGAGACTTGGCCAGCTGGAGAAGTTGCTCAGGGCCATGCTCACCTTGTAGAGCAGTAGTGACCCTTTCCAACATGGCAGCCTGGAATTCCCCCTCCTCAATACCTGTGTCCCCGAGTCCCACCTACAGAGAAACAGAAATGGGCTCAGTGGTCAGTGGGGAACAGAACAGGCCTGGCATGGGCTCAGTGGTCTTTGTGGGAACAGGGAAGGCCTGGCATGGGGCTCTTAGGCACTTCCTGCAGCTGGAGGGCACCTGGGCCAATTTGTGCCAGGCAGTTGGCAGCCATCAAAACTAAGGGCAAGCCCTCACTTCACTTCTAGTTGCTGACTTCATGCTGTCCATCTCCTGATCTCAATTTGGCTCTTGACCCTAGAACTATGATTTATCAAGGCTTAACTTTGAGTCCTTATGGCTGATCTTGGTCCTATTTCCTCTGAATTACTAACTTAATGCTTGCCCAGATCCTTCTGGTCTACTCCACCCGTTGCTCCCAACACCTAACCTTCTGCTAATAATTTAGTCACATGATCTACAAAGGTAGGGGCCAAATTCATATGCAAGTTCAGGACTTGGAATCTAGTAGATACTTATAAATATTTGTTGAAGAAATGCTCGAGCTAGATACTGGTGGTTCACACTTATAATCCTAGCTACGCAAGGGGCTGAGATCTGAGGATTGTGGTTCAAAGCTAGCCCAGGCAGGAAAGTCCATGTGACTTTTATCACCAATTAACTAGTAGAAAACCAGAAGTAGAGCTGTAGCTCAAAGTGGTAGATTGCTAGTCTTGAGCAAAAAAAGAACACAGGGACAGCTCCCAGGCCCTGAGTTCAAGCCTTATAACCATCAAAAAATAATAATAATAAAATAAATGAGTGAGTCAGTGATTCACCAGCCAAGCCCATGGCTGTCTTCCACCCAGCCACCCTTGAAATAACATTTAAGAAAGAATGACTATCACGATCACCCACCTTCACCATTGCATGGGTCTGCTGTCTTTCCCCTGCCTGGTTGGTGACAGAAATGATCACTGTCAGCACAAAGTCTTTGCTGTCTTTTCCAAGTGGTAGGTACACAGATGGGAGGGCTGGTTCAGGGCCACAGTGTAGGCAGGAACCTGGCAAAATGGCAATTGAGCAATTAGGGTGACGTGTCCAAGCCTAGGGAGACCACGACCCACCAGGTCCCCAGGACACAAAAGTAATAGTTCTCTAAGGAGTAGTAAACACACTGGGATTCTACACCATTGGAGGGAAGACAGCCACACATACTGATTCATTGTCCTCAATAAGTGACGTCAGGTTGCTGTGAGTTTGGAATCCTTTCTCTAAAATTCATGAAAAATAACAGGAAAAATATTTACAGGGATTTTGTGTTGTGTTTTGTGCCAGTATTAGGAAATGAATTACTTAAGGGTGCTGACCCTTAATTTTTTTTCACTCAAGCCTGTACTCCACCACTTGAGCCATAGCTCCACCTCCAGCTTTTTGCTGGTTAATTGGAAACAAGAGCCTTGCAAACTTTTCTGTCTAGACTGGCTTCAAACCATGATCCTCAGATCTCAGCCACCTAAGTAGCTAAGATTTCAGTTGTGAACCACCAGCCCTTGGCTTACGTTTGTTTGTTTGTTTGTTTAAGTGATAAGTCAGATTACAAAATAAAGGGAAAAAAGAGAAGAGGATGAGGAGAACAACAACTTAGTTCAAAACATATCTGGGGATGGGGCATGGCTCAGTTGTAGTACACTGCCTAGCATGCATGAGGACCTGAGTTCAGCCCCCAGGAGTACCTACATGTGCACACGTGCATACAAAAAAACCCCAAAACTTCTTTAAGAGTCAACAATTTTTTTTGGTTTTGTGCTATACATTTTTCCCCTAGCAGTAAGGATTGAACTCAGGATCTCACATAGGTTAGACAAGCACACTACCATGGATATCTACATCACCAGACCCCCAAACTCCTCGCTTTACAAAAACCCTCCCTTCCCCGGCTGTTCTATCTCAAAATGCACCCTCTGTCATATGTGTCTTAGTTTACTAGTTGTCTCTGCCAATAATGGTAAACATAATAAGGCCAAGGACTTCCTGTATTTTATTTGTTGCTACATATCTAGCACCTGCCAGAGCCTGACATTCAATACATGTTTGTTGTAAAAAGTAAGTGAATGAATATTCCTTTTACCCTTCAATGGGACCTGTCAGTCATTGGAATCACCAATTATTGTATAGTGTGCTATACAATGATTTGTTATTGAATTCAGTTTGTTTGTCTGAGTCAGGATCTAAATAATGAACTGGCCTCAAACTCAATATGTCATCTGGATTGGCTTCAAACTCTTGACCCTCTTGCTTTAACCTCCCAGGGGCTGGGATTACCAGTGTGCACTGCCACACCTAACTGAATGCTCATTTTCTTTTTCTTTTTTTTTTAGGTCCGGTTGTGGGGCCTGAACTCTGGGCCTGGGTCCTGTCCCTCAGCTCTTCAGCTCAAGGGTAGCGCTCTACCACTTGAGCCATAGGGCCACTTTCGGCTTTTTTCGTTTTGCTTATGTGGTGCTGAGGAATTGAACCCAGGGCCTCAGGCGTGCAAGGCAAGCACGCTACCACTGAGCCACCTTCCCAGCCTTGAATGCTCATTTTCACACCATCATACCTCTTTGCCTTCTTATATAAGGCTAAAGTACTAAAGAGAACAACTAATCAGAAGTAGAACTGCTGTCCTGGCCCTTCCCTTTCTAGGAGGAAGCAGGTAATGCAGATTGGAAATCTACTCAGTTTGCTTTGACTTTTTTTTTTTTCCTTTAACAGGGCACCCATTAAACTGCACTCCTGGAGCCTCAGAAGAGCTCACACCCATTTTTCCATGATCGAGGTACGCAGTGTCTACTATTGTGCTGTCTGATGCTGGACAGTAGGAAGCATTGACATAATAAGCACAGTGCTGAGGTTCAGAGGAAAGTTCCAGATCAACTAGTACCCTTGCTTGGGACCTTCATACGAGGGTCACAAGATACCCACAAGGATAAGGAGGAGATAAGGAATCAGATGAGCTCTCCAAGAACCGACTACTACCAAAATGTAAGGGGAAAAAAATGGGACTGGGCCATTCCACCATCCTGCTAATGCCCACTGTGTCCTGGCTGTGGGGTCTGACAGTATTGAATGACACCCAGGTAGGGTCACATGCAAGTGAACAGGGTCCGTGATAGTCCTCCCCTGGAAACTTAGCAACAATGTTCTTTCAGCTCAGCTTATCCTGTGACATGGCCATTCTCTGATGCTGCTTTGTAAAGCAGGGTCCTGCTTCTTTCCAAGTAGTTCCAGAATCTCAGCATCATAGTTACTCCTGGTGCATGGGGGAGGGGGGTGGAGGAGGAGGAGCAGTGTCCTGCTATGTCGTCACGTGTCATACTTCTGGGTCTCTTCACCCTTCTCACCCTGACACTACTTACACTGAAGCCATTTTGGCTTCTGAGGTTGTGCAGGAGCTGCTTCTCCTGACCCTGTGGTGTGGTGGCTAGGCCAGTGCCTTGAGAGCGGCCAGTTCAGAAGATCCTCATCCTGCCAACGTCTCACGGACGGAACACATTCTTTGTGTCACACAGTCCCTGCTCTGGAGGGTCTGAGCCCAGGGTGTGAGGGGAAAGCAGTCCCAAGACAGTACCTGAGTCTAGACAGAAGCAATATTCCAGGGGCTCTAGGACCGTGGAGGCCGTACAGAGAATGGCAAAGCGGGTCAGTACAGTGCCCTCCTCTGGGGCAATCACACAGGTGGGCACCACGGGTGTAGGCAGAGCGCTGATCACATAGGTGTCCTCCCCATAGGCCTGCCTGGTCAGCGCTGGGGAGTAAAGACAGATGAGCATGCTTCAGGATGACCTGGTCAGCTGCTGAAGACACACAGATTTCTGTTCCTCCTGCTGCGGCCCCCTCCCCCTCTCCCGAGCGGGCTGGAGATTCTGGGGGCAGCTTCCAGGTCCTCATGTCTAACAATGTCCCTTTGATGTAGAATCCCAGGGAGACTGGGCAAGCCCTCAAGATGCTCAGGTAGTAGGACTGTGAGTTCCAGGAAAAGGAGAGAGAGAGAGAGAGAAAGAGAGAGAGAGAGAGAGAGAGGGAAATTGGGCAGAAATAATAGAAGAGAATCAGATAGACCTGAACTGGAATTCTAGTTCTAGCAATTATTTTACCACCCAAATGACTTGGACTTGAGGTTTTTGAGGGTTAATCTGTTATCTGTAAAATGGGGCCACTAATAATAATACATTTCCTATACTGGGATTATTTTCTTACTTTTGAGACAGAGTCTGGCTATGTAGTCCAGCCTGGCTTTGAACTCTTTTGTGTATGTGTGTGTGTGTGTGTGTGTGTGTGTGTGTGTGTGTGCTTATTTTGGAGCTTGAACTCAAGGCCTGGGCACTGTCCCTGAGCTTTTGTGCTCAAGCCTAGCGCCCTACCACTTAAGCCACAGTTCTATATCCGGCTTTTTGGGTGTTCAACTGGAGGTAAGAATCTCACAAACTTTCCTGCCTAGCCTGGCTTTGAACCTTGATCCTCAGATCTCAGCTTCCTAAGGAGCTAAGATCACAGGTGTGAGCCACCAGCCCCCCACCTGGCTTTGAACTCCTGCCCCTCCTGCCTCATCCTCTACCCGTCACCACGCCCAGCTCAGCTGGTTTGGAATGAGCAGCTCTGCCTTCCCTGGGCAGCACAGGCCTAGGTCACCAGTGTGTTCCACTGCCTTCTGTCATTCATCCTGCATGAGAGCGGCGCTGGGGCAGGCAGCTATCATCTCTGGATTACCTAGAAGTGAACTGAGACCTCTGGAGGCCAAATCCTTTACCCAGAGGCTCTCAGTGAAATTCCCTCCAGAGCCCCAGCCACGTTCCATGTTTTACCAAAGCCCCACAGTTAGTGTTTGTCTTGGCTGCCTGACAAGAGGAGGTGGGGTGGCTTCTCACCTGTGACCCTGATCCAGAGGACCTGTCCCCAGGTCTGCAGGGAGCTGCTGTTGAGCAGCAGCGTGGAGGTGTCCCCTTGAAGAAGGGTCAGAGAGCGTGTCTGGAACCCTGTGAGTCTGCAGACAGCAGGGAGGGGCTCAGCCTGCAAGACAGCAGTGCTCAGGGCCTCTGAGTCTGTAGCCAGGACCCCAGACCTTGTAGGACAGTGGCTTCTGTCCCCAGGAAATTTATCTCAAGTGAAGGTGGCAGTGGGGTCCCACCAGCATCCCCAAAAGTCAGGTGAATGCCAAGCCCCAGTGTTGGTAGGCTGTTTGTCTGAGGTAAGGTTTGGGGGAATAGGGGCCTGAGCAGGGGTTTGTGTGCAGGTCACTTGAGGAAAGAGAGGTTTCAGAGAAAGCAGAGGGAGGTAACAGGGAAGGGAAGCAAGAAGCAGTTCCACCAGAGGCGAGCAGCCTCGGCCTGGCTTGTGGGGAGCTGTGGTATAGAAGGTGAGCTGCAGAAATTGCTTTCCTAGGAATACGGGGACTGGACTGCTCAACCTCGCATCAGCCCCTGCACAGCAGCTGGGCAATGGGAGAAGGTTCAGGGAGATGTATCAGCCTGGACAGGGGCCATGGACCAATAGCTTTGGCCAAGCACTTCCCTATGGAGTTTTTCTTTTCTTTTTTGCTGGCCTTGAGTTGTTGGGTAGGAACTACTTCCCCAGCCCCATTGAGTTTGCTTCTATGTATTTACCCATCCTGCTGGGGATTCCCTCAGTTCTCCTTGCGTGGTTGTCACTGTCCTCACCTTGTCTGGTGAGGAGCTGTCCAAGTACCAGCTGAATGTGGCTGCTGAGATGTCCTCTCCCAAGGTGACTCTGAGCAGAACATCTTCATTGGCATCCGCCAGCTGGCAGTTCTGCTCACAGCTGGAAAGGAAACAGGGAAAGGGGCAAGGAAGCTCCCTCAGACACAGTGAGAAGCCACTCTTCTGCCCAGTTCTTGTCAAGTCCTCTGAGAGGGTATAGAATGACCTTTCTCCAAATGGTAAGTGGTGTCAAAACAGCCACTGCCCCAAGACACATCAGAGCCAAGACAGACCTAGTCTCCTTATGGACAGATCCACAGCCTGACAACGCTCCCATGTCCCTCAGACCCTGGGTGCTAGCATGGAGCATTCAAAAGGCTGAGACAAGTCCTTGGGTTCAACCTTTGACCCTGCTACTTAGGAATAGTCATCCTGTATAAGTCACTTAGAGGCTGAACCTCAGTTTCTTCACTTGTAAACTGAGAGTAAACCCAAAAATCTTCTGCGACTCTTTTTAGCTCTAATCATAGTGAATGGTGCTGGTGTTTCAGAAGGAACATGCCAGGCATAAATGATGTCCACAGATAGCAACACATCCAGTGCTCACAGCAGCCCAGGTGACACAGCTCCTCAGTGGGTAGATGGAACATGGACTTGTGTGATGGTTCCTCATCCTGGGCCTTCTCTATAATACCCTGCTCTCTCCTAGAGCCTCAAGAGGCCACACTGGCATCTACCATGTCCAATCCGTCCCTTGGGTCCTTTTGGTTTAACTGTATAAGCTTTCCCATCTGCCTACTTCACTCCTTACCATCTGCCCTGGTACAAGTATACGCAAGTGACTCCACTTGTCTTCCAGACCATTCTCCAGCTCTTTGGGGCGGTGTCCCCAGAGATCAGCCTCTGTAGATTGCGGTTCCACAGCTCTACACCCTACCCAATTGGGAGCATTGGTGGAGGACCCATGGGAGTAAGGAGAGGATGGAGATTTATCCCTGCGTGACCCTCCCCTTTTCCTGGAGGGCTGCATAATATGCCGCTCCATGTAGCCGAGCCCACAGCTTAGATCTCAGGAACTTCCAGTCACATTTGTCCCCACCTCTGCAGTCCTAGGAGCAATGGCTTCCCCCATTACGGTCCTGCATTGCCTTCTTGTTTTTTCCCTTAGCCCTGTCTACGCTTGTCAATGGAAACTTCATCCATCTGTGATGATTCCTCATTAGAGGGGGCCCTCTGTTCCCTGCAGGGACCCAGCCAACAGACCAGCTGTCTGGAGCTCTTACATGTACTCTTGAAGTGCCCAGGTAAGTTTCCAAGGCCTCCCCTGCTCTCCCCCACTTATTCTTTCCCCTGGTAGCAAAATGTTTCTAAGCAAGATGTAACCATGTCCTGCTCAGAACTTCTAGGTGGCTTCTCTCAGCAACTTCTAGAGAAAGACCTCAGATTTGGGATGCCCTGGAGGTTCTGCCTGAGCCAGGCCTGTCTACTCCTTTGACTCCTTCTTACACTGCTATCCTGCTCTATGCCAGAGGAAATTGGCCTCTTTCTCTTCTGCTCTCTTCTTCCTGTGCCCTCTCCAGTCATAATTTTCCTGCTATGTTAGTTCCTTCCATTCCCCTCTTTATCTCTGCTCAGCCCCAGCTCCTATGGGATGCCCTCTATGACCCCTAATCAGGAAAATTGTCATACTTGTGCTGTCTCCCTTCACTCCCTTGTGTAAATCGTTGCTGATCCCCAGATAGCAACCCCATGAGAACAGGGACTGGCTGGCTTGCCCAGCCCTTCAGACCTTGCCCTAAGTCAGGACTGTCCTGGCCTGGCTCTTACTAAGTGTTGGCTGATGAATAGAGCACCAAGCCTGTGTGCCTCACCTGACTCGGGGCTCGAGGTCCAGAGGAGCAGACACATAGAGGCACTGCTCCGTCTCCTTCTGTAGCTCCTGGCCCCTTAGGATGGCCAGGCGCAAGGTGACAGCCGATCCGGGTGGTGGCAGGCAGGATGGCGGGATCACCAGTTCCCTCTGGGCTGTGTGGAGCCGCTGCCTTTCCACACAGTTGCTCCACTGATCCCAGCAGCGCCCTGGGAGGGGGTAGGAAGACACTGTTATCCACAGCACACATGGCTACCTTCTGGCTTGAGAATTTTTTTAGAAGAGGATCTACAGCTGGGAGCAGGTCCAGGGCACCTCCCCATCTTTGGTGCAGCTATCACCCTACACAGAGGAGGCTGCCCTCAGCAATGAGTCCCTGTGGGGTGTGATGGCCCATGGAGACTGCGGTCTCCTCTGCTTTTGATAACAGCTCCATAAATTCAACTCCACTGATTGATGCCCATGCATCCCTCACTCTCCACCCCTCCCACATGCTCATCAGTCACAGAATATCCCCAGGGTCAGGCTCTGTTCAGCTGTCTAAACTTCATACTCCATGAAGTATTGAAAGCCTTGAACTTCTGTATGATATTTGTTAGTCCATTTTAAGAAATTTAGTTATGAAAGCAAGCACAGATGTAAACAGATTGAACAAATGACAGTAGTATACATATAAGAGCAAACGTTTGGAAATAAGCTAAATGTCCAGAATAACAGTCCTAGTGAAAAATAAATAAGGAAACAAATAAAACCAATCCTGGTGAATAAATGACCATACGTTAACTGATCACAGCCTATTGGGAATCTCTTTATTATGAAAATCAAGACAGACGAGAAGGGGCTGGGAAGGTGGCTCAGTGGTAGAGTGCTTACCTTGCATGCATGAGGCCCTGGGTTCGATTCCTCAGTACCACATAAGCAAAAAGAAAAAAGCCGGCAGTGGTGCTGTGGCTCAAGTGGTAGAGCGCTAGCCTTGAGCTGAAGAGCTGAGGGACAGCACCCAGGCCCAGAGTTCAGGCCCCACGACCCGACCAAAAAAAAAAAAGAAAAAGACAGACGAGAAGATGTGTGATAGTAAGCTGCGCAGGTTATGTTGTCCAGTGGAAAAAATGTTAACAGAGCAAAATGTCCAATGTGAATAGTATTCCTTTTATTTCTAAGACAAAACATATGTTTCTAGACAATAACCCTATGAAATGGAGATCACTCCTAAAAGCTTGTGCTACCCTCTTGGTTTGTCAAAAGATACCTGACCTTTGCCCTTTTAGACTCTCCCCAGTAATGTGGGGGTGGGGAGAAGGGAAGGGTGTGCTGCAGAGAGGAAGAGCATTTCATTGCTGACCTTGTTTGGGATTGTCAGTGCATGCTAATGAAAAGCACATCCCCATGCTTGCTACCTTCAGGGCCATTCTCCCTTCCTATCTCCCATTTCCATGCAACTTACAATCAGGCCTAAGTGATGTGCTTGTGAAGACAAAGAAAAATGATAACATAACCTGATGCTATCTGCCATTTCCCAGAAAGGACAGCCCAAGAACTCACACCACCTACCACAGGACCAGCGGAAGCGGAAGCGGAAGTCCTCGTCATCAGCTGGCCAGCCCAGAGTGACTGTTGTGAAAGGATCCACGTACAGACCAGGCTTGACATATACCTCCAAATCCCCCTTGTCTCTCTGCGGAAGAAGGGGACACTGGTGAGGCATATCTCCATAAATGACTTGGCCTCACTGTGCTGTGGCCAGCCTGTCCTCTACCTTAGAGCAATGTGTGTTAGGTTTTTAAAAAGAGGTAGCCGAGTAAGAACAGCACCAGCACGCACGTGGTATTCAGGTAAGGGGTAGGTTTATTCAGTAGACCTGCTGGGACCAGGCAAGGTTGGCACTCCACGTGGCTGGGAAAGGCCTGGGAAGGAGAGAGCTGGGAAAGAGAGGAAAGAGCTAGAAAAGAGCAGAGAGAGGGGTGAGAACAGTAGCACTCACGTGGTATTCGGGTAAGGGGTAGGTTTATTCATAGACCTGCTGGGACCAGGCAAGGTTGGCACTCCACGTGGCTGGGAAAGAGAGAGAAAAGAGCTAGAGCAGAGAGAGAGCAGAGAGAGCTAGAAAAGAAGAGCAAGAGCAAGAGCTAGAAACGAACAGAGAGAGAAAGAGAGAGAGTCTGGGCCTGGGCTAGGCCTTATGTAGGGTATGGGCGGAGAAAGGTGTGGCCACATCAAATTCAGATGTGACCTCAGCGGATGCAGATGTGACCTCTTCCAGGTGTTCCAGTTGCCTAGGTAACGCAGGTACTGGGTGGAGACTTTGCTGCGAGGAGGGTGGAGTCTGCTCACCATCCAAGAGCGGACCTTACAATGTGTACCAAGAGTAGCTACAGTGTGAGACATGGAGCAGAGAAAGACCCTGGCTGACGCACCTGGCTGCCTTCATGGGACATGGAGTTCATTGTTCACAGTCACTGGGTAAGTAAATTTATTCTAAGTGTGGGCTCAGGACCCATCATGCATTCAATACACAGACTTAGCATTAGGATGCCTAGAGATCTAGGAACAAGACAAGCCCTTGCCCTAAAGTTAGGAAAGCCGGGCACATACACTGACAATTAGAACTCAGAGCAATGACTATGAATCCCATGAAACTAGTAAACTGGAAAGAAAGAGGCAGAATTTAGGTCTTGGGCCATGCTTTGTGGTGTACATTTGTAAATCCAAGTATTTTGAAGGCAGAGGTCAGAAGACAATGAGTTCATGACCAGTCAGGGCAAAGTTTTCGAGACTGTCTCAAAAACAAGTGCAAGATAAGTTGTGATGGAGCATATCTGTCATCCTAGCTACTTAGGAGTCAGACTTAGGAGTATCATGGTTTGAGGTCAGGTCAGACAGTTCACCAGGCCCTTTCTCAGTCCATATCCAGATATAGTGGTATGTGCCTGTCATCCTAAACTACCTGGGAGGCTGAGATTGGGACAGTTGTGCTTCTAGGCCAGCCCAGGTAGAAAAACCTATGAGATTCGATCTCAATGGGAAGAATCTGGGTGCAGTCACACATACCTGTCATCTCAGCTAGGATTGGAAGACTGAAATAGAAGGATTATGGTCCAGGTATACACCCAGGCAGAAGGCAAAAGCCTATCTAAAAAATAACCAGAGTGGAAAAGACCTGGGAGTATGGTATGAGTGACAGGGTGCCTACCCAGCAAGCACAGGCCTTGACTTCAAACCACCCCCCCCCCCCAAAAGTGAAAAATGGATTAGAAATTTTTAAAAATTTAAAGGCTGGGGATGCAGCTTAAGTGGGATAATTCTGACTTAATATGCTAGAGGCCAGTACCATAAAAAGAGAAAAATATGCAGGCCTTTGGAGGCCTGTCTCAGCCAGAGGCCTCAGCCAGTTTTGCTTCTGTTCTTCCAGGGACCTTGATAGCATCTGTTTCCAGGGGTTGCTGTGGATTTGGCGAAAAGGAGAACAAAGAGCTTTTACCTTTGTACTCAGGTCCAGGAGCCCGGGGAAGCTCCCACAGAGCAGAATCCCAGAACAATTGAAGGAGGAGGAAAGGGCATATGGGTTCTAGGGAGAGGCACACAGTGTGTTCTGGGAATAAATTCTGGTGGGACCTGTTAAACAACTCAGGCTTCAAGGCCTCTTGCTCAAACCTAGAAGGCTAAGCCTGTAGTTTCACTGTACAGCCTACAATGAAACCCAACCTCCAGTGGCCTCCCATGGCCCGAGAATAAAATGCAAACTCCTTGCCTTGGCCTCCACCCATCCTGGTTATCTCTTAGTGTCCCTTCCACCTGGGCTCCAGCCACTCTGACCTCGGGCCTTTAATAGCCTCCAGGCCTTCTCAGCCTACCCATCTGGAAAGCTCAGACTCTGCAGACTGTCCGGTCTACACATTCCCTCCTGGGAGGACTTGTCTAACTATATTCCTAGATACCTCCCCACCAACCGGACGGTTACTACCGCAGCATCTTAGTGGTCCTTGTGGCATATCTACCACAATTTTAAATTTCTGAATTCTTCTAATTCGTTTAATCTCATTCAGTGAGCTTCATGAAGACAAGGATCACATCTACTTTTTTTTTTTAATCTGAGACTAAGACTTGAACTCAGTGGCTCATGCTTTCAATCGTTGGCTCTACCACTTGAGCCACACACAACTCCAATCACATCTTTTTCTTGTGAAGTTATATGTCTGAAAAAGATACTAACCTTCTTTTCTCCAGGATTCATTCCAGATGGTTCTTGCATACTGAAAGTGGCTGTGAACAAGGTAGAGGTAAATGTTCAGCTTAGTGGAGAGCCTTATTAAAGGTTGTCAAAAGACAGAATCATCTGGATACAGTCCTAAGGCAAGAAGATCACTTGAGTCCACACGTCTGAGTTCAGCTTGCATACTATAGCAATACAGAGAGACTCATCTCAAAAAAGAAAAGAACCCACCCTCAGGGCAGCAGCCTCTATTAGTAAACAGTTCAGGGGAGCTGAGTAAAAGGGCAAAAGCAAAAATACCATGTCTGCATGAAGACACCTCTTTGATAGTTAAGGAGGAAGTAGCTACCAACGCAAATTGTGTTTGTCAGACTTCACATCACTATGACCAAATACCTGGGAGAAACAACTTAAAGGGAGGTAAGGTTTATTTAGGCTTATGTTGCAGTTCTTTCAGTCCATGACAGCAGTGGGCCCGGTGGAAAGAGCAACTTACCTCATGGTGGCCAGGAAGCAGAGGATGAACTAGGATCTTGTTAGATAGGCCCATCTGTGGGCCTCTGAGATTTGCTGCCAAGTGAGGGGCAGGAGGAGGAGCCCTGACTTTAGCATCTGTTAATTTCCATGGTGGAACTGACGTTCCTGCATGCTGAGTGAGAGGAGGTGGCTGAACCTGTGCAAGCAGCTATGGCCCACCATGGCACATTTCCACATCTGCTATGGGCTTCTTGTTGCTTCTGTGATCCTGGGCAGCTTCTAAGTCTTAATTTCCTCATCTACAAATGAGACTAAGGGGAATCTCTCTTTCCCCAGGGTCTGGGACACAGAATGCCAGTTCTGTAGCGTGGTTCGTGAAGATGCAAAAAGTACCTTCCGTTAATATGCCCTGGAGACGCTGAATGTTAATGTGGGTTGATGCTTCACTAAAGTGTGATGATGAAGATAGAAACTCGAGCGACAGACTTCTGAGGATGTTTTCCCATCAGGCTTCCATGCCCTCTTCTTTAGTTAACAGCATGGATGTGCCATTCTTTCCCGGAGAAGCCATCTCTTTTGTCTTCTCTTCCCCTTCACTGCACTCCAGGGTGTGCCTGTGATCCTGTCTTGCCCAAACTGAGTACCAGCTCCCACAATCTCAGCAGCTGGTACAGGTGGGACCAGGGTCCCACCAAGTGTGGACCAGCAAGAAGCAGCCTCCGTCTTCTGCCATAAGTACCCAGCAGGGCTGTGTTTAAGGATCCCAGTCTAGGCCCACCTTGCCACTACTTTGCTACTGCTAGAGAAGGGAGAATTCGAATGATGCCAACTCAGGACTGAGAGATAGAGAGGCACAGATTTCTGAAGATGCAGCCTAAGGGATGGATCCAGGTGTACTCACGGTGCCGGGCAAACCCTGGGCTGCTCATTTATTAACCTGATAATGTTTCCTTTTGACTTGGGATAAGCTGAACTGCTTTCCTATTCCTTATTGTTCAGAAAGTCCTGACAACAAACTCTCAGGGTAAACTTTAAGCTCTGTGATGGTCCATTACTCCACACTCTCTTAGCAGCCAGAACCTACTTTCTCCGCAGAACCTGAAAATTCTGCATATCCATCTGCCTGGCATCCCTTATATGCATGACCTTAAGTTTGTTAAAGATTGCTGGGTGCTTTTGTAAGAAAGACTTCCCTCCTAATATAAAACATGCCTGTGAAGAAATGTCCTGTGTCTGCTGAAAAATGCAGGTTGATACACACCATCTGGAGCTGCAGCAGCCATCTTGACTCCCTGAGAAACAGAACTGAAGCCAATGCTCTGAGGATGACAGAGCTGAAAGGTAGACTGAGCCTGGGTCCCTGCTGATGTTACAAAGTCCTAGAACCACTTGCCTTCTAACTTCTTATACAAGACAAGAATTTTCTGAATTTACAGCCATTAGATTTACTTTCTGTTCTTTCTTTCTTTCTTTCTTTCTTTTTCCAGTCCTGGGGCTTGAACTCAGGAACTGGGCGCTGTCCCTGAGCTTCTTTTGCTCAAGGCTAGCACTGTACCACTTCAGCCACAGCAGCGCCACTTCCGGCTTTTTCTGTTTATGTGGTACTGAGGAATTGAACCCAGGGCTTCATGCATGCTAGGCAAGCACTCTACCACTAAGCCACTTTCCCAGCCTGACTTTCTGTTCTTTCCAGCCTAAAATGTCATAATGAATACAAACAAAATACATAATGAATACTAACTTTTAGAATTCTATGTCAGTAGTTGAAAGTTTCACCCTATAATTGTCCCCCAGAACCTGAGATTGGTTCTAGGATCCCCTATGGATACTCAAGTCTGAGGATGCTCAAGTCCTTTATATAAAATTGCAAAGTCTTTTGCATACAATGGATGTCTATCACTTTGTAGGCATATTTTGTTGGGGTTTTTTCCAGTGCTAGTATTGAAACCTAGGGCCTCTCACGTGACAGGCAAGCAATCTACCACTGAGTAACACCCCAGCCCATTCCATAGACTTTAAATCACCTCGAGATTACTTAAAGTAGCCAGAATAATGAAAGTGCTATGTGAAGAGCTGCTGCATTGTGTTGGTTAGAGAATAATGAAGAGAACAAAGCACATGTGCAGTAGGGATGGATATTTCTAATATTTTTGATTGTTGCCTCTTTAAATGGAATTGTGGGTATTTGGAGCATGAGACTGTATTCAGAGGCCTGTAGGAAGAGCCACTCTCTAGACGCTAAGCTACCTCCATGCACGAGACTCCCTGTAACACAAATGCCTTGCCTGTGACAGTGACGTTCCCGACCTCCAAGCTCAAGTTTGAGAAGGTGTTCCGCACCAACACGGTGACCAGAAAGGTACCTGCAATGCAAAAAGGTGAAGGGTGAGCGTGATAGTGCTGTTGTTAACTATTTAACCTACATTGAGTCTACTCTCCCCAGTGAGGCTTCTTCCTGCAAACCGAGGACCGCTGCTGAGTCTCTGACCCTCCTCCCAGCATGGATTGAACGTGGCCCAGTCTCTGGGGACATGGAGATGAAGGAACACAGTCTCTGTGCTCCAGGACCATCACAAGTAGTAGACTTGGACAGTAAGTGCCACACTGGCAGGAATTGGCATGGGGACATCACAGGTACGGGCTGGGGTCACTTCAACCTCAGGAGAGAGGGAAATGCTGTGGTTGGAGCAGGAATAGAGCTGCAGAGCTGCGTTTCAAAGGTGAATAAGTCGATGCTCATTAATCAAATTAGAGTGGTGATTTCTGCAGAGAAAACAGTGTGGTACGATTGCATGATTGGCCCTCCATTTCAGGCAGGGACCGGGCACACAGTCCTGTTCTCTGTGAAGGAAAGGGCTCAGGCCCTCTCTGCATCATGTCTTCAGTGCTGGCAATTTCTTGTTCTCCAGTCCTGTCCTCAAACTCCAGGTCACGAATCCAAAACTTTTAAAAAGGATTGCCAGAGTGGAGGGGGAGAGAGGTTTGGAAGGTTTTTATTTGGAGAGGGCAGCTAATCCATATGGGGGGGAGGGGTGGCAGTGGAGGACTTCCTGGAGAGGTCTTCCAAGGGGATGCTTCCTTCAAGGTTGGGGACCCTGTGACAGGCAGGAGGAGCTGCCTGTGGTGGAGGTGGGGGAGGAGGAAGGGAATGAAAGGCTGCCATGCCTGCACTTGTGTCTGCAAGTAACCACAGTCGGCTTCCAGTGGGCCAAGAATGGGGAAGAATTTTCCAAGCGTCGGAGGTGAGCCTGAGGGGACGGAGGCCGTATGGGAGGTCAGAGAGAATGAGAAGATTCAGCAGAAGAATAGGGAGAGACCAGGAAAGACAGCTGTGGGACAGATGTGCCCAGTTGACTGGGAAGCTCTGCCCTGTTCTGGGAGCTGTGGCCCAGCCCACAGACCTTCCACAAGAGGCAGCTTCACACATCTGCCAGCCAGCCAGCCCAAACCAAGCCAGCCAGCACGGAGCCGGCCCCACCAAGTGCGTATGGCCCACTCCATCCCCTCGCTCCGCCCTCCAGCTCCCGTTTTCTCTGCAGTGGCCCAGGTCTATTTGTCTTAGTGGGAGAAACCTGTAATCACCTGAGAATGAGAAAAAAAAAAAAAAGGCACAGGACAGTAGAGATTTTTGGCAGTCAGTAAGGTTTAAACTCCTCTTACTGAATAATTTTCCCGTCGGTGGTAGAAAGCAAAATCCAGATTCCAGGGTGTGTATTGAGTATATTTTCCTGTTCACTAAGTTCTGGACACCATATTGAGAAGCCCACAGCTGCAGGCCCTGTAAGGACAGATGTCTCCTCCACACGGGGAAGGAAGGGAGGACCCAAGCAGGAGCACTAAGTAAGACCTGGGAGGACTGAACCACACTGAAATGCTGCCTGGCACTGGGTCAGAAAGGGAAGAGGCGCCACCAATCAATCCCAGATACCTTCAACAGGAAGCACCACAGGGTAAGTCCCAGGGAGCTCTCCAGTGTGCTCTTCCTTCTGGGAGAACTTTACATCGAGTCCCACCACCTCAAAGGTTAGCTCATCAGGGGTGCCGTGAGCCACTGAGACGTTGATCAGTAAGTCCTGGCCGAGCTGCATGTGGTTGGAAGTCCAGGAGGCCTGCAGCCCCGATAGTAACTCCACAAAGTGGACCGTGACATTTCCAGAAGATGCAGAGGTGGTGCCATTGCTGATGGCCTGGATCTCTAGGAGGTGCGTCCCTGGGCCCATGAGCTCCTGCGTTTCTCTGTTCAGCGTGAGATTGTGGGGCATCGAGCCCTTTTGGGTGGCAAACTCAGCCAGAGTCATGTTATCCCAGAGCACAGTGTAACTCACCCCTGTCCCTACATGGGGTAGAAATAAAATTGTAAAAAGGTTGTCAACAATTATACAGGTGATGGCACTGTGATAATTCAGACTCAAGCTCTACTTTCAGATTCTGGTTATAAATATGTACACAGATTTAAGGAAATAGGGAAGGGCCAGGCTCTAGTGGCTCACACTTGCGATCTTAGCTACCCAGGAGGCTGAGATCTGAGGATCCTAGTTCAAAGCCAGCCTAGACAGACATATCTGAGAGACCCTTAGCTCCAATTAACTAGCAAAATTCCAGAAGTGGAGGTATGGCTTAAGTGGTAGAGCACCAGCCTTGAGCAGAAAAGCTAAGTGAGAATGTGAGTCACTGAGTACAAGTCTCAATATCAGCACACACAAAAATAAGAAAAGAAGAAAATTTTAAAGGCCCATGGAAGGAATATGGCTCTCCCCAGATGTTCACAGAGATTATGTTGAGTCTTGGATTAGTGATTGTTTTTTCCTTTTGGGATCCTCTCTGCTTATTTTCATATTCTAATTCATACTATGCATGTGAACCTAATAGTTTGTAACGAAAACATTGGAACATTTTGTTGACTGGGATATCCTCAGAGGAGGAAGGTGAAAAGACAGCATCTCTGAGGAGGGCTGATTTCCACCATGAGAATGAGCCTCAGTCTTATTTTCAGCAGTTCCATCTGTACTGGTGACCGCCTAGAACCTGATAACATGAGAACTCAGCCTGTTCTCCAGAAGTGGGGGTTCCCAGTCTGCAAAAGGTCATCCTAACTGGATGTTCACTATTTTGGTTGCCTCAGAAAATCAGATATTTTCAATAACACATAAATATTCTTTTCAATACAAACCAAGCTAGTGTATTTCTTGTTTCCATGGTGATGATAAAGAGATGGAGGAGGCGGATGGAAATGTAAGCAGGAGCCCTAACTTTCACACCCTTGGCAAAGAGTTGGAACTTAATGATATTTGTGAACAGAATAAATGAATAAGGCTTAAGTTTCCCCAATTGCACTTAGCAGCCATCTGCAGTCAACAAGCACAAGGAGTCAACAAGAAAGAAAAGGAGTCTCGAGAGTGCTGTGTCATTAAGTGACTGCTAGAGTGAGGTTCTAGACCAAGTCATCATTTCCATGGCACTGAGCTGAGCCAGTTATATCAGCAGGTCTTGGTCCAGATCCCAAACTAGACCTGTATCTCTTGGAAAGATGCTGTCCTGGATGAGGAGGGGTCTCAGCCAAGATCTCTATTGAGAGAAATTGTTTTATTTAAAAACAATATCTGAAACTGTGTACTGATCAATTAGGATAAATGCCCTGAGGAATCTGCATGGACACTGGCCAATCAGAATGAATTATATAACAAATCAGAAAAGATACCATGACGGATCAGAGTGTGTGCCATGACCAATAAGAATGGACACACTGGCCAATCAGAATGGATATGATGCCTAGTCAACATGGCCTCTGTGACCAATTAGAAAGAGACACTGTGACCCATCAGAATGGATCCTGGCCATAGCAGCTGGTGTGGCTGTCCCAGAGTGTATGGCTGGATATTATCCCTGACTGGGGGCGACGTGATTATGCCAAGCCATGCTCAGATGGACTCAGGTCCAGCTGCTAGGCCTGAGAGGGCTATTCACACTCCCCCAACGGCAAGATGATTAGAAGTTCAGTTCCTGCGTCAGGGCTACGGACATTCAAAAAAGACCCTCCGGAGGGCTGGGAGTTCTCACTGGCTTATGAGACTGTGCCTTTGGCGAGTTCCTCAACCTTCTCTACCTCCATTTTTCCATCAATAACATGGAGGTAATGCTAACATATCCAGTATGTTCTAGTGTAGCCACAACACTTCAAACAGTGAATGTTACTCCTAAGTGCTAAATAAATGGATAGATGACAGCTGAAATGCCAACTCAGTAAGGGCTGGCTGTTACACTTCATTAAGCCCTGGGAGTTAGCCAAATGGACTTGCAAGAAATCAGATTCTGCCATTTGGATTCTGCATGCTCACCTCCATCAAGCTCCACCTGAAGCCACAGGGGATCCCCAAAGACAGCCTGGCAGACGGGGCTGGCTCTAGACTGGAACAGGCCAGCACACCCGGTGACACTCAGCCTTCCCACCTTGTCTCGGACAGTCACTTGCTTCTGAGCTGTCACGTGCCACTCGCTTGTTGTGCACTCAACAAACACAGTGAATTCTCCTGGAGATGTGTACTGGTGGGTCACGCGACTGGACACACTGCCAGCCACAGTCAGAAATGTTATTGTCATCGGGGACAAACAAACATTACATACACACTCACATATACATACCCACAAAGATGAAAACAGGTTCACACAAGTCAACTCTTACCCCTCTCTGGACTCCTTTCTGTATTAAAGCCCCCATACTCACAGGAAGCTCTGAGGAGGTCTGGCATGTTCCTTCTTGACCTTGGTGCTGGTTACTTGAGTGTGAGCATTGGGGAAAAGTGAACTGAGCTTTATGGGGTTGGTTGGTTTTGTGTTATGTTGTTTTAGTTGTTGTTTACAGTACTGGAAATCAAACCCAGGGCCTTGTGCAGGCCAGGTAAGGGTTCTGTTACTGAGCTACATCCTCAGCCTATACTTTTTAGTACAAAGGTTGCATACGTCAATTAAATGTTGAAAAAAATAATTCCAGACTGTCATACACACATACATATTGCTACTGTATTCGCCTTTACTGAGCTATACATTTTCTTTGAAAAGACAGGAGAAAAGAAAGCTCGTATTTCTGGTCTTAGTGGATAGCATCCAAATATAAAGAACACCAGAGTCTGTTCTTTTCTCTTATGTCATCTACCAGTGGCCATCCAGGTTGGTGAAGGAGCCATCTGACAGGTCAGGCAGAGCAGAAAGGGCGGGAACTGGAAACCTGATGTGTGCTGGACCTGCTGGTTACCTGTGTAAGCCAGGATCTCCTCTAAGCTCTCTGGGCCTTGGCCCCCTAGAACACAAAATGAAGGCAGACCCAACCAAGGCTGGGCTGTAAGAGGATTTAGATGGTCCAATGGCTAAGAAATGGTCTGCTAGGTCCTAAAGCCAAACGTCACAGGGTCTGTATGGTAGGATGGCATTGTAGGCCACTTAACCTATTGAAAGGAAAGGATTATATACTTTCCTATAACATTCATAAGACAGTAAGAGTTGCCCCTTTTTAGAATCAAGTCTGCCAGCTATTTCTTTCCTTATAGTTTCGTATACGCTTTAAATTGTCCAGTGAGCCTGAGTGACACTATCAGTGATATCAGCAACATAAATCACGCAGTTCCCAGGCCTAAAGATTCTTCTTTTCCCCCTCTGTAGTGGATGCTGTGGAGCCTTACCCAGACTCTACCCCCTTCATGCCTGAACACATTGAACACACATCGTCCAGGACCACAGGGGACCCCATCTCCTGACACTGCCTCAGGAGAGAGTACTGTCTCACCCAAGGTAATATCCTTTGCCCAGGGGCTGCTGGATGCCAGGGTGTAAATGTTTCCTATCTGGTCCCAATTGAAGGCAATCTGGGAACCATCCCAGCTCAGGGCGTCTCTGGGATCACCCCGGCTCTGTTGCTTCTGGACTCAGTCTGACTTCCCCTCTACCTCATCTTAGCACCTCGCTTCCTGCACTCCAAATGAGTCTGTTTCCTGGTACTCAACCTACACCCTCTCCTCAGAACCATCTCCTCAGACTGGCTGACATCCAAGGCCCTTCCTGCCCAGAGCCTGTGAAGCTCTCCAACATCTCTCACATCCCCACAGTCCCTGCAGCCCAGGAGGAAGGAACTGGTTGCAGTTATGAAGTGTATGAGCTTCTACAGGCCAGGTGGTTCCCTCCTCCCTAGAGTCACTCTCCTGCCTCAACCCAATAGCAACCCCAAAGTGCTTCAGTTGTAGAGTCCTCTCTGACCATTGCTTTGGGGCTCCCAATAGCCTGTGTACACCTGAGTCACTCTAAGACTTGTGCCCCCTTGGGTTTCCTAACAAGCCCCACCCTCCAGGACAGCTGTGGACAGACACCCCTGGAATGACAGAACAATGTCAGCTCCCATATCTGCCAGTAGATGGCGCTCAGTGACCCAGTGCCCAACACATTTTTTTCTCATGCAAACTGTTCCATATAGTTCATATAGTACAGACAGCAGAAAGGTGTCCAGGACAGAGAAACAAGAGAGCAAGCAGACACGAGGCATGGAAAATCCAAAGTGAGAAGGTCAATTCCAAAGCAGAATTCTCTGCCTTTTCTATCCGGCTGCTTCGACTTGGGGCTGGGTTCCCCTCCTCAGCCCTTGTATGTAACTGTGATGGACACAAGGATCCAGCTTTTAAATCTACCTCTTGAGACTAGTGAGGCATTCGACAGAAGTAGGAGGCTGTAAACATGGGAGAGCGATATTGTGTGGCTTCTGTGTACTTAAAATCCATGCTGGGGCGCTCCTGTGACACATCCCTCTTATTCCAACAAGATGACAGGAGCAGCTTTGTGGGTAGCTGCGAGGTCTAGCACATCTCTAAAATAGGTGGAAGTATGTTACTTGGATGGGGCAATGAGTAAGGAGTGTACCAGTATCCACTGGTGATGCAGGGCACAGGTAAAGGCAGCAGGTGTGCACACTGGGACTTGAGGGTGCTGTACTCTGTACTCCAGGGGGAAGTTACCTATCCACCTGGACAAAAACCTGATTCATAACAGTTCACTGTCCCTGCTAGGAACCTTTCTCTCCCCCCACCCCCGTCCCCGAAACAAACTGAGGCCAGCCTGTGGGGGTATGTATACCCCCAGCCACTGGACAGGCAAGGGTGGAAGGCCTTCTTTGGCCATCCAGCACCTGCATGGTCAGCCCAAACACGAGAAGCCACCCAGCCCTCCCAAGATCCATGCGAAATAACTGCTGTTCTGAGTCACTAGGTATTGGCGGGCAGCTTGTTATGGGGCCAAACTGACTGAAGGCGCACAGATTCCTCTTACCTGGGAGGATAGTAGGGATCCAAAGTGTGCCCATCTCCCATGCTAAGTATACAGGACAGGTTTCCAATGTAGGGTGAGAGGAGCCACGTTAGAGAGAGGGTGACATTGTCAAAGATGAAACTCTCGTTGGGCAGCACCAGCCGCAGGCCTGCAAGCCAACGTGAGATGCCTATGTCGATGTGGAGCAGAGCTTCACGTCGCACTCAAAACCTATGCTCAGAACTCCACCTCACCAGTTTTATTTGGGGGGGGGGGGGGTGGTCAGTCATGGGTCTTGAACACTGGGCCTGGGCGCTGTCCCTCAGCTCTTCAGCTCAAGGCTAGTGTGCTACCACTTGAGCCACAGCGCCACTTCCTGTTTTCTGGTGGTTCATTGGAGATAAGAGTCTCACGGACTTTCCTGCCTGGGCTGGCTTTGAACCGCAACCCTCAGATCTCAGCCTCCTGAGTAGCTAGGATGACAGGCGTGAGCCTGTGAAAGCGAGGCTTTCACATGAGGTTTGATTTGAAGGATCTTAGGGTTGATTTTTTTGTTTGGTTTGACACTTAGCTTTTGAGTTAATTTCTGCAATAGAAACAACAAATGCTTTACCCCAAGAGGTTGGGCCACACGGGAGAGGCAAGGATGCTCAGAAAGCAGTTTGGAGGGAGGAGGTCCCTCAGCACAGAGCAGACTGGCCCCACCCCTACCCCCCACCCCAGGTGAAGCCAGACAAACAGAAATAAGATGATTTCAAAGTCCATGCAAGTTGGAGACTCACCTTCTTGGCACTGGTACTGGACCCACAGGTAGCTGCCCTGAGTGGGGCACAGGTCTCCAAAGTAAGCCCCATCTGCTGCCACCTGGCATACCTGCAGCCCTTGGCACTGGCCTGGGAAGCCGGTAGAAGCAAGAACAACACAAGGACAGGCCCTTAGTAGAGTTTCACTCAAGTTCCTCCTCATTCATTCCTTTACCCACCATCCGCCCAACAACTACCTCATAGCATCTACTGAAGACTGGGCCCCAGGCTAAGTATTGAGAGAACAGGAAAGTAGGGTTCCTGCCCCTTAGAAGCTTCCCATTTGGGAAGCTGTCAGGCTTTAGCATGTGCCAGCTCCCCTGGAGGGCTGCACACCGGCCCTGTAGAGTTCCAGGGCCTGTTCAACAGGGATTCTCACTCAGCAGACTCAGGCCTGGGTGAGGTCCAGGATTCTGCTGTCAGAACAAGCGCCTGCATACTATTCCTGCTTCTGCATGCATCTGCATGCTGCTGCTGCATACTGCTGCTGTTCCTGCATGCTGGTGCTGCATGCTGGTGCTGTTCCTGCAAGCTGCTAGTCCAAGACTATTCTGAGAACCATGGGTTGGCTAGCATCAAGTCAAATGGCCTAAGTAGAAATCGACACCCCCAAGAAACAGCAAGAGGCCTGGGGAGGTGGCTCAGTGGTAGAGTGCTTGCCTTGCATGCACTGGGTTCAATTCCTCAGCACTATGTAAACAGAAAAAAAACCAGAAGTGGCGCTGTGGTTCAAGTGGTAGAGCACTAGCCTTGAGCTGAAGAGCTCAGGGACAGCACCCAGGCCCAGAGTTCAGGCTCCACAACCAACAGAAGAAAGAAAGAAAGAAAGAATGAAGGAAGGAAGGAAGAGGGGGGGAACAGAGGGAGGAGGGGAGGGAGAGGCGGGGAGGGAGGAAGGAAAAGAAACAGCAAGAGTGGGCAACATTAGGAATCCTGTGTTCATCCAGGGTTCCGGGGGCTGATGAAAGGAAGCAGCATAGGGAATCCACGCCAGGAGCTCCACCGTCATCCAGTTCCCCTCCTTCCTGCTCATGTGGTAGATGCCTGTGAAGGGGTCTAGAAGGAGGGGCCGGGCAGACTGTGGCATGAGAGTATCCTGGGCATCCTTTGCCTCTCGGAAACTCAGGTTTGCTCCAGGCTTTGAAATATTTAAATACCCCACCATCACAGCCCCAAAAGCTCCCCTGGGCCTGAATTCCTGCCTGCTTTCACTGTGTCCTGTTATTAACTACATGCCCATGACTTCCAAGTCTACGTCTCCCATTGCTTCATTTAATTCAAATTCCTGAATTCTATGTTCAGTTGTCTACTCTTCACGTCCACCTAAATGATCCCAAATAATCTTCCATCTGGAAACCAGATGAGTAGCAACCTTCACCACATCTGAAGAGGCCCCGTGGCTTGTGGGTTGACATATTCATGAGCGTGGTATCTCATCCTACCACAGTTGCAGGAACGAGGGTGACTTGCCAGCCTGCTGGGCTGCCCAGCACTTGTATGACTTGGAAAACTATCTCCTCACATTAAATCCCCTCTGTTAAAAGGCCTAGCATTCTGTCTCTTTTAAGTTTTTTAAAGGTGGAACTTCATTCTGTTGCCCGGGCTATACCTGATCTCCTTGCTATTTAAGTAGTTCTCATGCCAACCCTTCCCAAGGCATGTGTCACTGTATGCAGCTCAAAACATTTGTAAGAATTGATTCTCTTGTTTTGTTTTTGCTTTGGTAGTACTGGGGTTTGAACTCCAGGCCTTATACTTACTAGGTAGACCCTCTACCACTTGAGTTAATCCTTTTCATTATTTTTCAGATAGAGTCTCTTCTTGTATTTTTGCCTGAGCCGGCCTGGACCGTGATTCTCCTATTTATTCCTCCATCAGAGCTTATTGGTTGAGATGGGCTCTCACTAACTTCTTTGCCTACACTGGCCTCAAATCATTCTTCTGAGTAGCTGGTACTACAGGCATGAGCCACAGTACTTGACTAAGAATTGGTTCTTCAAATTGGGTTTGTGTGTGTATGTGTGTGTGTTGTTAGGATTGAACCCAGGGCTACATGCTAGGCATGGCATCTATCACTGAGCTACATGCACATGATTACATTACATTGCACATGAGCTACATTAGCATGATTGCTAATGCTGCCCAGCAGGATACCCCCTCAGCCTGAGTTGGGTATTCCTACTGTGAACATCCATAACACTATCCATCTATTCCCCAAAAAGTGGGAGCTTTTATCCATGTCACGTTCACAGCTCACTGCTGTGCCAGCCAACATAGAAACCAGCCTGGCACAACGTGGTACAGATACATTTTGTACAAGTAAATACAGGGTACCTTTTGCTTTCCTTTACTACTGTTAGGTGGCTGCCTGTACAGACATACCTCCTCTGTGGACTTTGGGCCCTTTGAAAGACAGACTGATTCAGCCTACGTCCAGAGACCAAGTCAGTACATGGCATCATGTCCATGCTCAATAAACGTTTATTGGCCTGCTTCATGAATGCATGATCAGGGTACTTAGGAATGAATGGATCCCTAGGTCCTCCCAGGGCTTCTCTGCTGACTTTTCCCAGCAGAGTGCAGGCATCCTCTCCAACGTGCTCCTTAGGTATGGCTGCTCGTTTCCAAATCTTAACAGGTGATCCTTTTTGAAAACAGCCTGCCTAGCTCTATTGTGCCACAGAGGGAAGCTCCTCCATCAGACCGGCCACCTGAGGCCTTCCTCCTTGGACCCCCCCCCCCCCCCAAGGAGAGCTGCTGAGAACCGAGGAGCTGATAGAGCAGTTTGTTTCCCCATTCCTGCCCTGAGGGGAGCGAGGACAACATGGTGGACAGGTGGAGGTGAGAGGAGCAAGGGGCAGTTCCAAGGAAGATGAGCCATGCCACCCTGAGTGGGAGGAACTCAGGGAGGATCTTGCTTCAATCCCTGAATCTTCAGAGGATCTTTGGGTAGCAGCAGCGCCTAGAAGGGAAATTCTGAGGGGCATTTGTGGGAGCCCAGGCCCAAGGCTCCCAGCCTGGGCACAACTGCTGCGTCCTTCTGAGGTGAGCAGCCGCTGACAGCCTGCCTTGCTGGGTCTCTGTGGACGGGACAAGCATGCACCAAGCATGCAGCAGAGGGCTCTCCGGTGTCCTGGCTGATGAAGTCTCAGGACTTCGCACATCCCCAAATACTCCCTGAAACTTGTCACACTGCTCAGAGGAGAATTCATCTAGTTTAGAAAATCAAAGCCCTAGAGGAACTTTCCCACATGGATAACAGCGCTAGATACAATGTCAGCCCCAGCATTCCGCACAATGACAAAGACTGAGAAACCACCCATCCACCTCTCAACAGGCAACGGACAATTCATGGCACAGTTTTATAAAAGATAGATGGAATTAAATAGAACAGTAGGCATTAAGACAAACCATACACCTTAAAATCAATGTTAAGGAAGACACATCACAGAATGACACATGCAAGACGGTATTATTTCTGGAAACAATACTATACAATGTTTTGAAGGCAGAATAGAGAGCCATGTGAGCAATTAATCGGCACTGAATTTGTGGCAGAAATAGGACTGGGAGGGCTCTACAGTAGGAACCTTTTAATGCTGTGTTCTTGTTTGTTTTTTCCTGAGAGTCTGAAACCAGTGTCACATAGTGTGAAGATCTAACAAAGGTAGAAGTGGCTCTCAAGGAGTTCGTGGCAATTTATTTCTAATCTTATCAATGTGTTTGAAGAGTTTCCATTTTTTTTAATAGGCCAAGTTGTTCCCTGTCCTCAGGAAGGGGAGGGGTGGAGACCTCCCTGCCCGACAGTCTGGGTTTGATGTATGTGGTGGATCAGCTTCTGATTTCCAGCTCAGCGCTTTTGATGGAGACTGGCTAGTCTTCCCACCCTTGGGGGAGGCTACAGTCATAGCTGGAGAGGAATAGAACTTCTAGACCCTTTTCTGGATCCAGAAGTCCAGCAATTACACTCTGCTCCAGAAGGAGCGGGGAGCTCTGGGACTTACCTGCCACTTCCTCCTTGACATTGGCCCAGCTGCATTCCTCCTCCAGGTCTGAGGGACCCCAGGTGCCCTGGGTGCAGTAATAGGGGGTCTGCCGCCCATAGAAGGCATCCTGCATCTGGATGACCTCTCCTGAGCCACAGTGCATGGTAGCATTGAAGCCCTCACAGGCCAGGCTCTGGCCAACCCCTGTGGCAAAAGGAAGGAGACCTTTTAGGGGGTTCACAGTACTCTGGGCAAGCACTGATGGATGGGAAAGTGCAGAGGTCGCAGGGGTCAGGACTGGGAGGTGCAAGGACGAGGGGGAGGGGGTAGGCATCTGGAGACAAGAAGCCAGGATCAGGGAGATATGGTACATCACATGGGCAGAAATTGGGAGGGAGATTGCCAGAAGGCAGAGACGGGAAGAACGTTCCAGAAAAGCAGAGGGGAAATTAAAAATATGTAAATGGGCAGTGACTTAAATGGAGAGAGAAGACAGAAATCCAGAAGGGCAAAGCTGTGGAAATGATGTGATCCACCAAGAGATTTTTTTTTTTTAGGGGGTATAGAGACAGAGAGATCCAGAGAGCTAAGGAGAACGGGAAAGAAAGGCCAAAGGAAACCTAAGATAGAGAAGGAGGGACAGAAAGTGAAGGGCAGACATCTGGAAGCCCCAGGTAGAGGTAGAGACGAAGCTGGAATTACAGACAAGCAGGTGGGAAGGGGGCAGGGGAGAGATCCCCCAACAGGCCAGCTCACCAAACTCGCAGACAAAGGCAAAGGCCTCTGTGCAGTCCTCTGACACTGCCCAGTCAGAGGAGGGGCCTCTCCTGATGTAGCCACAGCTGTGGGGCGCAGGTGCCGCCTGGCTGCCTTGCCAGTTGCTGTAGCTCACATTTGAGGTGTCCAACCAGGTCCCGGGCCCTGGGATGGGAATAGAACCACCAGGCTTCCTCTCTTAGCCACTTCAACGTGGTGAGCTTGCTCCAACTCAACTTCTGTGAAGATGAATCCTCCCTTCTCCAGTAGGAGTCCATGCTTTCCATTTTCACATGTTCAGATATAAGCATTGGGACTCCACATTGAAGGGCAAGCATCAGGCGGTCCGATGAGTAAATGACACCTCCAGCACTGTCCAGTTATAGCCTGTGCTGTGCACCTGCACATGCGTGCCACCCTGAAGCAGGGTCCCTGCTCAGATGTGTTTGGATAGGCCTGAGTTCAGGTAGAATACACTCACCTTGCCTCAGAGCCTGGAAAATATTGCTGTAAAGCTTTATTGTTAAGATTTAAAGCTGGGCCAGGCACTGGTGGCTTATGACTCTAATCCTAGCTACTCAGGAGGCTGAGATTTGAGAATCACAGTTCAAAGTCAACCCCAGCAAGAAAGTCCCTGATACTCTTATCTCCAATTAACTACCAAAAATTTAGAAGTGGTGCTGTGGCTCAAAGTGGTAGAGTACCATCTTTGAGTAAAAGAAGCCCAGGGACAACGCCCAGGTCTTGAGTTCAAGCCCCATCGCTCACACACTCATACACACACACACACACACACACACACACACATATATATTACTAGCGCTCTCTCTCTCTCTCTCTCTCTCTCTCTCTCTATATATATATATATATATATATTGCTGTAAAGCTTTATTGTTAAGATTTAAAGCTGGGCCAGGCACTGGTGGCTCATGTCCATAATACTAGCTACTCAGGAGGCTGAGATTTGAGGATTGTGGTTTGAAGCCAGCCTGGGGAGGAAAGTCTGTAAGACTCTTACCTCCAATAAGCTATGCAAAGCCAGAAGTGGAGCTGTAGCTCAAGTGGTAGAGCACTAGCCTTGACACTTAAGCCCTGAGTTCAAGCTCCAGGATCTGTGTGTGTATGTGTGCACATATGCGTGCACATTTGTGTGCACACACACACACACACTATTTAAAAACCTGTCATGGTGGCACATGACTGTAGTCCCTATCACCAGGAGATGGCAGCAGGATGATCTCAAGTTCAAGATCCGCAAAAGCAAATGTAGTTCACAAGATCATCTCCAAAACAAAATGAAAAGCAAGAGGGTTGGTTGACTCAGTGGCAAAACGTTTGCTTAGTATTGGGAAAGCCCCAAGTTCAATCCTAAGTAGGGGGAGGAAGGGTAGACAGACTCAGAATGTAATTGTTTGATTTGACAAGAAAATGCATGCAGCAATTGTAAATGTCAAATCATATGAAAGAATACAAAATGCAAACCTCTTCCCTCTCTCAACCTCTCGGCTGCTCCCATTATTGGGTTTCTTGTAAATCATTGTAGGCTGACTCTGATCCACATATTAGCATTTATGAGTGCCTGAAATCTGTTTATGTAAGTGCTATTGTGTTGCTCACTGGGTTTTGGTCCTTGCTTCTTAAATCGAGTTAAATCTTTCAGGTGCTTCCTATCAGCCTAGGTAAAGCTGCATTGTTTTCTGTAATAGCTCCCAGTATCCCTTGGGAGGCAGCCAGCTGCTTTCACTGCACGCAGAGTCCCAATTGTTGCATCTAGAAGTCAAGAAACCGTTCAACACATGTCTTACAAAAAGGTATCTTAAGAATTTGAATCCCTTGGCTCTGAGTTCCTTATGTGAGTTTCCTTGGCTACTGGTTTATTCAAACACTTCCATATCTATTGGTAGACCCCTGTGGGTGCTCAGCAGGGACCAAGATACCCATTTCCAAACCCCAGCAGCTTCTACAGGAGCAAAGAGAGTTCCTGAGCCCCAGGACGATGGGGTAGAAGTCAGACTTAGGAGTTGCTGGAGCAACTCAATTCATCTCTGTGTCTTACCTCCGAAACAAGAGTAGCCATGCCTGCTTCCTGGGTGAGTATAAGGATTAAATGTAAGTGTATCTCTGTCCACTTTTGAATGTGCTTTCTTCTGTCAAAGGGCTCATAGTCTAGATGCCTGAACCATTTCCATCATGCCAGAGTGCTCTTGTGGGGAGCGCCAGGGATCCACAGGTACACAGGAGAGAAAGACTCACCTGGCTGTTGGGGACTGGGAGAAAGCCCTAGCAGAGGGGAGGGGAGGGGTAGGGAGAGTTTCAGGAGGAGTAACATGACATCTTGTGAAGTGGAGCTGTGCAAAGCACTTGATCTTCTTTCCTCCCTTCCTTCCCTACCTTCTTCCTTTCCTCACCCTTGCTGGGTAAGTGCTCTACCACTTAACCTATGCCCTCAACTATTTTTAAGTTTAATTTTGTCTTTTTTTTGTCAGTTGTATGTAGGGCTTGAACTCAGATCCTGAGTGCTGTCCCTGAGCCTCTTTGTACTGAAGGCTAGTATAATTGGGGATAAGAGTCTCACAATGACTTTTCTGCCTGGACTGCCTTTGAACTGCAATCCTCAGATCTCACTCAGTCTCCTTAGTAGCTAGGATTATAGGCATGAGTCACCAGCACCCAGCTTATTTTATTTTGTCTTTGATACAGGGCCAGTCTTGAACTCATAGTTCTCCTGCCTTCTCTTGTTGAATAGCTGGGTTCTAGGCATGTTCTTCCCAGTTGGCTTCCAGACCTGCTCTAATCTCATAAAAATGAGTAAGACATGTGGGTATACTTTGAAAATAGCTAGGTCACTATTATCTGAGATTGTTTGCTCACGAGGAAAACGATCATCATTTTTCCCATTGGTTATTGTAACAATCAACAAAATAATAGTCACAAAGTCTGGAGAGTAGTGCCCAGTGCTACTCTAGCAGGAACTGAAGGAATCACAGCTAGAACTGTGTACATGCAGGTCTGGAGCTGTCATTCAGTGGGGTCTTCTCTAGCAGGCACCAGGCCCTGGGTTCAATCTCTAGCCCACCCTACCTCACTCCAAACACAAAAGGATGGATGCAGATGGATATTTCTATCTTCTATGCTTTATACTATGCATGAATTCTCTCATGTGATCCACAAATGATCAAAGAGAAGGGTATCTTTACCATGAGAATTTGGAGTATTAGTTTGCTCCAAGGAATACCTGGGTAAAAAGCAATGGTGACGATCTGTATCGTAAGCTACCGGCAAAACACAGCGATGCAGCACCTACCTGCTGAGGTCCCGTTGGGTGCTGAGGTTCCTGTGAGTCCAATCCACCATTCTCTGTCCTGGGAGATGTGCATCTGAAGAAACCGCTGGGTACCTTCATCTGGAATGAAGACCAAATGGCCTCCCTGCCCTTCACACCAGCCCTGGGCCCCATGGAACGTACGTCCAAGTGGTACAAATTCATAACAAGCATCTCTGAAGGCCACCTGGCTCTTAGAGCAAAAGCTGCCTTCTTCTGGCTTCACAATGGTGGCCCCAAACCTCAGGGTGAGCCCCAGGAGCAACAAGCATGCCACCTTCATCTTTGAACCCATGCTAGGGTTGCCAGTGGCGCGCACTCTTGGGTCCTTCATATTCTCTCACCAGCACAGCCACGTCCATCCATCCTCCCTTCTCTTGGCATCATATAATAGCAACTCTCTTTTGTCTGAGAGACAATAGACTCAGGATGAATGAGTTTACATTTTCGCTTCCTCCAGCTCTTGGTTCAATGCCTGTTTCAAAGCCAGTTAATTCACAACGGTCTTCTAGAGAAAGCCACGGTGGCTGAATCACTTGTCTGCCTGTCATTCAGCTAACTGCTAGTGTTGGATTAAAAAACAACAACAACAAATTCCTGCCTATTGACTTTATACCATTACCAAGGGCCAAATGCTCCAGGAGCAATGTGGGAACTACATGATAAAAGAAGGTGGACAGGAGGGTGAGTCACGGGAAGGTGGAGACAGAGGGCTCAGATGTAATCATGTGGCGTGGGATGGCAGCTGTGCCCAGATGATAACTGTCCTGTCTCCACTGTGGCTGAATCATAATGGACACTCGGGCCCCTCCGACTTGTCCCATTGTCACTCATGCCCTGCTGGGCACTAAGAATGTCCTACAGAATTTATTTTGCCTCAGTACTGGCACACACAAAAAAAGTGTGTGTGTGTGTGTGTGTGTGTGTGTGTGTGTGTGTGTGTGTGTGTGTGAACAGTGTTTTGTATGGTCAGAGATTTAGAGAACTGAGCTGTTTACTATCTAGGGGTGTTCACACTGCCTTGTGAACTCTGTGCTCCTACGTGTGGACCCACCATACTTGCTTTATAAAATTGTCATTATAAAGGTGATGTACAGATAGGTCACAGTTATATAAGTCAGGTAAAGAGTACATCTCTTTCTGGATAATACCCCTTCCCTTGCTTTTTACCAGTTTTCCCCTCCCATTCCCATCTACAAGTTGTTTGGTTCATTTTCAACATAGTGTCTAGCGAGTACCACTGCTGCATTCGTTTGCCCTTTATCCCTCCATTTGCGTGCTCCCCTCTTGCCATCCCAAAGACAGATAAACAAACAGGAGAAAAAGAAAAGAAAGCAAAAGCAGCAACAAGAAAAATGTTTCCTTTTCCTGAGCTCAATAATTTTTTTTCTTTTCCTTTTTTTTTTTTTGGTCAGTCATGGGACTTGAACTCAGAGCCTGGGTGCTGTCCCTCAGCCTTTTTGCTAAAGGCTAGACTCTACCACTTTGAGCCACAGCTCTACTTGCAGTTTTCTGGTGGTTAATGGGAAATAAGAGTCTCACAGACTTTCCTGCCCAGGCTGGCTTTAAACCATGATCCTAAGATCTCGGCCTCCTGAGTAGCTAGGATTACAAGCAGGAGCCGCTGGCACCCAGCTTGATAAATACTATTTTATGTGGTCAGATGCACATAGGCATTGTGCCTTTGTGTCCTAAGAACATTCTCCTTTGATCTCATTGTGTGTGCATACTTTCTTTCTTGGTCTTCAGTTGGTGGACATTTAGTTATTGGACACCCAGAGTTTCTTAGAAAAAGTAAAACATTTCATCTCTGTCTATCCAGTCATGAAGAGACAATGAACATTGTTTATCCATGGGTAGTTCAGTGAACATTTGCTTGGCCCTATATCCCAGCCCCTCGGCTGATCCTTGCCCCTCTCCCTTTTCCTTTCCTAGAAACCCCTCTGCACCCTCTGATGTGGCTCTGGCAGACAGAAGACTACAGCGTCAACCACCAGGCAGGACGTGGTATCACTGCTGATTCACAAGCTGGGCAGAACTGGCCTGTTATCTCTCAAGGCCAAACTTCTAATGAGGTCCATTAGGAAACTATGTGGAAGGCCACAAGAGTGATAATATATCTATCTCCTGGGTAAAGACTTCAATTATGTCCCTAATGGCCCATGCTTGGAGACAGTTGATAACAAGTGCAAATCTGCAGGCTGAATTCCATTTTTGAATTCTTTACGTTCTGACAAATGACAGGGCTCCCAGGCACAGAATTCATCTTGGCGGTGTCAGCTCCCACTGTTCCTTCACCTCTGTGTCTGTGCAGCTCACGTGGCAAGTAAGCAGGGCGTAGAGATGCCATGTGCATGGGTCTCCATGTGGGATCAGTGATGGGAAAACAGAGAGACAGCAAGTTTGCTCTAAACAGGAAAATGTGACCATAAAAAGAACCATAAGGATATTTATGTCCTGGGGCCTGGATATTCCAGTCAGGGACTCTACCCATTTTAGCTTATGCTTACCTTCTTCTCCCTCCCTTCCCCCTCCAGCATAGTTCAAACATCAGCCACTTCTCCAGAGCCACCTCTTCTCTATCCTCAGAACAATCTGACCTACTTCCATCTTAGCACTATTCAAAGGTAACAACCCACTTTGGAAGACTAAGAGACTTGCAAGAACTTGGTTGCAAAGATAAATCCACAGCTTGCCTCTTCCCTGTCCACTGTTAAGTTGTTTTGCTCAGGGTGATGGATTGAATGGTGTCCCTCAGGACGATCTGTTCTGAGTCCTATTTTCTGGTGCTTTATAGACTGATGGTTGAGAGGAGATGAAGCCAGGTCAGAGCAGAGTGGACCCCATTCACTAACTGATGTCCTTATAGTGTAACAGGTACTGTACTTAAACACTCCCTTTGCTAAATAGCGCTGACTCCTTCTTTGGGCCCATGAATGACCTAAAAGCAAGAGGAAAGCTTGGCATCGCATCTCCACCTCTCTACTGCCTGTGTCCTTTGTATCGGAGTCAGTCTTTTCTGTAGTCATTTCGGATAAATCCAGGAAGGACAGACTGAGAGATGAAAACAGTCCCCAAGGAAAGGAACAGCAGAGCCGGCACAGGACAGGTAGCTCACCCAGCCTCAGTGACTCTGCCCTGACCAAGAGAGACAGCCCCACAAGAGATGACAGCAAAAATGACTTCTCCCCGACCCCTCAACAAGCATCAACCAGGCCCTAGTCTGACTGACACTGAGGAATCATTATGTATGCTTCCCACCCCATGTCCTGAATCTTCCTCTACTTAAAGCTGAAGCTCATGTCCATACCCCAGAAATGGACTGAAATGCTTACTTGCCCCATCCCACATTGTGTTCATGCCTGTAAATCTTTCTTCACCCTCCACCACTCTTTATTTGGTGAATGGAGGCAAGGAAAATGCTTGTAGTTTGGCCTGAAACTCCAGTTTCAGCAGGAAGAGAGATGTCTGGACACAGACCCAAAGAGAGAAGACTGTCCCATGGACACGGAGGCAGAGACGAGCGAGAGGCTGGCTGTCCTCGCCCATCAACCTGTTTTCTCATGATGGGCGCCGCTGCCACCTCCACCAGGACTTTGTCCATCACCTTGAACCCTGCTATTGCCGATTTCAATGTTATCTGCTCCATTTATCACCCTGGCTAATTAGAGGCAACATTCAGGAGTTAACTTAATTGGAAAATCGCAAAGTAATTTAGATATGAAAACATTATCTCCAGAAGGGAAATATTAACTGGTTTTAGGCAATAACTTTGTAACAAGAGATAGAGAATTGCAAAATAAGGCTGTTTGCTTTATTTTTTAATAACCCTCAAAGCTTTCCTCTTTGATTTCAGTTCTTACTTCTGAGTGTCGGGGCTGTCTGCAGGCTCAGCACATCCTGTGGGATCAGCATCCTGAAGGAAGGTGAGCCTTCTCCCCTGTCCTTCTGAAGTCTCAGCGTTATCTTCCACCCTCACCAAATATGGTGTGATCTCTGTGGGGGGGGAGGGGAGTCTGACTTCAGTTGACACTTTGCAATGGAGAATAGTGTGCGTGAAGTACAGGCATAGGACAGGCGTACATTTCTTTTGGGACAATGTCACCCCTTCCCTTGCTCTCTCCATTCGTCTCTCCCATCCCCACCCAAAAGTTGTATAATTCGCTTTTGACGTAGTGTCTACTGAGTACCATTGCTGCCTTTGTTCCCTTTGTCCCTCGATTTCTATGTCTTCCTTACCCCCCAAAGACAGATAAACAAGACAAAAAAGGGTAACTCCTCTGTACATCATCTTTATAATAACAATTTTTAAAAGATACATGAATATCATCAGCCTACTCTCTTGTTGGGCTGAGGTTTGAGTCTTACTACTTACTCTTTAGTTCCCCAGAAAAGTCTTTATTACTTGAAACAGTTACGTGACTCATTTTTATATTTCCTCTTTTCAAAAAGAAATGAATGAATGAAGTTGTTCTTTACATAATTTTTTGAGGGTAGTAATCGGGGCCCTTTATGAAAAACAAAATCAAATGAACCCCCTCTCTGAGGTGCCCCCCTTTGGGCAGCAAGCTTTGGCATGATCATGATATTGATGGCGTCTCAGTGCTTTGTTGGTCCTGAGATCTCTCTTTCTGTTCCCTCACAAACCTCTCCAGCTTCCGGGCTGGATTACTTCTGATGACCAAACAGAGCAAAATACACTGAGTCTCTTCCTTCACCCATTCAGAAACAAGCCAGGAGTGAGAGTAGAAAGAAAGAGTCAGGGGAAAGCAGAGAGTTAAAGATTAGCCCTAACACATGGCTTGGGAACTGACCTTTGACCAAACATTTTATAAACTCTACCAGACATGTGCAGCGATACCAGACACTCAGAGAGAGGGGAAAGAGATGGGATTAGGAAGGACGGACATGTGAAGGATCCAAGGGTAGGGAAAGCAAAAAGTCAAGGCCAGAGGAGCCAGGACAGCTCCCTTCAGCACACAGGATCGCAGGTCGATTCCCCGCTAAGACCAATTCTCACTCCACCACTGGCTCCATGGATATAATATTTGGTAAGAATAAGAAAGAGCAGCTGGAGCCTGTAAGGGCCAAAGTGACAGGTGAGTATTTTGTGTAAGAGATGGGCTCTTCTGTTAGGCCGACATCTGTTTTGTTTGCTCCAAGTTGTTTGGGGAAAGCCTGGAAAACAGTATACAAGGGGTGAAACAAATCCATAATCCAGATGCGTTTTCTGTAGTGATCTCAGTACGTTTTACACATTATAATTCAGATTCCAAGAGGAGAGAGTTGTTTTCA